TAATCTTTCTTTAGATCTAACATACATATATGGCGATAGTAGAAAGAAAATGGCCCAGCCTAAAGCGAACTGTAACAGGGAACAACTGTTTTAACACGGTTCCGATCATCCGTGCCCTGTTCTTACTTGGGTAAGAGTCGCGTCCCAGGATCATTCTGAGCATGCGATAGGTACCAGGCTAGAAAAGCAGGTGCACGCGTAGGAAACAGCTGTTTTGCCATATTACGCAACTTACTGGGAAAAGTGTAGGCTGCTCGGCCGTACCGTTGCTTCTACCTACTATAAGTCCTCGCGTTGTTTACGGATTTTGTATCTAGGATATGGGAACTTGTTTAAGATACATGCGATCCATCAACGGACGTTTATTCTCTATTGGCGGATCTTTGTCTATTGTGAGAAAGAGCGACACAGCCTGACGCGTAGCGCGGATTGAGGAATTCTATTGATTTTTATATGTTTCTTGGTTCAATTTTTGTTTTAAACGAGACTTTACTAATTCGTCGTGTACTTTGAATCTGTCGTATGTCATGCGTAGGTATGTGCGTGACGCATGTGAAATTGTTGTTTTCTTACTTACGTCAGTCTGACGTAAGTTTGACAGAAGGTTACTATTAGTGTGCGAATTAGGAATAGGTTTATCGACGAAAAATTAGGTATAAATTCTAAATTCGCGAAAATCGTGTGTATGCTAATTTGGAGTACGGAATTTAGAGAGTGCAGGAAATCGAATACATCGTGCTGCAGCGCTGTCGGCTCTTATGCGCGAAACACGTGTTCACTAGTCGCATAACAAACGGGAATAAAACGCGAACGTTTGAAAATTCACTGAATAAATTTGCGATTTTTATCAGAGACCTCGTGGGGTACTATTTTGTTTTCTTAAAATTCTCAATCTTTCGCTAAAAATGCAATATCTCTCCAGTGTACAAAGGAATACGATACAAAGTATACGACTCCTTAGACTTTCTCCATGGACTTCGCAAGAGTCGCTCGATTCGCAATAATTTTTCGCAAGTCTCACGACCGCGTGAGTGCGGCTCGAATAACATAGTCGAACTTATACGTACAGTTGATAGGAATGGGAGTGAGCTCGCTGTTGCCCTCAGGGCGACGATTACTTATTCGCGAGCCGCTCCATGCGTACGCCACGTAAGGCGCGTGATAATTTTACACTCGACTTGTCGCTCACTCGATCGTAAAGACATTAAATGTCACGCGACCATTAAATCTAGCGCTAAGTCACTCTTCCTCTCACTGGAGTTTCTGCCGAATTCTCATTGAAGATTGAAAAAAACAAAATTAGAGTAAAAAAAAATATGGGAAAAAAATTAATTCCTAATAAATTGAAAGTCTAACATTCTAATGCGCGATGGAAAATCAATATAAGTAATATCACTCGTTCTCCAAGACCTTAAGTTACCGTCCTCATAATTGATATACTGTATAGAAGTAGGTCGATATACATATAATCACAAGAGAAATCAGGAGTAATAATCAGAGGAAAACACGATTCCGCCTGAAGGCGAGAAATCCATTACACTAACCTGTTCAAGTTCTTCCATTGAGGAAGGGTGCCTGCGTATGCACGTAACATGTGCCTGTAACTCGCGTGGGAGTCGTAAAGGAAAGACCGGAGAAAAGGGATGACCCACGAGTGGAGACCAAGAGAGAGAAAGAGTAATGCGATCAGAGGGACGTGGAACGGATCTACCACTATTGGCGTTTTATTCATTGCTTACCAGGACGTAATACAGTAGCCTTGTCAGAGGATAGGATAGCTTTGTATGTACATACTGTCGTTACTATTATGAATTATTTCGCGGTCTTTACCACATCGACGCCATCTTGAAAACCCACCCTGAATTAATAACGGGTATGTACCCTACGAATATATTGAATACAGGTTCTTGCGTCAAAACTTTTTTCTTGGGACTGTTCAATCTCAAAGTGCAAACAGACAGAATATTATATACCGAAACATTTTTCAAAAAGCAAAAAAAATCTGCACACGTGCCGATGCAATTACCAAGATATTATGGACTATTAGTGGGCGTTGGCGTACATTAAAGTGTTTATAAAGTCTGCCGTCTGGCTTATAAACTGCCTTAATGTTTATGCTGATAATGCAGTCACGTGGTGAACGTTCTAATGGACATTCGGAATGACGACGGTGACGTTGAATAAAAATATTTCTCTCGATTCGCGGAATACATTAATTGTGAAATATAAAAATTGCTGTAATCAATGTGCGTAAAGGGCTGCCAAGAAATCTTGTTATTTCACAATCATTCACTTTTGTTCATTTGAGAATCGAGCACGCGGAATTTCATGCTGTCACGCGGCCACATTAATAAGTTCACTCGACGAATCTATTCGAGAAACGCGCCTTTGCATCGAGGTTATCTTTAAATAAATCGGCACAATCGTCACGCGATTCGTGCGGAACAGCCTTTACACTGGAATATTCAGTACTGTTAACTCTTCCTTACTGCACACTGCTTCCCGTCTATACCCTTATTTCATTTTTCCAGACATTTAATAAACTTTTACAAGCCACGCCAGTCATGGTCCTTCATCTTGTTTCCGACTGTACGACTAAACAAATTCTCGAGCCATTTTCGCTACACAAGAACTCTGTGATCGCGCTCTTCACGATCAACAAAACGAGACTCGGTACTCATTGACATCCACTCCAAGCTAGATGAACGAGCGATCTTAAGATCAAAGCTACTTATGAGCTTATTAAATTACCATACATGTGAACGGCACTAAGGAATGAATTTTGAAGTCATGATACCCAACTTTCAATAGCATAGTCTCCTTACAAGGGTACTTGAAGTTCATTAGTAGGTAGAGCTTCGTACCACAAGTCTAATAACAATAATAATCTCAAAGACGTTTAAGTGGTAGCCATTAGCATCATTATCCACTGTCTGCAAGAACATTTGAGAAGTAGAAAGTAGATAATGAGAGCAACGAGAAGGAAATTGAGAATAGAGGCAAAATCAGTTGTTTACCGAGCCTTCAGAAGTCTACGTTGAGAGCTATGTATATGTACAAAGAACCCACGTTCAAAATAATTTTTCATCCGACGTTGAACGCACGATCTTATCAGTCTTTAAAAGTTTCCTCAAATATTTGGAAATAACGTAAACGTACACGTAAACGGGATCAACGCAAAGTCTGAAGTATCAGGGTCGCAGAGGATTCGTGGAGCTAGTCAATTTTTCACCCTCCAATCCAAGCTGCGCGCTCGTTCGATCCGTGGTCTCCGACATTCGCCGTTACTCGAGGGTGGCGCCACGATAGTTTCCCTAGGAGTAGTAGTGAAAAAAAATAATACCCCGTCAAAAGAAAAATCTTCAAATCATAAACCACGTACAAATTATGGTAATACGTGAACAAAATATAATATTCCCGCCTTACGTTTGTACCGTGGCAGTATCTTGACTGTATTAAAATACGTTAAAACTGCACAAACACATTGTTATCGTCGGCTCTTCCTTCTAGTAAGATAACGTGCCTTCCGCTATGTGAAACGAAATCTAGGTGCATCTTTCGCAGGAAACGAAGTATATGACTGCTGCAAAGTGAAATAATGTTTTACAGGTCTAGTACTAAAAACAGAATACACTGGTTACGTATACGTTTGATCGAGGAGTGTCTGTCACGTAAACAGCCATTTTTAAGCAAACGTCAAAATTGACTACATTTATAAAAGTTAATCGCAACGAAGTCCTAAGCAATGTTCAAACAAGCATTGGCTTGTATAAAGAGGCATATACTTATTCACGCATAGAATATTTATCTACTTATGAACGCCATATTGATACTCGAGGTAATTATAATTGATTGACTCCAAAGTATCGAGATAAATGGTATTGTGACAATCTATGCCATTAAGAAATGCCTAACACTAACCATAGGATAATAGAGAACGGTAATCACTGGGACAAAATTGTTAACGCACTATTTACATGACTAATCAGCATATGCGTTGGGTGGAAAAAATATTCAATTGAAAGCAGTATTATGAAATGGTCACTAAATGGCACTCTAACCATGCTGAAGTAAAATCAGTGAATTATTCTTTTATCGACATAAATCCTGTTAATCTTATCTATGCACGTTTTGTCTATCTATATCTGTACTGCGGTTACCTGCAAGACTATGGGACCTAACCTCCAAAGTATTTATACCTATATTGGCGTGTTACATCCGCATTGCGTTTAATACGGTTTACTGGTATCTACACCAATGGCCGATCTTGGGCAGGCTTCACGTTTTAGGGCCGCCGGACATTATTATGACTTCACTGTGGAGAAATAAATTTGCTCAGATTTAATCAAGGTTGGAGAACTTTGCTCAAAATGATTGTACAGGAAACGAAGCAAAAATTGTTATTATTCATCGCTATAGGCTATGCGTAAGGCGAGAGATCCATATTAGATTCTGGAGTATTTGATGCTGACGAAACGAAATGTCTTATTGACTGATTTGACTGAGTAGTGAGAAAGCGATAGATGTGTTAAATAACGGTAAAAGAGAGTGAGATAGAAGAAGAGAAGAAAAGCACGACCTGCCTTACGCCACGTGTTACGCGCAAGGTCGACTCGACGAGTTTTACAGTTTAGTCGTGGCGGCAATGGCGACTTGAGTTGCTCTAGGTGCACGTCATTCCATTTTTATCTCTTGTAACGGAAGCGGAAGTGGAATTCAATTAATATGGTAGAGGATCGTAATGATATCCTTCCAACTCATTTGAAAAGCAAAAGGGAATGTCAAGTGAAGTTTAGAGTGAAATTTTCTATATGATAAGACAAATATTTTTCTTGCAGAAATACATTCAAAATGGCGTCATTATGTTGTTAAAATTCCCGGTCTCTACTTTGATACACACATTATACAGCATATATAGCATATGTAAGTGAAAGACAGAAAATCAAATGGGCTAATTTAAATGTAATTTGAGATGGATAAGATTATAGAAAATGAATTACCTTGATTTCAAGTCGCAACGTCTCGTTGAAGAAATCCTCTGGAGTCAATGGATGCCGATTAACGATGAGTATTGTAGATTCCTTCAGCCGACTAAGAAATCCTTAGGGAGACTCCTAGATGACGTTAAAATGGCACAAAGATTCACGGGTCAACTTAATCGCTTCACCTTTCCACGTAAACACACAACTCTTATATTACACGAATGAATTAGGCGTTAAAAATCTTTTTTTTTTCACATTTTAACTCGCACAATTTACGTAGCCACGACAAATATCAATTAGCACGAACTGTTTTAATATACTCGTTGACTAGTCAATGACTGTTGGACATTTTAAAACTACTTTTTATGTATACTGACAATAACTTTGAAATTCGCTGGAAATGCGATTTAAGTACTTCCTTTTTATAAGAGAGAAATTATGAGGAGAGAATCCCAACTACTCTTGCCGATTAGCTAAGTAACGTTGCACTTGGTATACTTGATATACTTGTATAATATACGTTTAGATATCTGTGTATATATATATTTGTAGAATCATTTGTGAAGCAGAGTAGTCGGCACGCGCTATAGGGCCTTGTCAATGCTGAGAATTTTTTTTTATATTTAGAAGAGCTCGCTCAATATATCGCATGTATATATAAATAATAACGTTGGTTAAAAGAATATACCCTGTGCTCACGCTAGACCGTGGACTTCAAAATATTCATTTCTACGTGGTGATCATTGGTTAGATATATCTTATCGATTTTTCAAATATTTCTAAGTGAACGTGCGCGTGAAGTCAGAAACAGTCCTTATATTCAGCTTAAGAGAAAAATGAGCGGAGACTTCTTTTCGTGTTCTATAGATCTTTATCGACTTTCTTTAGAGTTATTGGAATTTAACGATTATTAGAAGTTAGTTCACGATGACGGTACTAAACAGACTCTCAGCTTGTTTTTGAAAAATTGTAGAAATTACTTTGTTTGCTCCCAACAGACTAATTCCTTGATGCTCCCAAGTATATGAAGGCCAGTTGAAACACAGGTATTTTAAATACTCCAAATTATATAAAATAAGATTATGTTGTTTATTTCTCGTTTTTTTTTTTACTTTAAGCAGAGCCACTATACAGTATTTGCACGTGAAATTTTATATTTTTTTTTTATACTCCAACTTGAGTTGTATTGGTCACGTTGAACATGGATATGCTTCCGTTGTAAGGGCTGCGCCAGAATACTTCTTAACACCCCGTGGGTGAAAAGAGACTCCGCAAAATAAATTTTCGAGTGATGCGTTAACCGGCTAGAAGCACGAATAATGATCTTACTATACTCGTATTTACCGCATGGACTTTCAAAAGCCTCTCTCTTTTCCTACTGTTATATCAAAACACCAGTAGCAACACTTCCTTTAGCCAATCCTTATGCTCAAATTCGTAAATATTCTCTGAAATACACTCTTCACCAAGAAAATATCGACTGAATCGGTTCTATAGAGTAATATTCCTATGAAATCTTGAAAAATGCACTTATTCACCAGGACAATATCCAATGATAATATGTCCTTCCACTACAATACCGATTCACTATACCAGATGTTTAAATATCAATGATTATGAAGATATACCGTAAGGGTTGTCCTCAAAGTGTTCAAATAAAATTTGGAAAATCCCGGGCGAAGAGTCCCTGCACTGGGAGCGGTTCGCGTGCACTACTGATACTCTCGACTCGATTACACTCAGGAGCTAGGAGCCCTTGGGATCGGTGGACTCCTGGACGGTCGTACTCTTGATGGTACACTCGAAACCAGGAAAACGTACGACGTCCGCGCACATCCTCGCGACAGCCCTGGCGAGCGCCGACTGCTTATAACTTGTAACTCGTAGACAAGGCGAACCCGCAAACCACGAGAGCCAGTGAGTTGCCACGGGCGAGTAGCACTTCGACCGTCGTGTAGTAGTAGCAGCTGACCGACCGAACCACCGGAAAGGCTTTCCTTACTTCTCTTAGCCACCCTGAATCTCGACGTCCTCGTTCGTAAGGACGTTTCTGTGGGCGTAGGACAGCTGCTGATGAACCCGATTACGAGTCGCCGCAAAAACGGCTCCTCGGAAATAATAAAAAGGAAACCGGAAAGGAAAAGCGGCGAGTGCGCCCCGCGAGTACCCACAGTCGCGCAGTTCGATCGTTCGCCGTCGTAGGCGCCACCGTGCACCACTAAAGGACGCAGGCGTCGCCACGCAACTCGACGCACGCATTTGTCCCTTTCCCGACTTCCCCACTTCCTCCATCCAACGCAGCATATATGAACGAAACACACCGTACTCTCTCGCACTCACCGATGGATTCTTCAATCGTTCGAGTTCTTTTTTAGAATATATCTGTTTGTTCATTCCCCCGCGTCACGTTCATGCAAGCTTTTATACTTTAAGGCTCAAACCCTTCTTGTATTGTAGGATAATTAATCGATAACCGCCGTTTCGTGAGAATTCATCCAAACTGCAAGAAGTCCTGGGTACACGCGTGTTGATAAATGCTTCATACTAAAATCGAGGTATCGAATCATTTATTCCATACTCCAAATCAGCATTTTTGGATTACTAATTTTTAACATTCGCTATTTAGCACGTTAAAAGTTATTAGAGTTATCTTTTAAATTTTTTTACTCTTTGTATTATTAATATTAACTGGATGTTCATCAATAGTGCCTTATAATACTCAGAAATTCATTGATATAACGTTTTCTATTTTTTCGAAATGCACGTCTCTTAATAAGGTCAAGCCTTATTTTCATTCTCCTTTTTTTTCTTCTCTACCGATGCTCGAAGACAAGCTAGGCTCGTTAACAGGATTAGGAAGCGTTGCAAATCTCGTGCTATACATTTGAAATAGAGACTCCATTATTTTTGTATAATTCTTTAAAAGTTTTGCTAGACAATGCATGAAAGCGAATTTTTTCAAAAATATAATTGCAGTCTTTAGCCCAATAATACGTAATGATTATTATTTTTAAATAATCTCAACAATCATATAAAAGTCAACTACTATATTAAATCGAACTTTCCAAATGTAGTTATTTAGTAACGCATTGCGCCTAGTTTTAGATATATAACAGATTGATTACCTAATAAATCACAAGTAAAAAATAATAACAGTTTAAACAATAGGTATTAACATCGCCTAGCAACGACCTTATAAATTGCTAATGAACTTTTCACATCAGCATTGAACGACGCTATCGCTGCTCTTTGACTGTTATGTATGCAGACGGAGATTAGTAGATATATAGCAAAAATTAGTACTTTATAGCACATATGGAATAGCTTGAAATTGATAACGGATTAATTTTTTGCTAAGAAAATTGGTTAAGCAATAATTTCCGTTGTATAATAAAAGTAAAATAGACGACACCAATGAAGAGGAAAACGTTAGAAGAATTTACAAAGATATCATAATTGACCTAAGCATTAATCATAATTACTTCGTGTCCCCAAGGATAGGTCTGGGGCTCTCAAGTTCTTTACTTACAGACCAGCCTGTGCGTGCACGTACATAAAATAAAGTTAAGGCACATGTGACTTCAATATAGAAACTGACAAACCGCAAATTTACGCCAGGGATTAAATTACGCGATGGTAGGCTAAACAAGTTCAGTGAGTAGGCGTCTAATGATCACAAATCTTGCATAATTAAAATGCAAGTACTATCATGATTTCAACAGTTTTCAATAGTCTCTTGAAAAACTATTCAATTGCTAACGAAAATCAGTGCTGTTCCAACAATAATTTCCTCATTTACTCATAGCTCCTATAAGAGTCAATATGATTACCTGATTACATACATGGATATAATAAGCGATTAAAAATTGCAACAAAATTTATACAGATTAAACGAAATTTCAGTTCAATCGAAAAGGAATGCGACTCTGGCGTCACCTTACGACGTGGTAGACTGACAAATAAAATGCCTCAGCTAGTACCTTGCGGCATCGGGTCACGCGTACAAATAGTTTTATTTTCATCCAACCTATGTAGAAATATACGCGTCATCCCTAAAGATATCAGACTCACTACATTACTATAATAATATATCATAATTAATAGTAATTTGCAAGCTAAACAAAACCCAATAACTAAATAAGTGTAATCAATGATAAAGCCATTATTTAGGAATCGATTGATATGTACATACCTATCAGTACATACATGTGTACCTATATAATTGTTCTTCACATCTGATTAGTGTATGCCTAGTATCCGCACTTGGTCGCCTATGAGTTTTGCAAGAATAACGCTTGGCATTTGTGGTACTACACTCTCAAGCATAATGTGTCATGCATATACACACCTGGGGCTTCTATAATCGAATAAATCGTCACGTTGATGAAGACTGTGAAATTTCTCTAGCGTAAGATTACCTCTTTTGATTACTTTACTAATCATTTTGAACTATTCGGAGAGAAAATTCTGAAGATAGCCAATTTCAGGGTGCTACCTGGATCCTGGCCTGACATTTAAGGTATTACTACGGTAAACTCAAAACCGCGTAATCGAGCTAAAATTTGTTTTACGTCTAATTTGTATAGCAGTACATCTCTCTACAAATTTTTAACACGATTCACTCATCGATTTCCGAGTATTTCCGAGTTAAAGTCAGAACTCGTAACACGTATTCCCTATACCTGGCCAATAAAATGCGCATGGTTTTTTTTTATTGCATTTGACTCGTCCGCGTAATTCCGATGAAATACTACTATGTGGCAAAGGAAAAAATTAGGAATTTTTTAGATTTTTAGTCAGAACTTTTTACTCATAGGATTTATTGATAGATATGGAAGAAGTCGATATTTATTACGAAATCTCTCGTACGACGGCTGACAAGAGAGCGTCGGTGTATATAGGTATACACTATTACATCCACTGTGATACCGTGACCGATGCATATACCTTTTCGGTCCGTAGTAATACCTTAATAAAAAATCGAGGAATTTTCTCGCCTTAGCCAGTGAGCATTAACGACAGATACACTTGCAATATATATGAAATACATACTATATATATAATTAATATTTCATACTTACAGGACAACAGCACGCTTCATCTCTTTGTTTAAATCTGATGGAGAAAGATGCGATCCTGTTGTACCTAATGGTGTAACCCTGAAGTAACGGATATGCGGGTTCCAGGGCAATTGGCGGGAAATGTTCAAGACACGTTTGCAGATCTTGGATTTCTCGATGGAAGTCTAAAATATTTAGTGAAAAATTATTTTTAAATTAATATACTATTACTTTTAATGTTCTAATGGTATTACTCTCATCGGTATATTTATTGACCGACCTGCATATTGTATTATCCAGTTGGATTCGTGTGACTCCGTTATTCTGTACACATTCAGAAGGTAGTTAAAGTTTAAATTAGATAATTATATCTTAGTACAACAATAGAAATGCTATTTAAATATTATAATTAATTGTATTTCTTATTACCTATTATTTTATTGAAGGTTCGCAAGTTCTTTCAACGTCCCGACAACGACTGCTCGATAGAATGGCCTCTTCTTAGCTTTATCAATTAGAAAATGGAACAACTGTCGTTGCCAAATGTGAATACTATTACGGTCACATATGCGATTCTAATTGAGAACGACTGTTTAATTGTTCTCGTTTTAAACTAGATTTAATATCGTTGTCGATAATGAATTTAAAAATTATGAAATTTGACTTTTGTTTATTATTTGTAACGGTTTCGCGAGTACCATTCTTTAGTAAATAGTCACATCTCCACGATTTAAACGACTCTGGATTTCATAAAAATTACGGTTGACTGACTTAAATTTAAATTTTTCTCCAATAACCAAAAGTATATTTATAAAGTTTCTTAATGCATTTAAGTATTTTATTATTCTATTGGTTTGTAATATTTTGAATATTGTTATTACGCAATACATGTTTTTATCCCTCTTATCGGTATATTAATATTATTTATTTATAAAATTAATGGCTGCGGCCTTTTTAAGGGAAGGTCTCACCAAAGTTAACCGAGTGTTACATACGAGATTAACCCATGATTAACTTATGAAATATCGGTATTTTTTAAATATATTTAGAAACTTTTTGAATATAGATATCTGATGCGATAATCTCGCAGGTAACCCTCGGTTAGTCAGACGGTCCTTAAAGTTTAGAAATCTATCATATGTCAGGCCTGAATAACTTGGTTTTTGTGGTTACAATAATTGTCATTTGAAATGAGATATCTGTATTATATGTAGTAACACTTTAAACTTTCTTGCATCATCCTACATATAAGATGTGAGCGCATGCGTCATTTAACTATACATATTGCTCTTGTGTCCACGTGTTTCGTCCATCGTATCAAGTGCATTTAGTCCATGAAGTTATTAAGTAATTTTTAGTTCCTTACTTAACACGTTGAGTACCACGTCAATTATCCCCGTCAGGCCACGCGCGCAGCTTAGAAGTACGTTGGTATTGTGGTATAGCAATGCGAAGCGCACTATTAACAAATCGAAAATTACTTGATGCAAGTGTGGAAACATATTAGGGCCATTGTTTCTTATTGTAATAGTTTTATGTCATATTTTACATTATCAGCCACCGGGGATTGACACGGCCTAAACTGAAGGTTCAGTGTCAGTCATCGATGACTGATGTGGCACTCAAGTGTTAATTTATGAATTTTGTACAGGTTGTTGAGCACTCTTTGATAAACTGCAAATACATATTTTGATTTATCTACTTGGTATCTATTCGTGCTGGTAAGATTTAAAAGATTATTATTATTATTATTAGATGCCTTATGAAATTTTATAAAATACTGTATTGATATGTTTAGTGTTTAATGTTTAAAACCGATCTGATACTTTATCTAAAAACTTTCTAATGGTCATTCGAACGTTGTGCCAATCTTTCTTTGTCCATATTCATTTAGCTTGTGTATCTTAAAACTATGTATGCTTAGTATTTACTGCCAAATTACTTAACATATGTTATAAAAATTATTAGCAAGTATTAAACTTTATATATTTTATATGAGCAATTTTGAATTAATTATTCTAAGATTTATTGAATCAACTTTTCAGAGGCTAATAATGTGTGGTATTTGGGCTGTGTTTGGCTTCGGCAACAATGGACTCTTATGTGCATGCCACAACTTTCCCAAAATATCCCATCGAGGACCAGATGCCTTTAAAATAGAATATGATAGTCGGGTTCAGGTAAGTTTTTCTACTGGAGTCACATCTAATAATCATATTTTTATACATATTTATCATAAATACTGTATTTTACTTGCAGAATGGTTATCTCGGCTTTCATAGACTTTCTATTATGGATTCACTCTGTGGAATGCAACCAATGAGATTACACAAATATCCACAATTGTTTTTGATCTGCAATGGAGAATTATACAACTATGCAAGGGTATCCACTAAAGGCTATACACTAAAGAATTTGATATATATTTTTATAATAAAATTTGAATACATTATAGAATTTTCTTTTAGCTGAAAAAACAGTATGATTTTGAATATGTCACAAAATGTGATGTCGAAGTGATTATGCATATCTATGAGGAACTAGGTGCAGATGCCACAGCTCAGGCTTTGGATGGAGTCTTTGCATTTTGTTTACTAGACATTAAGAGATCAAGAATTCTTATTGCCAGAGATCCTTATGGTGTAAGGCCCCTTTTCCGATTGAGGGACAAAAATGGTCAATTGGGTATATGCTCAGAAAGCAAGGTAATTAGGGTTGACTAAAATAATTAATATATGATCAATCGTTGTAAATCGTAAATACAACAAAAATCGCCATTGCGTAGGGTCTTATGGATATGGTAAAAAGTTATCCAAGTGATTGGACTCTGGAACCATTCCCACCAGGACATTACGAGGAATATGAACTTTTACCAGATGGAAAAACGAAACTTTTGACAAGTGTCAATTATCACAAGCCTGGTGACAAGCCAAAGTTTCAAGAATATATTCCTTGGAATAGTATGTCTTATTTAGATTTCTATTTTTATACTTTTTTACGTCATGTTTTACTTGTACAATAGGATATTCACATTGTCGCAACCGTCTAACAAAGAAGCTAACATAACAATTTCTTGTCAGCTTTGAGTCCTAAGGACATTCATGGGAACATTAGGAAATTATTAACAGCAGCTGTAGAAAAGCGCCTAATGGCAGACAGGAGAATCGGCTGTTTGTTATCCGGTGGTCTTGATTCCAGTTTGGTAGCAGCACTACTTGTTAAACTTTCCAAAGCAAATAATTTTCCTTATAAAATTCAAAGTTTTGCAATCGGAATGGGTGACAGTCCAGATATTGTGGCAGCACGACAGGTCGTTATTTAGTGTTTTAAAAAATCAAAGAAACCGGTCAAACATATCTTTTTGTTATTTCAATATTCATTCATTACAGGTCGCTGATTACCTTGGAACTGATCATCATGAAATTAGTTTTACGCCTAAAGATGTTATAGAAGTGTTGGATGACGTGATTTATCAACTGGAAACTTTTGATATTACCACAATCCGCGCTTCCATTGGGTAAAATTATAATTTAACGGTTCAAGATTTAATGTAATCAATTTTGTAACTATCCTGTATATCTTTAATTTAATTTACAGAATGTACCTAATTTCAAGGTATATTAAACGCAACACCGATACCGCTGTGATATTTAGTGGAGAGGGTGCCGACGAATTGGCACAAGGCTATATTTACTTTCGGGATGCACCAAGTAAAATTGATGCTCACAATGAATCATTAAGATTGCTCAAAGATATTTATTTGTATGATGGGCTGAGAGCTGATAGAACAACTAGTTCATTTAGTTTGGAGCTCCGAGTACCCTTTTTAGATCTACAGTTTACAAACTATTACCTTTCATTAGATCCTGCTTTAAGGCAGCCTCAAGGTGGGATATAATTAAAGAAAACGTAGTGTCTTTAAATCTCAATAATTAAATTCATACATTTTATTCATTAGATAGCATTGAAAAACATTTACTGAGATCTGCCTTTGATAACACTGATTTATTACCTTCAAACATTCTATGGAGACACAAGGAAGCCTTTAGTGATGGTGTTGCTTCGATAAAAAAGTCACTATTCCAAATAATCCAGGATCTAATAGAAGATCGTGTTCAGGATGTAGAGTTGAAACAAGCTTATATTACCTACCCTCACTGTACTCCAGAAACAAAAGAAGCGTTTTATTACAGGTACCAAAGCTAAATATCGGACACTGAATAAATTGTAAGAAATTTCCTGGTTTTAACAGTCTTTGAAAACTAAATATTTCATTGTAGGAAAGTTTTTGAATCTCATTATGGTGGACAAGCAGAAAAATTTACTCCATACTTTTGGATGCCACGATGGATCAAGGGTATATCAGATCCATCAGCTAGATTCATAACCCATTATAAAACAGATGAGAAAGTGGAAGATTAACTAAGCATTGTCATATTTATAGACATTGGAATTAACTGTTTTGTAAAAACATGGCTAGTAAATAATAATACAATAAAATTAAAGTTAAATTTATATTCTACTGCATATCATCTTTTTTAAAATTCTTATAATATAAAAAGCACTGTTCCATGCGTATTATCTAATGAAAGTGATAAAATGCTTGTTATGTTTTCTGAATTCTACTGCATTGAATAAAATAAAACAAAAATTATCTTCGTTTTGTATATATTTTTATTCTACCTCTAGAAAATAGAAGCTAATAATAGGAAAAAAAAAATGTAATTTATGAAATATTTGACAATCATAATTGTTATCTATACATTGCCTAGTACATTAGAAAAAAGAATGCCTGTACCCCTGGTGGGACTCGAACCCACAATCCCCGGTTTAGGAGACCGATGCCTTATCCATTAGGCCACAGGGGCTGTTGTGTAACGAATATTGTTTGTCGAATAGTTTGAAACAGTAACTTTTACTTGACAGTATTGTAAATATATGAATTCTAGCACGCAACAGCATGTATTTTATTCTTCCGTTATTCAAATTCTATGTTGAATTTCGAATATTTCATGCTGTCCGGTAAAGTTGTGTGACGATCATAGTATGCCTGACTAAACAGCTGTCTTTCCATGTATTAAAAATGGCGTCCATGTCGCATAACACATGATTTCTATAGTCTTTAAGTTTGAATACATGGAATTTTTATAACTGTGGCTGTGAAACAATTTATGCAAGGTAAATTCGCAGTTTACACCAATGCATAGATTTGTTTTGTATAGTGTATGTATATCTATATTATGATCATTGTATATAATACACTTCTAATGGTAATATTGCACTTGTATTTTCAAAGGTAAAAAGTATTACTTCAAAAATTTTCTTTTATACTGTTTTCTAAAATTAATTTTCTTGATCATTTTCACTTGAAAGCTACATTCGATACTCAATATCACTTAGTTCTTATCATTCATCCTTATCATATAATTTATTTTCAGATGATTTCAACAAGGTATGCCTCCTTTATATCAGGAATAATAATAGCATCTGCCACCTGGGCCTTCAGCTTGTATCTTTATTCAAGATTGTCTCAGAATTCAAATACAGCAAATCCAACAATGTTTGTAGCTGATTTATCTAGACCTTTAAAAGAGTCTGTATTTGATCAGAGAGTTAATCATGACCATACAGGCGAATTAGTACTACGTGATAATTCCATATCTGAATTTCATCATAAAGAATCTAATGGTAATGAGGCTTACAATTCTAAGGGTAAAAAACTAAATCAACCTTACCAAAACAGTGAAAAACTCTTGCAACAATTGCAACCATTACCAGTTAAACCATCTGTCACTCTTGGTCAAGGTATTACTCTTCATACTCTGAAGACAACCAGTTGTGTCTGCATTCCATTACAATTTATTCAATTTCAGGTCTTGAGGAGCTTGGAATGGTAAGAAATGTAGCAGAGCAACAAAAACGCGATGAAGGCTACAAAAATTATGCATTCAATATACTAGTATCCGATAACCTCAGTCTTCAAAGAGAAATCCCTGATACAAGACACAAGCTTTGTAAAGAGCAAACATTTCCAAAGAACTTACCAAATGCAAGCATTGTCATTTGTTTCTACAACGAGCATTATCAAACACTACTGCGATCATTACACTCCATTATTGACAGAACACCAAAAGTCTTGCTGCATGAAATTATTTTGGTTAACGATTGGAGTGAAAGCGATGCATTGCACGAGAGAATAAATCGCTACGTGAATAATAATTTTAACGGGAAAGTTAAACTATTCAAGACTGAAAGAAGAGAGGGTTTGATCAGGGCTAGAATGTTTGGAGCTAGAAAAGCTACTGGCAAAGTGTTGATCTTCTTGGATAGTCACATTGAAGTTAATAAGATGTGGATAGAACCATTGCTCTCAAGAATTGCTATATCAAGAACTATTGTACCCATGCCAGTTATTGATATTATTAACGCAGATACATTTCAGTATACCAGTAGTCCTCTAGTGAGAGGTGGTTTTAATTGGGGATTGCATTTCAAATGGGACAACTTGCCTGTAGGCACTCTAGTTCATGATGAAGACTTTGTAAAACCTATCAAGTGAGTTAACACTTATATTATCTATTTCTTTATAATAATATATTATCTTATTCTAGATCCCCAACTATGGCTGGCGGATTATTTGCAATGGATCGACAATACTTTATAGAATTGGGCGAATATGATTCTGGGATGGACGTGTGGGGTGGTGAAAATTTAGAAATCTCATTTAGGGTAAAAAATATCAATTAATTTTATTAACAATATTATATTATAGTATAGATAATATTAATAACGATTTTTAGATATGGATGTGTGGTGGCAGTATAGAATTAATTCCGTGTTCCCGCGTGGGACACGTATTCCGTAGACGTAGGCCTTACGGTGGTGATGATCAACATGATACCATGCTTAAAAATTCACTGCGCGTTGCTTACGTTTGGATGGATAAATATAAGGAATACTTCTTACGAGATGCTAAAAAAGTTGATTACGGCGATATCTCTGAAAGAGTGGCCCTACGTCAAAGGTTAAAGTGTAAAGACTTTTCTTGGTATCTGGATACTGTTTATCCTGAGCTGGTATTACCTGATGATAGCGAAAGACATTTAAAAGATAAGTGGGCGAGAATCGATCAGAAACAAGTGCAACCCTGGCACTCGAGAAAAAGAAATTACACGGATCAATATCAAATTAAATTAGCTAATTCAGCTTTATGCATACAAAGTGAAAAAGATATTAAAACAAAAGGTTCGAAGCTTATTTTAGCACCATGTCTACGAATAAAATCACAGGTGAGCATTAAAACTGTTTATTTTATATTATAACGAAAAATAGTACACATTAAAAAAGTTGTATACCTTATTATATTATTTTAGATGTGGCACGAAACTGACAAAAATGAATTAATTCTTGGCCAAATGCTTTGCATGGAAGCTAATGAGAAAAGGCCAATTCTTGGTAAATGTCATGAAATGGGTGGAAATCAGGAATGGCGCCACAAGGGAAGCGTAAGTATTATTTCTATATAGTTATATTGATTCAAATATTTATACACTTGGATTTGCATTCATGAACATACTATACTGTTTTTTAGAATGGAACTCCTATTTATAATATGGCTGCTGGTACATGTCTGGGTGTAATGCGTGCAAACAGAAAGTCTCAAATTATTATGGATTTGTGTAAAAAACATGACTCTTCTTTGATAAATTGGGACCTTGTGCGCTCAAAATTGCCTGCAACAGAGATGAGATGACGTAGGAGAAAAGGTCGCAGGAATAGGCGGAAGGAAGATGAAGATTGGCTTGGTCGTAAATGGTAAAAGATATAACGCATAATCAAACAATTTACGTGAAACATTTGTGATAAATACGGGGATGTTTATTGTAATCTTAACGAATGTTTGACTTCGTAATCGATATATTCATAATACTCTAATGTCCCTTCATAGTACATATTTCGTAAAAGTCTCGAAATTAGTTAGTATGCAAGTACTATATAAGTATTTTCGAATGAGCTACTCAAAATTTAGAATATTAACATTTATCTCAATCGAGTAGTGTGTTGTTTAGATTCATATAATAATTGTAAATCATTATACCTGAAGATATTGTTGCTGTAGGAGAAAATATAACGAATTGGTGTTTGAGAACAAAGTCAAAATCTGTATCTTTAGCCTAGCTGACCATAGTTAATATAATTATGACTCAAGGTGTTCCAAATGCATTTTATAGTTTGTGTGATTAATGATTAAGAAATAGATATGTTCCATCTATATCTTTTTGTGAAATGTTAATGACTATTAAAAATCTCTTTTAATTGCGTACTTTCAAGGATTTGTATTTTGAGCAGCATAGAAAGTTATTGATAAGTCTATTTGATATTATTTTAAAAAATTGTAAATTATATACTTACACTTTGACCATGTAAATTTTTTTTTATATCTTTTTATATTATTACCATTTTGTTATAATAAATAATTCAACGTACAGTCATTACAATTTTCCTTATTTTTTCCGATATGATTATTCAAATTATATACGCGTTGCGATCGTTATGATAATGTAAAGATAGGTCAGGGTGGGTTACGTTAGTACACATCATTCAAGAGTAGAAGATACGTATGTGATAATATGACAACTTCAAAAGAATTAAATATAGCGAGAAAGAGCCTCATAGCTTCTCTGGGAGAGAATGCTAAAGTGTAAGTTTCGTTTATTAAACTAATTAAATTTGTTGTGCTCTTTTTAAAGTGAAATTTATGTTGCTATCAATCGAGGTTAGGTATTTGAATACTTCGATAAATTACCAATAAAACGTGAATAATGACAATAACAGGAATATATTAATATAATTTAATATCTCTTGTATTTTTTAATTAAATGTATGTGTTGCTAATATTTATAATTTTCAGCAGTTATTTCGAGAAGATGAAGCTTTGGTTTCAAATGAAGGTATAATTATCCTTTTTATTGTATTTGATCCTAAGTTAAACCACTAGGAAAGTTAGATTTTGTACGATTATACCTTGATTAATAAGTTTAATTATACAATGCTTTTTAGACAACAAAAGAGGAATTTGATTGTGAGGCTCGTAACATGATGACTGAAGATCAAGTTCACCTTCACAATGAGTTCCTTTTATGTTTATTTAATAAAGTAAGAGGATTAGCTGCTGCAACAACAGTTAGAACATCAAAGCTCAATAATATTCATGGACATCTTGATAAAGATAAAGTGTTAAAAGAGAAAAGGTTACGTTTGAAGCGTAAATACAAAACAGACAAGTCCAATTTTGAGGTAAGTAGAAGACTTAAAGATACTCTAGGTATATTTTTTTTAAATGTTTTACATTATGTTATGAATTTTTAGCCAGCAGACATGTATGTAGAAGTTCTTGGTCAAACCTCAGCTCCTGTAGGGGATGAACCAATTGGAGCGAATCGCTCCAGTGCTCAAGAACTTGTATTGCCAGACCGAACATTTGTACTAGCCAGGTTAATGCTGGCTGCTTGGGAAAATAATATGGATGGTGCTGAGGAGAACACTGCTCACATTATTATAGCTGCTACTAAAGTTTTCTTGAAAAATATACTTACTGCTATTCTGACTAGGCAAAAAGGATATTCTGTTAAAGAAGGCAGTTTTATTTATAATATTGGAGAGCCGGTACCAAGTTCCTGGAAAAGGAATACTACATATACTGCTGAATCATTTAAATACAGGTATGATCCATGGCAATTGATGTTAGACATTACAATGACTAAATCCTTGTTTCACTTATTGACAGTGCACCAACTAGAATAGAAGATCCTGATGGTCAAGTACCTACAATAAAACAAAATGTGGAGGAAGTTGAACAGGCCACTGCATTTGCTATGGCTTGTTCTACGCAAACTACAAAACCTACACCTCATTCTGTTACTGTAGCAGATCTGCAACAAGCACTAAAGGTAGGTAGAAGATACTTCAATAACACAATAGGAAACTAATTATTCTAAATAACTAATACCTTCTAGAATGGGCTAATCGTAAGTTTGATATGTTTTAATCAAATTTTGCAGATCTACAAAAATCTTGTTTGCAATCACACAATATATGCGACAAATATGGAGAGATTGTATACTTACGCGACACATCCGACATGGGATGATTTGGACGCTCGAAAGATGTTATGTCGAAGTTCAAAAGATTGAAATTATGGTCTTATTCTTCGACGTAATTCTTTCGTTCGTTTTATATAAGAATTAATACTTTGTGAGTTAATACTATTGATACCAATAGCAGAAATTAGTACCTCAAATGTGTATATATATTTCCTATAACAAACTACAATATGCAATTCTTAGAAAGCAATATGTCATCTATTATATGTTAAGAAAAAATAGACGGCTTGTGTGTACAAAGATTTTATATATTTAGAGGCAGATCTTATCAGGCACTTCAAAATAATTGCATGAATTGGATTGTTTATACACTCCCATAAAATAGATACGTGTAAGTATAATAAAATCTGTGTTGTCCTAATTTAGTTATAATTTAATGTGTAAATCAAGTACTGAAGTTTTACATCAAATTCGACATGAAATTATTAAAGATTGATCTGCAGTAGTATAAACGTATCTTATGTATTATAAAGCAATTACATTTTTTACGAAATCATAATATTTATTTATCGCTTTTCTTACATAAGTAAACGTTGTAACGTGTTTAAAAATATTAATCAGAAAACAAAACAAAGTAGATGTTCAACCGTATCAGTACAATTTCCCAATTTTAGCCTATGTTAGGAAACCAATCTCTATTTAGAAATTGGAATATTAATAAAAATGCTTTGCAATGCGCGTTGCTCCACGAACAGATTAGTTTCCTCAATTATGAAATCGAATTTTAGAAAGTGAAGTACGTTTTGCAAACGTTTTTCTGATTTATAATACAATTTATTAAACTCTTGTTCACATTCTTATTTGGAATCGACCAGCTTTAGTAATGTATTTCACTCCTTTAAATGGCTTATACTTTTCTCCATACATATCCAGTCGATTCACTTTCAGTCCTGATACTGCCAATTGATTAATTGTGAAATGAACCTATGAAATAACATTAAGAATTTGTATATTTATATATATTAAGTTTACAATTAACGTATATATAGCTATATACTTACGTTTATGGCAGGATTAGATTCCATGACTGTAGCTGAGTTTTGTATAGTGATCTGCAATACGAAAAAATTTATCAAAATATGGAAATATCTTAAATAAATGTAGAATTTCATCAATGCTTATTTGGATTTTACCGATCCTCTTAAATTCGGTAGTTTTGATACATCTATTCTTCCGATATCCCAAAGAAGAATCTTACTGACTGGATCAAAGGAATATTTTCCTTGGTTCGGCACTAGGCTGCAATTTAGTACAACCTTTGGCATTGGAATTTCCAATGTAACATTTTCCACCTGAATAATATGCATATGCCCAGTATAATATTAGATCTAATTGGAATCTTAAAAATGAACTAGAATCATACTGTTCTGCCAATCGTTTGTTTTGGTCCCACAGTGATATCCAATCTTCCACCACCTGCTTCTTTCAGGCTAATGTTATGCCTAACGTATATGGGAATGGCCACTATACTTTGCGATCCTATATGGTATGATAAGAGCCTGAAGTTTCCATCAGGAGGAATGAAAGATAAAATTCTTTCTGACTGAAATAGAATAATCATAAATTCTTATTTATACATGAAAATAATACTTTTTAATGAACGTCATATTCATACCTCCCATCTTTTAAATCTTACACAAGGATGAAAGCTAACATCATCAAATAATCTTGGATTCATGAATGACAGTGTCAGATCTGGCATGCCGCTAAGCTTAATACAACAGTCAATCTGGAATAAGTGGCTTATAATATAAATGTGTCTAAAAATTATGTACATGTTATTCATCGTTTAAAGTCACATACGTAGCCCTGAATTTCAGCAAATACTGTAGCGCCTGTTTTATCGATAATAGCATCCACTTCTTCCACAACATCAAAATAGGCTTCGTTATTAGTATACTTTACACCAGTTCTTCTCCAAGGTACATTTGATAACTGACCACTTGGTAAAATAGCACTGACACTATGAAGCATATAGAGAAAAAGATATAATCTTTGAACTTGAATTATTTGAATTGAACTATATAAATTATTTACTTTGATTTGCCTGTAACAGTGTTTGCAATAGTCCTTAATATATTAGGTGGTTTAATAAGTTCCTTGAGTATATTAGATTCCGTTGCCAATGGAAAACCATTATCCAACATCTCATCCAATAACTCATAAACCACAACATAATTTTCTTTTACGATTGATTCTGTACATTCACTGAAATAGTCCTCAAAAGTATCTACGACTCTGTGAAGAAATTCAATAACAAACAATGGTGGAACTGAAAAAAAATCATACAAAACTGATTTTCTCTGTGAAGCAATGTATATATAGGAATTAAATACTTATAAAATTATCTAATTTACCTTCAGTCATACAGACTGCAACAAAAAACATATTGCATCTGTATATACTGATAAGATAGTGATGTGGGGTTGCAATTACAGGAGGAGTATCCTCAGGTGAAAGTACCCTTCGTTGTTGATCAAAGAAGTAATCACATAGTGAACGTGCAACCGCACTTTTCCAATGTTTTTCCATGAACACATCGCTACAATAATAATTAACAATCGTGTTGGTTAACCTAAGAACTGTCAAATGTCAAATAGAATCCAAACACTTACCCGGAAGAATTAATAATGAAAAGACTGTGGATCATCTTCTTGGTATGAATATAACAAGTTCCGAAAGTTCGAATTGAATAATTATATGACTACTAGATAATTATAAATCTAACATACACTACGATCTGTTTGACACACTTCAGCCCTGCCATAACCAGAAATCAAGCATAAACCGGAACCATAGAAAGAATTTATCTAGACCTACAATATTCTGTGATATTCTGCATATTATGTCTCATAGAAATAAATTTTAGGTTCATTTTTTTGGAAAAAACATAGAAGAATTAATAAAATCAGATTGTTTGAATAGCATGCTTTATTAATGTATTATTATCTGTAGCAGTAAAAATATTAATATATAATAGAACCTAAGTAGGACAAATCCAGCACAATTTGTTGCAATGGTTTTGTTTATCCAATCTAAGTATCTATCGACTCTACAGTAAACTCCTGGTGTTCGTGGTCGAGCACATCCAGAGCCCCAGGATACTATCCCAAAAACCAAATCCTTGCAAACTAACGGTCCTCCGCTATCACCCTAAAACACATGTTTCTTACTGTTATTTTCATTTACTTAACATTTGTATATTATCATCTTTTTAATGTTTTGTACTAATACATTAAATAATACTTTTAAATTCAAGATAACAGACCTGACACGCATCTGCGCCACCCTCTGGCTTTCCAGCACACAGACTCGCAAATAGGGACAGTGGTCTTACTTTGCATTTACTCGTCTCAATTAGGGGTACTTTAACATGCTGAAGAAACTGGCCTGCGTTTTTCTAAATACAATTTGTCATCTGTACATATTTTCTGACCAGTATACAGTCACCTACCACTTCTCATTAAATATTGAATATAAAGATAACTATGTACATACATTACTATTAGGACGAATTTGGCCCCATCCAGCAACTGTGCATACTACAGCACCCTTAAATAAATCGTTATCAAATATTACTGGTAGTGGTGCTAACTGTACATATGCATTTCTGTTAAAGGGTTTGGTAATCTGTAAGAAAACATAAACAGTCGCACAACCAATATCCTTAAAAAAATTTTAAGAATTATTTTTAAGCTGCTATATTACCTACCCTGATAAGAGCAATGTCATTAAACATATGCTGGAATCTAAACAGAATGTGTGGCAAAACCTTATCTACGTAGCGAATTTGGCTGGTGTCAGAACTCAGATGCCGCACTGTATTGGATCCTGCGAGTACAAACATACTTGAGGCTTGTCGTATCTGCCAGGGGTAACCGTTGTAATAGGCACTAATAAGGGAGGATTATCATTTTGATAATATTATCTATACGTGAAATAATGTTATCCACGTTACATACTTGACTACACAATGTGCTGCTGTTAAAAGAAATCTCGATTGAATGTAAGAAGCTCCACAAATGTGAGACAGAGGATTCTGCTGAATCGAGACCTGAATGTTTAATTGACATAAGAAGTTAAATGATAAAATATTGTTTAATCACTAATTATATAGAAGCAACTTTTATCTACATGTCAGCCGCTGTTTCAGTTATTTACATAATTTATCATATATTTTCTACATCCAGCATACTGTTTATTCACTCACAATATAAGGATAGTTTTGTATATCAACCGGTTGTCCGCCTATGATACGCGATTCAATTTCCACATCATCTGTCTTCTTCTGAATTTTTTCTGAACGCGAAGTACTCGTGTTTTCTATGAGCCATACGGATGCTAAAAGAATATCACAGAAATATGCTCTATTAAGTGGATACATTTCATCTCATTTAAAAGAGTTTCATGAAATACGAGATAAAAAAGTGAAGAGGGACTTTTGAAAATGAAGATCTCGCACCCTTCTTTTATTCATTATACCAAAGTCACGGCAGTAGCCATTGGGTATATCGCATATTATCTCCAGTCATTAGCTGGCAATCCAGCAAGAACGTACTTAATATTGTATTGGATGAACCTGCGGTAAGCGCCTTTAATAGATTTCACTTTTTGATGTATATTAATAACGACCTTTGCCATATTTTCCACGTCCATATTTTCCTCTTTTATATTTTCGTTATCTCTCTTAACATATTGTACACATTATTTAATTATCTTCTAGCAATTGACGTTTATAAAAGTACACTCATATGTATCACGCATAGTATGCACACGATAGCAATCAGTGAAACTTCTTGACGATGATTCTGTGCCGACGATGAGTTCTCTGGTGTCGGTATAATATTCACTACAAAGATAGAAAGCAGAAATTAACATATATATTTAATCAGATGGATAGTTATTTTAAAGTGCACTACATCGTACCCTTCACTGTCATTTGTTTAAAGTCTGCATACTCTCCATGATGCATCGGGTAACCAGGTATAGTTGATTGACATATTATTTCCAAATGATCATTTTCTGCTATATGAAGGTTCGACACTTCTATCTTTAGATTAACAATAGCGAACATCATACCGTCATCGGTTGTAAATGAGTATTGGGTGACCTTAGTAACATCCACCTTAAAAATTAGCCAAAAACAAATGTACTTAAGAAATTATCATCCCTTATAGACAGTCATAAGAATTATTTTAAATAGAGGATGTTATACGTCATTGCCATTAATCAACCACGTCAAGTGAGGAAGTGGTCGCGCTGGAGAAGATGTACAGTTTGCCTCTAGATAGTCGCCGACGACGTAGAAGGTCTTAGTGAATGTTATCAAAGGAGCGGATGTCTGCGGCACTGAAATCATCCAGAACCCCCAAGGTTCTTACTTTTTGAAGGATCGATCGTGTTGGATGTTGGAAAGGTAGGGCAGTTGCACAAGGGGTGCGCATGTTTATATATATATGTATATATATAAATGCATACTTCACTACTGTGTGAATATATATATATATATATCTTATAGGCGTTTACATAAATGTGCCAAATTAAATATCTACACTTGCAGAAATATCTAAATCACTAATGTCTACGCACCTATGACCTGCATATATACTTTATTGGACTCCTGAGTGTAAATCGGTTTGGCCGTGGAAACCCCGCAGAAGTATTTGCCGGATGCTTCGAAGCCGACGCGCTCAAGTATGATTCTTTTTCCATCCGGCGGATACTGAAAGCATCCGAGTTACACGAGGTTCCAAGTGACGAGGGACAGTGCACTCTTTTGGTATCACTACTTTAAATGTAATTGCGGTGCATAGGCATGCTCTTTAAGAAGAAAAAAAGAGAAAGAGAGAGAGAGAGAGTAAAAATGCATCGACTTCTTGTCGCTATACCTTCAGAATACCCTCTTTAACGGTACGTGGCCATGTCTTTATAGGTGGTGTTCGACCCTTTACGTATTCCAGTATCTTACTGCCATCCTTGACAAACTCGATCTTGTGAAGATCGCTTTCCGGTACCGTGTGATTACAATACATTGTTGCTGTATCATTGAAGACAACGTAATGCGGCGCAATGAACTGCACGCGAACTGGATGAGTCGCGCCTGTATCTGTAAATTATAGGGGATGATGAGATACGTGCAATTTTTATAGTTATATCGCGCAACTCGATTATTCACAGCTGAGGGGGATGAATTACTGGGTACTACGTTCAACCAGTGGCTATTTGAGAGTTTAACTGCCGGTTGCGTAATGGTACGATATGAAATTACGTGCGCAAATTTTAATTTAGAGATATAAACTATTTTAACGTGTATTGTTTCTGTGTAAGCTTTATAATTCTGTACTACCCTGTTGCAGGGGGACGTTTCTGTTATCGATCAGTGAACGTGTGTGCTTGAGAGACGTGTACGTGGAGAATTGAAAACGGTGAGTTAAACAATCACTGTTTTATTAGTTGTTGGGTGAATCTGGAAGTATAAAATTATAATTAATAATTTTCCAATTGAATATATTTATATTGAAATAGTATATTAGTGAAGAGAACGAAGTATATGAAATGACTGTGATGTAAGAATTTTTAAAAAATATTTTGTAAATGTTAGATGTTACCGTATTATTTTAGTATTAATATTAATACATTATTGGTAGAATTTCAATTTATAGAATGAACAAACCGCATCCATCGCTTACTGATTTGAATTGAACAAGTAAAATTATTCTATGAAATTCTGCGACAGCGTTCAATAAATTTTGGATTGCGCATTAAATTTTCATTCATTAGGGGCTTTTTTGCATATATTCACTCACGCCTTTTTCTCGTACGCATCATGTCAGAAATTCAATGGCTTAGCTTATCATTGAAAGAAACTGCGATTCTTGAAGAATTTATTTCGTGTCAGGTCCTTTACTTTCAATAAGCTACTGTCATTAAAATTATCCTTATTTTTAGTAATGTATCTCAGGATCGTGTGACGTATGTACATATACCCCGGAAGGGGGTTTCCAGAAATAACAGGAGGTCATTGGATCATGGAGGACTTACATGAAAATAATAGAAAAATATATATGAATATAATTTTTCTCCAGTCGATTTGGTGACGCTGCATTTTGTGAGGTGTGATGTGGTGGTTTTTCAAATTTACTCTACGTATTTAATACAAACGTGCGTCTATTTTATACAGTGTGTGCTGTTAAACTACGCAACTTCGAGCCGAGTCGGCGCTAGACTAAGGAGCCCTTTCGATCGTTTGACCATCCTGCTCGTGACCGAGTCTGCGCTAAATCCAGAACCCGCGCATACAATTCCCACCACGTATGGTGGTCTTTTTTTATCTACAAGTATACTCCCAGAGGATGCTAGAAGAGTTGAAAACAGATTCCTAACTTGTTAGCTATTGAATGGTTCTGAAAAATCAATAAATATAAAGTGGGTAAGTTACAAAAAATTAAAATATAGTAGAGGCATATTATTATTAAACGATGAAGAATCATTGAACTTTGTAAAAAAAACTCTAAGTCAATTTATTTATAAAAAGCTATTAATTTATAATAATCAATAAAACCTATAGCTTGCTATCAGGAAACTCGTATATTATAGAGACGTTTATGAAATTAAGCCACGATGCATTCAAGGAAATGATGTCATTGTATACTTTGTCATTTTTATATATATTTAAAAAAAATAGTTATACCATTTCTGTGTCACATATTCATATTTACAACTGTTTCCAAGATATGGGCTCTCTTACGTAGATATTGTTACTACTGGATGATGGCAGACAGAGCTGAGCCTGAAGTTGATCCGATGATGTATTACTTGAAAAATGTTCTATATGATTTTCATATTCATGAACAGTAGTATTTGGAATCATATCCTCTTCTACTTCCAATAGTACATTCTTGTCACGAATATTTTGTTTGTCCATGTTCAGATAAGCGTACTCCGATGCAGGATCTAAATGCGTGACCTCCTCCGAAAGGACCATCGCCGTAGGCTCATTATTTAGTAAAACAGACTCCTCAATTTTCTTCAACCTACGAAATTCTTGACTAGACTTAATTCGATTTTGATAAAATCTAGAGTCATAGTTACTAGTAAGTTTCTGATTAAGAATCACACGAGGACCCGATTTTTTTGCGTGATCCACAATTTTGGTAGGTGAATACATACGAGTGTTAGGCACATTATTAGTACCAGAATATATTAAATTTGTACAATTTCTGTTTAGGAGGTTTGCGTCTAGAGATGCACTGCTACTACATGAACTTATAGGAATCGTGCATGAGTCTGTCACATTATTATCGCTAGTGCATACAGAACTTATGCAATTTCGATTAGCATAGTTCACGCATGTATTATCCATGCAGTTGCAGGTACTGTCATTGCAAGAACCGATTATAATTCTTCCGCAAGACTTTTCCAAGTCCCCAACTCCTTTGGAATAACTATTGGGGATGTAAGTTTGTTCAATGTCAGAATAGAATTTATCTCGTGTGTTTTCCTGCAAACTCCGACAAATTTCCTCGTGATCCCTATAGCGGGAAGAGTCTATAAATTGCGCGGTGCAATTTTTGCACTCGTAAGTTTTTATCTGAGTAAAGATTTCATTGTTATGCACATCTCGATGATGTATTAAGAAAGATTTAATATCATCGAATCCATAGTTGCAAGTGGAGCAGTACAATTGCTGGCTCTGTGTATCGTTTAGATGCTTTCGCATATGACGTCGTATATAATCTCTTCGCTTGAAATCAGCACCGCACACAACGCATTTAAAGGGTGCATCATCGGAATGCAAACGCATGTGATGTTTTAGGCCATGACGCATAACCATGTGACACTCTGGACATTTTTGAGGCTTTTCACCAGTGTGTCGCATCATGTGCAGACGTAGGGATCCTCTGTCAAGATATAGATTACTGATTAGGTATGTTGTTCATTTAGTATTAGAAGTTTACGTACCTTGTAGTTACTCTTTTGTCGCATACGTTACAAGTGAATTTAGGCGGTGTGCGTGGAAAGTGCAGCATGTAATGACGACGCATAGCCATACGTTGTTTGAATGCCTTGCCACACAGATCACACAAATGTTGCCTCTCTATAGAATGTGTTTTCTTATGCAAATATAAGCTCGTTGGTGAGATAAACCTGAAATATGTATAATGAGTTATTGATATTAATCATATATCCGACATCAATTTACTAGTTTGAACTTTGCGATGTACCATTAATCATGACTCACATTTTTCCACAGACGTTACACCCTTGCATCTCTATTTCGGACTCCACTGTATGCTGCTTCAAGATATGATCTCGTAATGTCTTCTGTGGTTTCATAAGTCCACAGTATTCGCACAAACTATTTTTTGCACCATTGGAAATATGTACTAGTCTTTCATGCTTTCTTGCTTCAACACTTGTTTCAAATTGTTTATAACAATGTCGACAGCCTGTGTAGTAAATATTTTGTCTCTTATCCATTCGATGTAGTTTTTGATGAGATTTCAATCTAACTGCACTTTTTGTGATAAAATCACAAGAAGGGCATCTGTAAAAGATTTTAATATAAATATGATATCGTCAACATAATTAATTTTAAATTGCATTATGATATACCGATGCAATCGACGATTTCGTTTTGGCATTGGCCAATGAAAGTCATCATCCAATCTAACGTCGTCTTCAAAGATGTCCTCTTGCGGTGCAGGATCTGGTCCAGGATCAGCAGGAAGATCACCGTCCGGCCATGACCTCGATGATGATTTTCCTAAATCTCCTACTTCTTGGTTTTCCTTCCTTTTTCTTTTTTTCGTCTGATATCTTTCCTTGTACTCGGAGAAGGATTCAAAAACCTGGTTGCTCTTACATGTACTTGTCGAGTTTTCTTGATTGTTCATTTTATTGCACGAATGTTGTTTTAAGTAAGCAAAAAACTGCCGCCGTTCCTCCAATGAGAAAATCTTGACACTTTCTTCGCAATCAGGACATCGCAGAACTTCTAAGGGTATTTTTGCTGAATTTTTCGCAATTACATTGTTTGCGACGCCTATTACTACATTACTACTTCCTTTCAGCATTACGCTGCTATTATCATTGCTCAAGATATTGATATTTCCAACGATATACTCATTTTGCTTTGTATCAGTGCATATTAGTGGCTGTTGTTTTCCAACGTCATTATATACAATCTGGTTGTTGACTGAATTATGTACTACAGTAGTGGCATCTTCTGTTGATACAATTACAGATTCATTTTTACTTATTACATTGCATCGATAATCTTTGTTTTGTAATATATCATTTGACAACGATTGCCAATGTCCATTACAAGTTGCGACATTGTTCTTCATAGAAATTAAAACAGCACTCGTCTTAGGAACCATTGTTAATTCATTCCCAGAGCTGTCTAAGTTCTCATTTTGTATAATATGCTGACTGTCAGATATTGGTGTACTTCTGTGTTCAGTATCATGTACATTCTCATTTTCTATACATAAAGAATTATCATTTATCTTTGACTCTATGGCAAATACTGACAAATCATCAATTTTCGTTATACCATCTTTCACTGAAGAATCTACTGCATTCTTTGTCAATTTGCCATGTATATCACTCAATAATTTGTTATTTTCAATAGTTCTACCAATTTTGTCAGTATTATCATTTGAATTGCATTTTCTATATTCAATATACTGATACTCTGCATCTACGTTTGCTGATTTCATGATAACTCCAGAGTTAGTTTCCTTCATAGAACCAGATGTTTCTACTGTCATCGAAAATGGATTTCTTTCCTTTTGCTCATGAGATCCAGTATGTTTCTTTGATCTGTCATGCTCTATATCTTTATGAGTGTCTGATAAAGATGAATGCTTACGCTGTTTCTAAAAACAATTAATTTTATAGTTTAAAATATTAGTTTAAATATTACAAATAACATAAAATTCTTGTATTTTATTTACCATAAACCTACCTTTCTTAAGATTTTATTGAATAATTTATCTGACGAAATAATAGTATTAAAGAATTCGTTGGTGGCATTTATTCGACGTAGGCACATGATACAGATATTTAAAGGCAGATTATCTTTTTCTGTCACCTTTATAGGAAGGTGCATATTAATGCTATTTTTGAGGTTTAAAGAATTCCCTCGACTGCTAAAAATCTTTACTAGCTTTTCAATACTGTATGCTTTTGCACAAAGACGGCACGTTGTGCAGAAATCCGAAACACGTACCATTTCTTTTTTATTACTTATTTAATACAAAATAATAATAGTACGTGGTTAAAACTTTGACATTTCATTTAACACAGCAATGAAAGATTATCATAAAAGCACTAGTGACAGGTCATTGTTGACATTTTGGATAGTACGTTTATTTAACATAGTTGGATATTTTTTGCTGTATATTAATTAATATTTACTTTGAGTCTTTATCATTTTCCTCCTTTTGCAGTGAACTCTGTTTCGGAAATTCCTTCATAAATTTATTTTCATGAAACTCCCAGATTACAGCCGATTTTCGTTTTCATGAGAGCGACCAATTCTTCGGACTAGGCAACTATCTATGTATATGGGAAATGGTAATCATCGCCAATCATCGCTTTCACGCAACTTAATTTCTGGATGTTTACTTGTAGTTCTTGTTATCCACGTTTCGCCTAAAAAATTTTGTAACGTTTAATAATTGAAAAATGGGCAGTCATGAAGAAGATGATATTGATGATTTACAATCCACGACATATACTTTTCCGGCCAGTGTTCAAACTGTAATAGAACAGGTAAGCAATTTTTGCTACTGTCAACTTTGACAGATGCTCCAATCATATTAATTGCTGCAACTGTACTGTACAGTATATTATAATTTAATCTTGTACTTGATACACTAGTACCCTAATTAATATTCAATATTAAAATGCATCATATTTTAGGTATTACCTAGCAATGATCCTTTGGACCAACCAAATTTCAATGCAGTGGATTACATTAATTCCTTATTTCCTACCGAACAATCTCTATCCAACATAGATGATGTTGTCAGCCAAATGGAATTTAAAATATGTTGTATTGACAAGGAAATACGATCTGTTGTCCATGGCCAAACTAATGTAGGTCAGGATGGACGTGCAGCATTGGAAGATGCACAAAAAGTGATCAGACAGTTGTTTGTGCATATAAAGGATATTAAAGACAAAGCAGAACAATCAGAAGAAACTGTTAAAGAAATTACAAGGGATATCAAACAGCTTGACTTTGCAAAAAGAAATCTAACTGCTTCGATTACTGCTTTAAACCATTTGCATATGCTTGTGGATTTAGTAGATAACTTAAGGTAAAACCAACGAAGTGACATGATTCTTGATAATACAAATTCTTGATCTCATAACAATGATTAATAATATAGTTAATATTAAAAATTCATACTGATGTTAATTGTGTCATATATACAATTTTTAGAACATTAACACAAAAGAAACAGTACGGTGAAATTATAATGCCTTTACAAGCAATTATGCAAGTGATGGAACATTTTAGAAGTTACATGGATATTCCTCAGATAAAGCAGCTATCAGATCAAGTTAGTAAGATTTTAATTGTCCGTGTCTCTTGACTACAGTGGCATATTAACACATTTTTACTTTCATACAGGTTCATCAGATTCATGTTGAGCTTGCGCGACAAATAACATCAGATTTTAAGGAGGCATTCTCAGGGCAAAATCCTAAACACTTTACTCAGCTTACAGAAGGATGCTTGGTACTATCAGTATTAGATCCCAAAGTAAAGTAAGTAATTTAAAAAGTGTATAGACCTTTGTAATATTTCATGATAAAAACAATAATAATAAATGACAATCTTTTAAAGGAAGGACTTACTCACATGGTTCTTAGGAATTCAATTGCAAGAATACGCACATCTCTTTGACGAAAATCAAGATTTTGCATGGTTGGATAAAATTGATCGACGTTATGCATGGATCAAGAAGCACTTGCTAGAGTTCGAATCAAAATTCGGTACGATCTTCCCGCATGACTGGGAGATTTCGGAGCGCATAGCCGTACAATTTTGCCACGTAACGCGTGAAGATCTGGCTAAATTAATGGAGAAGCGACGCATAGAAATAGACGTGAAATTACTTCTTTACGCTATTCAAAGAACAATAAATTTTGAAAATTTACTAGCCAAACGTTTTACTGGCATTACTCTGGAGAATTCTGACTCACCCTCTAATAATAAAGTTACACGTACAACTGCGTTTACTGGAAACGAAGTGCCCGGAAATCCATTTGAAGAGGGTGGCAGTGAAAAGGTAATACATTCAATTGTCCTTAAAAATTAAGATCTGTAATACAATCATTTCTTCATTATCATAGGTTGAGCCAGAGAAACCCTCAGCCTCACCATTCGCAAATCTCATTGGAAAATGCTTTGAACCTTACTTAAATATTTATATTGAAAGTCTTGATAGAAACTTAGCTGACCTCATGGAGAAGTTTGTTTCCGACTGTAAAACTCAACCACCTGGTGCCAAAGATTTCGATGGTATTGAGGGTCCAAGCAGCGTTCTTTCATCTTGCGCGGATTTATTTGTCTTCTATAAGAAGTGTATGCTACAATGCACTCAACTCAGCACAGGCTCTATAATGTTAAGCCTTGCAGCAACCTTTCAAAAATATCTGCGAGAATATGCATTCAAATTACTGCAAAATAACTTACCCAAGTGAGTGTTTTGCTGTAGTAACAAAGCCTTTAGTGTCTTTTGAGTATTAACAGTACTTAACATCCTGGACAGCGAATTATCACAATATGTCTTTATATAAATTAATTAATTAAATAGGATCGCAGGAAGTGCTGGTATTGGTACAAGTATGAGCAACATAACACGAGATCTGCGAGATTTATCGACAGCTGGCCTCATACAAAATTTTCAAAGTTTATTAAAAGAGGGAGAGAGCACAAGATTTAACAAAGAAGAACAATCACGTATCTGCTGGTTAGTAACACAAATACTCTGTGTATAGTATATACAGATTTTTATTAATAACGATGTATAACATATGTATAGCATATTGACAACAGCGGAATATTGTCTCGAAACGACTCAGCAACTTGAAGAAAAATTGCGTGAGAAAACGGACAAGTGCTATGCTGACAAAATCAACTTATCTCAAGAACAAGACATCTTTCACAAGTAAGAATTGCACATTTAGAATACAAGTGTTTTTAATGATCTTGAAATATGTCCTATTCAATAAAATTACTATTCTTGTACAGTGTAATCTCGAACTGTATTCAGTTACTCGTTCAAGATCTGGAGTCTGGATGTGAATCTGCCTTAAACGCAATGACTAAGGTATCCAATCACCACTTAAGTAATAAATCTTCATTTACCTGAAATATTGTACTATTTTTCTCATTAGATTCAATGGAGTTACATTGAAAGTGTTGGCGATCAAAGTAGCTACGTGAGTACAATAGTTGCTCACCTTCGGCAAACAATTCCTACAATCAGAGATAAACTGTCTTCGTGCAGAAAGTACTTCACTCAGCTCTGTGTGAAATTTGCAAGGTAAGTTACATTATGCTTTATATTGACACAGAATGAGATCAATATCATAATTTTTTTCTTATACAGCTCCTTTATACCAAAACTAGTGCAGCAACTTTATAAGTGTAAACCTTTGAATGCTGTGGGTGCTGAACAATTGTTGCTGGATGTTCATATGCTCAAAACAGCTCTACTGGATCTTCCATCAACTGGATGTCAAGTCCAGCGAAAAGCACCAGCCACTTATACTAAGGTTTTATAAATTTTATACTATATAATATACTATATAATAGTATACTATTGCAACAAGAATACTATTATTTATGACATTTTCTTGTAGGTGGTTGTTAAAGGTATGGCAAAGGCTGAAATGATATTGAAGGTTGTAATGTCACCTACTGAATCTCCAAGTGCCTTTGCAGACCAGTGTAGAAAACTTCTACCTGAATTACCTACTACAGAATTTCAGAAGATATTGGATATGAAGGTACTTTGATAAATTATTTTGTATTTAAATATGATAATAATATTATCATAACCGTAATTATTCCAGGGTCTAAGAAAAACTGAGCAACTACAATTAGTGGAACAGTTTAAGCAGAGTGGAAATTCAGACGTGTCGAGAGACACCAGGAATTATACTGTACAAGACAGCCCGGAAAACGAAGCTGGTAAAATAAAGAGACTAGAGAAATTAATAAAGAAAAGAATGTAGGCGATGTGCAAGTGTTATCAACACAATACTTATCCTGAAATATTATTGTGTATATACCATACAGTTTTGGAAGGTTTCTGTATTATGTATTTTGTCACACGCAGTATATTCCAGTATAATGTATTATAATTGTGCGTTATGTATGAATAATTTTATTGAATTTTATCTGTGAAAGTAGAAATCCTGTAATATATATTTTAAGTAGAATCTAAAAAATTATGCGGATTAATAAAATGATGTATCGAAATAATATAATATAAAATGTTAATACCATTCTATATAAACAGTATAAATGTAAAATAAGATATTCAAAGGTCAATGCTATAATAAAATTGAATAAGATTTTTAAAAAACAATATTTTAACCTCAACGAAACAGGAACAACATATGAATGAAATATGTGACAGTATGAAAGTTATTGGTTTTTAATTTTTTTTATTAATTGGCCAGACATGTTTACAATACCCAAAGTGCATGGTGCAATATTAAATTATCCCTGCTTCTGGGCAAGTTCCTTTGCCTTAGCCTTCTCCAACTTAGCTATCCTGGCAGCGGACTTGCTACCAAGAAGACCACCACCCCAATGACGTCTGATCTCATCGTAACGGTCATTGAAGTTTGTTTTAATAGCCTCCACCACTTTCGTGAAGTTTGCCCTGTCTCCAGAGTCAACCTGAAACAGATTAAAACAAAGCTTTATGTATTGATTAAATTTAAAGAAAGTACGCTTTTGTATTAGCAAAAAAAATATCAGGATATTGGAATACAGTGATATCATAATCTTTCAATGGATTGGCTCATGTATCTTTCATCATATAAATAATTATGATAAATTGTTGAATTTCTACATTTCGCAGCGTATATGAAATTTATAACAATAACTACCTGCGTTAGAGCGACAGAGGTGCAAGTCTTGCGCCTGACGAGACGTCCCAAGCGAGACTTGCCTTTCACAATGCAATAGGGAACTCCCATCTTGCGGCAAAGGGCTGGTAGGAATAGTACAACCTGATGTATCAATAAAAAAATTTATCAGTATTAAATAATAAGTGCATGCAATTAAAAGTGATTCAGAGATAACAAACTCAGGGTCAAGTTACATCTTACAGACAAAAACGATAATTCGTATTTTGCCGTCAGGTGAAGAAATTCTTACATCATAGTGAACAGTTTCAATGAATTTAGTAAACAGGAAATAAATTTAAAAATTGTAATTTTACCTCAATGGGGTCGACATCATGAGCAATGACGACCAGTTGGGCCTTCTTTTGTTCCACAAGAGTTGTCACAGTGTTGGAACCGCTGCGTAGCACATTTGGCCTCTTAGTTGGGGTATCTTCTTTTTTAGCAGCCTTCTCTTCCGCTCTTGCCTTCAACCTCAATTTCTTGGCAACAGCTGATTCTGGACGATACTTCTCCAGAATTTTGAAGAGTTGCGAGGCTATAAAATAATATAAAAGGTTAATACATTTCCATTAAAAAAATTTTTAAAGATTGTCAAAAAATATTACCAGTTTGCTTATCAAGGGTCTGTGTGAATTGGTTGATTGGTGGTGGAACTTTCAACCTTTTCTGAAGAACAGCTCTTTGACGCTGAATGCGGATGTACTTTGGCCATTTAACAAACCTGCTGAGATCGCGAGCAGGCTGAATGTCCTGACCTAGAATAAAAATAACATTTTTTATTCAACTATACAAATTGTGTAATTCAACAGTACATAAACATAATCCTTTATAAGATATTAACACATCACTTACCAATGCCAAAGTTACGGGTACGTTTTTCGAAAAGTGGATTGGTCTGCTTTTTGGGCTCAACTTTCTTCACTGCCAATGGAGCAGCAGCTACCTTCTTCCCGACCTTCTTCTTCGGCTGTAAACGAAAATCATATGAGTCTTAAATTATTTTTTTATTTTCGTTAACAAGATGGATCAGTAGCATGCATAGACAAACACTCCGAAATATAAAGGACATCTTAAACATTATCATCACTGAAGCACTCTTTTAATAATTGTATTTAAAGCAATAAGAACCATGTGATACATATTTTTATAGAAATCTGATAGAAAGTATGCTGTTATAGTAACGTGTTTAGCATTCGTGTTGTCGCACTAGAGGACGAAAACATGCCGATTTTTAACCTATATTATTAATGGTAATTGCTTAAAACCCTTCATAAATATACACTTGACATTTTAGAAGAAATGTTTTACCTTCTTCTGCACCATTTTTCTAGATCAGAATACAATGGATTCCCTAATACCTAGTGGGATTTAAAAGAAAAGACTTCGCCAACCAAAACGCGAAGTATGGCCGCCTAACGCGTAAAGGGCGATACGTGGGGCAGCGCCACTTTGACAAACCTAAGTCATAGACTAAAAATAGATTAGTTGGAAGACTCGAATACTTTTTATTCGATAGCTACATATCTCGCGCTGCTTTACCGACATGGTTTTTTTGTGATAGGGAGGGTAAAAGAAAACAAAATTAATCAAGATTATTAGATCTTGAAAATTGTGTAACTAAAATGTAGTGAAATTACGAAAAGCGAATAGCTGTTAGCTAATCGCGTGTTAGGGTCAAAAGAAAACAAACATAAAGATTGGCTAACAGCTATTGACTTTTAGCATTTTCATTACATTTGAGTTACCAGTCGACCTCCAGAATCTGTAATCTCAAGTTTTTACTAATAATTTTCGTGTGCGCCTTTTCATTTAAAAAGTATTCGCCTGTGATATTTGAAATTCATGAGAACGGTTCGAGAATACGGGCCCGGATATCTGTGGCTTGCCTAATTTCTAAATTTTACTGGAAGTTAAACATATGGAAATTTCCAATAGTAATTTTACACGTGCAACAACGTAATACAAGTCAGCTGAGGTTGGTCAGAATGATAAGCAAGATAACAGAATGAACGTACAATCTTCAATGACAAACGCTTTCGTGGCCTACACCAAAGGGAAGTACGAGATGAGTTGTGCAGGTTAGAAAACGAAGAAAACATCAACATGTGGAAGTTAGTGTAAATTTTTAATGAATGAGTGGAAATAGAAATCATAATAAAAGGTGCCATTCCACGGTTGCCGATACGATAAACAGAAAACCAAAGGAAAGATGCCTTTGGTCGCGACAAACTGTCCGCATATCAGTAGTCACGGAGACCTTTCAATAATTGAGGCCGTGATTGCCCAGAATGAGAAGTTTAACAAGTGTAGCGATAAAGATTGTGATAACGAAGGTCCCAATTTGTGGCTATGTCTTTATCCTGATTGCCGATGGGTTGGGTGCTCCCAGGCACATTTGGATCATGGCGTCGTCCATAACCAAAGGTTTCCTACTCACTCTGCTCATATGAATCTTTCTACGAATCGAATATGGTGTTATACTTGCATACGGGAAGTTATTACTGCTCGTGTGCCATCTCCTTCATTGTCACCAAATGATATGGAAGTGAAGAATGGTATTGGAAAATTTACTGGTGATGCCACAGTCAGTATTGACTACAAAGCAGATACTTCAGACATTAAGCAACCTCTTATCAACAGGTGTGTATCAAAGGCTGTTCGCTTTGTCTTAAAGATAATTAGTTTTATGTTAGATCATGAATTATGTTTCTGGATTTGGATGTATGTCCTTTAAAACAATAAATTTCTTTTTAGCCGTAAGTATACCATGACTGAGAATAGAGTTGGTTCCGACAAGAGCGTTCCAATATATGAAAAATCTGGAGATTCTCCAGATAGTACTGACTCTGATGATAGTAGAGATTTCTCTGGGAAACCAAGAGGCCTGGTTGGTCTTCAGAATATAGGAAATACCTGTTACATGAATGCTGCTCTTCAGGCTCTGTCAAATGTACCACCATTGACTCATTTTTTCTTGGATTGTGGTCTTATGGTTAGCTACATATCAAAAGATCGTAAACCAGGATTGAGTTTGAGCTATCGTAATCTTATTAAGGATATGTGGAATAGAAAAACCAGAGGATATGTAATACCCCATGGAATTTTGTATGGTATTCGAACAGTCCATCCTATGTTTCGAGGATATCATCAACATGATACACAGGAATTCTTAAGATGCTTTATGGATCAATTGCATGAAGAACTCAAAGAACATATCGAAGACGATCGTGAGTCCCTCTTAAGATTAAAGGGCCTTGGTGAACACTCCTCAGATGAGGATACTGAATTAGATGGCAATAGCTCTAGTCAATCTGATGGTGAATATGAAACTTGTGACTCTGGCGTGAGCGAGCAGAGTTCTTTAAGTGACGAAGGTGAACGTGGTACAAAGAGAAGATATTCAAGAGTTTCACAGTCTGATAAACCAAGGACGAAATTTACTAATAAAAACCTAAAGAAGTCTCCAGTCGAAGAGTCGTTTTCACAACCACCAAGATCTACTCAGAATTCACCAGCAAAGCATCGGACCAAAAAACAGATGAAGACAAGAAGTATAATCAGTGATATATTTGATGGAAAACTTTTGAGCAGTGTACAATGTCTAACTTGTGATAGGGTATCAACGAGGGTAGAAACATTCCAAGACTTATCGTTGCCCATTCCAAGTAGAGATCATATAGACATGTTGCACCAGGGATCCCTTACTCCACAAAAAGCTGGACCATGTTCTGATGTTGTTTACGTAACAAATCAATCAGGATGGATTTCCTGGCTTCTGCAGTGGATGCGTTCTTGGTTTTGGGGTCCTGTAGTGAGTCTACACGATTGTCTATCAGCATTTTTTAGTGCAGACGAACTAAAAGGCGACAATATGTACAGCTGTGAGAAGTGCAATAAACTTCGGAATGGCATAAAGTTCTCAAAAGTTCTAGAACTTCCTGAGATACTTTGTGTTCATCTGAAAAGATTTCGTCATGAATTAATGTTCAGTTCGAAAATAGCGAATTATGTGTCATTCCCATTAGAAGGTTTAGATATGCGTCCGTACCTGCATAAAGAGTGTGTCTCAAATGTAACAACATATGATCTTATATCTGTTATTTGTCATCACGGCACAGCCGGCGGTGGTCATTACACGTGTTACGCTTTAAATACAATGATCAATCAGTGGTTTGAGTTTGACGATCAGTGCGTTACACAAGTATCACCGGAAACTGTAAAGAATTGCGAAGCCTATGTGCTCTTCTACAAAAAGTCATCGCCAGACATGATGCAGTTACGCGATGAGACGATGGAATTAATGGAAATATCGTCTCGGGAACCGTCTGATCTAAATTTCTTTGTTTCCCGTCAGTGGATTAATCGATTTCAAACTTTCTCAGAACCGGGACCTATTGACAATTCTGACTTTCTCTGTCCGCATGGCGGTGTGAATCCTTTGAGAGCTCAATTTGTTGACAAAATTAGCATGCCTATTCCACAAGCAGTCTGGGAATATCTTTATAAAACGTAAGTCACTAATCAATGACTCGTTAATCTTTGAACCAATTAATAATAAAATGTAATGTCGCTGTACAACAGTCCAGTTCGATTAGTAACTTAATGCATGTGTCTGTGTTATCAGATTTGGTGGTGGTCCAGCTTGCACACATCTATATGAATGTCCTATATGCGAAGCAAAATACGAATCACTTCAGAAACGGATGCAATACGAGATGGAAGTATTTCAACGATTGAATCACAATTCTGACAATCCTACTGCCATCTACGCATTAGCCATGGCTTGGCTTCGTCGTTGGCAAAGTTTCGTTAGGGGTAAAGAGACTCAGCCTCCTGGTCCAATTGATAACAGTTCAATTGTTGTCAATAAAAATGGACAAAATGTCCTAAAGCCTGGTGAGTATTATGAATTATAATCACCGGAAGTAGTACTAAGTTCTCCTAATAATGTATTACATTATAGGTTCGGATTATGGACAAATACCGGAGGAACTTTGGAATTTCTTCATTAACGCTTACGGTGGTGGCCCAGAACTGATGCTGCATTCGTGCCAGAGACCAATACCTTCTCAATCGACTATTTCTCCACATTCCACGTCCAATCCAAATGACCAAAATTCAACAACGTCAAACATAAAGATCCGATATCATGATGAACCCAATGTCGAACAGAATTCTAAGTGCAATCGGACGGAGATTAAATGTAATAAGATGGTGGTAACCAAAAGCTTTGAAACTACCTCGCAACATGACAGTGCTGTAGATGGTTTGATATCTGATAGCGATTCTCATCAGACACGGGGAGAAGTAAACACATAAGTCATTCTGCTGAAGAGACTTGATAGCATGGTGTTACGTAATGGTGTTAAAAATCCATAGCGTACCTTGTACTGCAGAACAATTAACAGTTCAACAGTTAAGGTCAGTGTGATGAAAAATCTATTTTAAACTTTACTTTTCTAGATATAACATTGTTACAGATTTATCATTACCGGATTCTTTAAACCAAAAGTATTTTATCGAATAAAGGCTTTCATTGTATGGTGTTTCTTGTACAGTACGTGATCAATAGCGAGATGTCGTTAACCGTGGTTAAAATATTTCTTGTGTGTTTCAATTTTTATAATCGCCACTTCGAAATCTCTTTTCTTGTCGTTACGTACAATCCGATGTTAGCTAAAGGTGACAGTATATTTCGTTTGATATATCAATTACTGAATCTGTTCTCTTGATCCATTACAGCTCCAGGTAACACGGATAATATATTTTTAATCGAACTGGGCAATGAATTTTACATTCCTGTTCCGTGTATAAAATCATTATTTATTCAGCTTTGTTATGCTTATCGTTTTCCATTCAGATCAGCTGGTTGTAAAAGGTAACATCAATTTCATAGATAAAATTAGTAAAATGATATAACTTGTGGCACTGTGTACGTGTAATGTACTGTTACCTATCGTTACCATCAGGAATTATACTAAATTGAATGAAGGGAAGAAGACTGATGAATAATAATCGAACGAGCGAATTAACGAATCTGACGTACGACACAGTGTAAAAATTGTGGAACTCGAAGCGCACGTAAATAATTGTCACGTTAAACCGAGGAGAATGACGTTTATAAGAAAGGAATTTCAATGTCACATTGAAAGTTTTTGATTTTTCATTGTTGAATTATTAATTTATTGAATTATATTGCATCATTTGGGGTGTAGATTATAAGATGACATTGCTTTTTTTTCGTCGTTGCCACATTACCGTATTTTATAACAAAGAAGTCGAAATAATACGAACGGTAATCTTATACGTAATTTGCAACAATGTGCTATTTTACGATACGATCACATGAAGCACCGTGAGCAAACGGACGTTTGCTCACGATCAAGTTAATGTACATTCGTTATAAACTATTGATGAAACATTGTGAAGTGTACCATACCTAAGATAAATAATAAATAAATTGGTTTCACTATTTATTACAATAAAATTGATCTCTCATTGGTCCTTTAAAATTGATTTCAAATTCTCGTACCACTAAAAATCTTGCCAATGTCTAAACAATTATTTAATAGGTACCTTCAAATTTTTCTCAAAAAAATCCACAGGAAAGTGATTCCTTCGTGAATGCCACTATTAATTGAAATTCAAATTCATTGTTGTATACATCGACTATTCATTCTCAAATGAATTATAAAACTTGAGTCAATTCCTATAGAAGTACTTAACGAAAAAGAATCTGCTTGGGCATTCAAAATTACCGAGTTCTGTGCGCAAGACTGAAAGGATGATCTCTCATGGACCACATTGATCGAGTCTTGCGCGTTCAAGGGATGCTGGCCATTCCGATTCCAACCCCTAAACAGCACCCCCGGTCAATGCCGCGATTAAAATTTCTCTATTAGGGATTCTCACTTGTGTTAGGAAGTAGACAGCCATGCGGTATCGTAGTCTCCGTAGCTAGACGTTTACTTATTTCATGAAAAAGTGCCTCTCATATTTAGCGTAGCCCTTATCAGTTAATAATTGGGGTGTACCACAGTTACTGTTCTCAAGGACGGACGAGTTGCATTTGGGCCAACGAAAATTCGTGCCTGACTCTCCCGTGAAATCAACTTGGTGAGTACGGTATATATTTTTAATATTATTCGACAATAATGAAATATGAAAACCTTGATGTCGTTTAATATAATTAATATTTCTCTTTGTAAAATGGCAATAGGCGCGAGAAGTATCGACGGGAGAAAGTATGTCAATTTATTATGGATCATTCGCACATCTTTGTGTTTTCGAAAAAACTATTGCGGTATGAAAGAAAATGTAGATAATTGTTGTAGACTCACGCCCTTTTTGACTATGTGCTTCTATGATTTGAATCTTACCGTTGGAATTTAATTCTTGATACTCGTGCTATATGCTTATCGCTTTGCGCTCGATAAATTTCTTCATACGATGTTACCCCTTTCGGCATCAGCGATTGGATTGTATTTTAATAAAAGATTGAAGATACGTTTTTTATCTTTTTAAAATGAATACCATCGTCAGAAAAATATAAACGAAAATACGATCAATACTCGTCAATTATATAAAACTTTGACAAGTCTTCTTATTGATTAAATATAAAAAATCTTTGAAATATTTGTAAGGATTATAACATTAGTGACTGCTTCATGAAATCAGACTAAAATGGCGAATTTCCGGGGATTCTACATACCCTCCATCGGAGCTACGGTGAACGTAGCTTGGGAAACATTAAAAGCCAAATGGCCGGAGAACAGTCCTTGCATGGAGTTAATTCGCGGCAATGGCGGGGGTCAAGGTCAGCAAAAAGACTCTAAACCATTCACCGAGGGTCAGGAAACCACGGAGATGACGTCCATGAATGGAGAACACGCATACACAGACCAGAACAATTTAGGGGTCGCCGAGGATTCGTTCAGCTACCAAAGGAGCGGGTAAGCCATTTAAATGTACTATAAATAAAAGAAAAAAGTGATTTTAACCTTGAATCTCGTCTTTCAGGGAAAACGCAAGAGCCGGAAGTCTCAGCAGCGCCGGTTTCAGTGAATACGACGACGGTGGTGAATTTGGTAGTTCCGGTGTGAAGATTAACGAGTGGCAAGCTGCCTGGAACGTGACCAATGCTATCCAGGGTATGTTCATCGTTTCTTTGCCGTTTGCCGTACTCCGAGGTGGTTACTGGGCAATCGCAGCGATGATTGGTATAGCCCACATTTGCTGCTACACCGGAAAGATCCTGGTGGAGTGTCTATACGAACTTGATACCGTAACAGGACAACGAGTACGAGTACGAGATTCCTACGTATCAATTGCTAAAGAATGTTTTGGACCAACGTTGGGCGCCAGGGCGGTAAACATTGCCCAGATCATTGAGCTGTTAATGACGTGCATCCTCTACGTGGTAGTCTGTGGTGATCTACTGATAGGTACCTTTCCCGAAGGAGCCATTGACGCTAGAAGTTGGATGATGCTGACCGGTATATTTTTGCTGCCTTTAGGATTTTTAAAATCCCTACAGCACGTTTCCGTGCTTAGCTTCTGGTGCACCATGTCCCATCTTTTTATAAATGCTGTTATCATCGGCTATTGCATACTTGAAATTGGAAACTGGGGTTGGTCTAAAGTCAAATGGACCATTGATATGGAAACGTTTCCTATATCCCTTGGAGTAATAGTCTTCAGTTATACGTCCCAGATCTTTTTACCTACTTTGGAAGGCAATTTGATTGATCGTTCCAAGTTTGATTGGATGCTTAATTGGAGTCACGTCGCTGCAGCAGCTTTTAAGTCTCTATTTGGCTGGATCTGCTTTCTCACATTTCAAGATGATACTCAGCAAGTCATAACTAATAATCTTCACTCTGCTGGTTTCAAGGGTCTTGTTAATTTGTGTCTTGTTGTCAAAGCCGTACTTTCTTACCCATTGCCATACTATGCTGCCTGCGAGTTACTTGAGAGGGCCTTCTTCAGGGGTCGTCCTAAAACACTCTTCCCCACTATCTGGACTGTCGATCGCGAATTAAAAGTTTGGGGCTTGGCATGGCGAGTTGGGGTTATTGTATTTACCATTTTAATGGCTATCTTTATACCCCACTTTACTACACTAATGGGATTTATTGGATCGTTCACTGGCACAATGCTTTCCTTTATATGGCCATGCTACTTTCATTTGAAACTAAAGAGAAACTCCATGGAATGGGGTGCAGTTGCATACGATTGTTTTGTTATATTTTTGGGAATACTCTTTGGTGTTATTGGCGTTTATGATTCTGGCACGGCGTTAATCAAAGCCTTTAAAATTGGCTTGCCCTTCTAGATGATCCTAGAGCATTTAGTTCTCATATATCATTCTGTCAATCTATTATTAGAACATTCTTTCCACGACCGAGTTTGGGTCGATACCCTGCAGTTGAATTTGTCAAACTCTCACGGCGACAAGTAAATATTTCTAACGTAAAAAAGGGTTCTAATGTTTTATTCGTTTATAGAGATATGCGAGAGTCATTTTAATAAGTGTCATTTTCGTCATTATTCCATAACGTTGTCGTATCGACGAAACAGAAAGAAACAGACAATTATATAATCTACGCGATATTGACCGAAATGTGCATATATAAGTGTGTACACGTATACACAAATATAAAGCCACGTAATTATAAGTATTAAGGTTATGAAATGTCATAAATTTACCAAACGTCATATCAAATTCGTTCTCCTTTTGGGAATCGGTTTTCGTATAACGACCGTGTTGTCGGAGCTTTTAGGTTCTGGCTTCTAGAGCGCAGAGTGATCGTGACAATATCATAAGTCCTAAGGATCAATGTCTTCCAATGTTACGAAGTAAAGAAGAAAACCAAATACAAAAAATACTGTACAAGTTAACTACTGTTGTATAGGTTTCTGGATTTTATAATAATATTATGAACTCATGATTTTTATGTGAGCGTTAATCGTGTAATAGGCCGTGTAAGCTCGTAGGGGATAATTTCAAAAGCACAGAACACTTTTGTGTTTATAACGAAATTTCTTTTCCCTAGTTTTCTTCTTTTTTTAATGATTTTACGATATCTAAGACACTCGATAGTTCCAAGCGATGCTTCACGGACGCCATACTAGATTATTATATATAGAGAGTTATGTACAATGAAATAATCCAATGTCTTCCAAGTCTCGCGAGACCATATATTATATAAACCAGTTTTAAGATACGTAGCACGGACTACGTTAGTTTTATGGTGCAGGATATGAGAGTCTTATGAATTTTTATTAAATATTACATTAAGTGAAGATCAAATTTTTTTAAATGAACAATTCTTGTTTAATATTTTATCCAGTATGGAAGTATACAAGATTTTGGAAAATTAATTATTTGTAAGTCAATTTCTTTGATTTGTACATATCCTGCACTTTAAGTGTTATTATAGTAAGTTTAACGAGTCTTCCAATGATGTCTTCCATGACAGGCGAGTATTATATCCTAATCGCAAGAAATAAAAGAAAAGAATGATTGTCAATAATAGAAAGCATTATAGAGAAACGTAGGTATTAAGACAATAATGTTGTATGTAATAATGATCGAGGGATCATTCGCGATGGATTTTCAGGAATTGTACACATACATTGGCCGAGCTATGCCATGTTTGAATTATTATCAACGTCTCGCTGGCGATTCGAAAGATGCCTTAGCTTAGAGAATCTTACGGGTTTATATATGTATTTTACTCGTAGATTCAATATATTTCTGCCTTCGCGAATAGATCCTCAAAATCAAAATCGTATCGTGTACGTATTTACGTGTAATATAAATAAAAGCTATGCGAGATCCTTCGAAGAGTCATAATAAATGAATGACGTTAATGAATAAGTTTCGAATTGTCACGTATTTGAATTCTCGATACTTCTTGCCGATTTGATTTAGAATCATCGAAGCGATCGAGAATTATCATGTGATCGGTGATCCACAATTTCATGACAATTCGAAACTACTCTCGACAATGTTACAGTTAAAATATAGACGTTACGAACGATGTAAGGGGCTTCCATATTACGAAAATGAAAAAGTACACTATGGAAATTTTACCAAGCTTTCTATTTAATTAATCCTCTACCATAACGAATTCATTGATTAGAAAAATCAATCGACTCTATCATCCTTCCGGTTTTCTACGGATAATAGCGAAAATCACTTTCTCCCTCTAGAGAAATGCTTTCTACTTAATCTGCAAATTTGACACGGTAGTGTCTTGTCATGCTCCAAATATGTCGTCAGTCGGTGCATAAAAGAAACCACCTCAGTCATCGATTCAATCAGTTGATAGTTAAGAGAGACAATGAAGTTGATGGTAAGTTTGTGTAGACGAATTAAAGAATATCATAGGCGTGAGAAATTTTTATATAATTATTAATGAAATCGTATATTATAGATGAAAATTGGTGTGCTTATGGCAATTTTACTTCTTATGGGAGCTGTCATTGCCACTCAACATGATACAAAATCAAATGTGGATAACCGGGAAGACGATTCTCATGGTAACTATAGATATTTTTTTTAAATAACTAATCAAACTTTTTATTTCAAATTGTATATAAATATTGCTATTGAATTTTAGCAGATATTCCTCGGGTAAAGATCAAAGTATTTCGAGGACCAACGGAAGAAAAAGATGGGCAAAAATTTTCACCATGGGGTTTTTGGATTAAACAACCTAGTGGGCAATAAATACGAGAAATTTGATGTTAATGGTGTATAGTTTTTATAAACAAAAAGAAATGAATATCGATTAATCCATTTATTGTTCATATGATATAATATATCAATATTTAACGTACAAAAAGAAAAGATTATAGCATCCGTAAACAAATTGAAATAAAATTTATCATTTATCACTGATTGCTTCTTTCTTTCGACATTTATTCATTTATAAAATAGTGCAGCCCCAGGAGCTGCTGGTGGAGGAGTTGGTAGATTTTCTATTTCTCCCGTAGAGAGAGTTATTGGGATTAAGTTGATTCGCATGATTATCTAAATTGGATTTTCTCCTTGATCCCGTATAACCAGCGGAGCGACCAGGACCGGAGATTGCATGGTTGGGATTGCATTGATTTGCACGATTGTAATCCATTATCTGAAAATGAGAACCGAACTTTGAATAATTTACCTTTTACATATAAAAGTATATGTATTGTATATACATAGCGCACGGACGCACTATATATTATATTTTAGATTAAATAGAAAATGACAGTGAATGACCTTTTACTTTTTCGTATATGTCACCACGTCATCACTTCATATGTATGCTTGTATACTATGGAAGAGATCAGCAGTAGCTTCAAATAATTTAACACTTATTTCTTGATATGTAGACTCGAATCTACGTAGAATAAAATACTACTCAATATATTCTTCAAGTCGCTACGCATTCCATCACGTACACATTATGCGACTGCATAATGGTTCGGATACATGAAATTCAATACAACTTCAAATCTTTCTATGATAGACTTCAGGACACAATATTAATTTTCTAATAATATAAATACTCTAAATTACTCAACGTACCTTTTTAAAGAATCAATGATTAGTCCAAAACACTCACCAGGAACTTTTCTAACGAAATCTTTCAATATGCAACAATGTTCAAGTAGAAGGTGCAATTGCTACAGCTACAACTGTATCGTTTATATATAACAGAACCACTGGATAAATTATAAGTCGGGGAATCCCCTAAAATTTGTTAAACCAACAAGGGATATCCCAATTCAGATATATTTTAAGATGGTTTAATATTTAATTAATATTCTACTTTGTTGATTCTTTATTGACAGTTGTAATAATTCTCGATTACCCATTAACAGTTAAATTTCGAAAATTTTAATATAATAAAATACGCATTGCCAACATGAAGAGATTAGGAGTGGAACCGTTAGAGCACTATAACCTGTTCGAAGTAACTTTGCGTGAATATGAGTGAAAATATCAAATATCGTATATATTATTGATTTCTTTGCAGGTTATAATAAAGCTGCTGAGACAAATATTTTATCTGGATGTCTGATAGGACATATCTTGACGAAACAGACGAATTTTTGCTGCTTGTGAATCACCGTTAAATGTCATTCCGAATAAGACCGGTTTCAGATTTATACGAAACCTGTTTTAGATCAACAGATCGTATGGATACGTCGTCTACAAGTTTTACACTTGCATGTTGGTAACCATCTATTTGCGATTTCGTCGCGCAATAGCGCTTATTTATAGCGAAATAGAAAATTTAAAAAAAAATTAGCGCGTATTCTGAGTAACGAAATTTAGTCACAATTTACAACGAATGTCACTGTTTCTTTATATAAATCTATACTTGATAATTACAAACTTAGTAATGACTCTTGACAATTTTAATGACTTATTACGTACACGTTAGAGTGCGCAGTGCACACTTCTGGGGAACCCTGACTTTGGGTGTCTGAATATATGTATATGTAATGCATTTTTTACCAAGCAGAGGATAATGGGGAATGGGTAATTATGATTTTTCAGTTCTAGCATAATAATAAAATATACGTTATACTTAGTAAAGTATTTTATTTTGTCGTTTTACACCTTCATATTTATTACTCACTTCAATTCAGCATACAAAATTTAAATAAAGTTAATTAATGGCATAGTTCCTTCTCTTAACCTCTCACGTGATTAATTAACTCTATTTAATTCCTATACTACAGAGACATAGTTATTCATACATATTTGTTAATAAATGAAGGGTTAAATGTTCTGCGTTGACAGGATCGGCATATTACTTTCCTCCACCTGCAAAAAAAATTATTTATTCAGTATAATTTTTTAATAAGGATTTTACCTATATTCTAGTTTCTTTTTAAGTTATATCCTTATGGAAAAATACTCTACTTGGATGTCTTTATTGGACTAATTAAAAATTATTCAGAACAATTGTTTTCCAGGCGTGTTCTATATCTTCCAATAATAATTTTGCGTAATTAATAACATTTCTTTGTCAGAATATTTAATCGCATAATGACAAAAGATTTAATTCGTTACCTGTATTTCCTCTACTGGCTGCGTAGGATGGGTTGTTTGGATTGCCCTGGTTGGCGTGATTGTCCAGGTCAGCTTTGGTACCACTTCCGTGGTACCCGGCGGCATGTCCTGGGCCAGATGGGGTGTGGGTGGGATTACATTGCTTCCCACGATTGTCCATTTTAACTGAAAAAAAATAAATTTTGTAAAATTAATATCACTCTGCTGAACAAATAATCGATTTTATGATTTTTTAATTACACAACTATGATTCTGTGCATTATTGTGTAATAAAATATTATTCAATACATTTTTAAAGTTAACAGTGCAGTTTACAGTAGCTATATCCGAAATTAGCGTCATTAAATCAATTCCAAATAATCACCGGAAATACAATTTATAGGATATTTTATATATGTATATATTTTTATAATAACAAAAAGTTTCAAATATATTATATTAAATTATACCACTCACCTTTTTAATGAGAAGAAGACTTTGCACAAACTCTTCTCTAAATGCTTCAGAACTCAGTCACGCGCTACTGGATAAATGATATTGATGCCCTTGCACTTGATCCTTCGCCATTTATAGTGCAGTTGATATATAAATAGCAAATTGGGGAACCCCCGAATATTATATTCGTAAGGTAACCATACGAGTCTTACGGGTAAAACGGCTCTTGATTGGCCGAATCTTTCTTGACGAACGATTTTAACCAATCGGATGTGCAATTTTCTGAATTTTTAGACAATACCTACCAATTTAATTAGAGTAGAAACCTAATAATGTTGCATTTAAAATATGTATACTTCATTGGCAATTGTAATCATTTCTTTATTATATAGCTATATGAAATTTCAATATTGGAGTACGTACGTAGAGATGCGAAAATATACGCGTTACCAACGTGAAGAGTTTCGGCGTGCCGGTTAGTAAGTTTCTATAGCCTATTCGAAAGAACTTACTATGTGACAGCATAAATATTAACTGCGTGGGCTATTTACTTTCTTACTAGCAATAGTACAACTACTCGTACAAAATATATCAAGACTAAATAGATAAATTCTTGGTTCTTGCATATTAGAATTGATAGATATTACGTATATAATACATATTAAGAGGAGCTGCGGAGTTATACTGAACTTACTTTAAAGCTCGCAGAAAATTACGAGGGATTATTATTTGTATGTTGGTAAGCTGTTCGTTAAAAGATTCACTAGCCATATTGCTAATACGACTATTTCACTCTCTCAGATGCATACAGATAAATAAGGACACGATGATGCTCGTACGTCGTAATATTGCATGATGAAATATCCGAACGCAGGCTTTTGCAAATTCACCACATGTACGTAAAATATAACATATAGTCCGTGCATGAGATCAATGTGTCTTTTTGACAGTTGTCAAACAATGCAATCCTTATTAAATCACACGTGGCTCTCCATAAAATTATAGAACTATATGCAAAAGTAAAAAAACATGTGCCTAATTGAAGACTATATTATTTTCGAACTATCAAAAAATCACATTGACCTGGTGGACCGACTATGAGTACGTTCCGAAATTCACAGTCGGTGCTACGAGTATCGTCATGTCCTTTTCTACTCGCATGCATTTAAGTGATACACAATTACGCACCCGGTTTTGGCAATGAATTTCGAAACGTATCCTATATGTATCCTTAGCAAATGGAATTGTTAAAAAAATATCGAAAATGAATAATAATTACCGCATGTCGCAAACAGTATGTTGTTTAGAGTTATGATTTTATCTATCTATCCATCTCTATGTTCATTTAAATCAAATTTTAATATTTGCATGTGCAGATCGATACTCGATAACTAGAAACTTTATATGATATTTTTCAAGTTTTTTTTAAAAATAACATATTTATCCTAAAGCATATATTATATTCATTTCATTTGTAGAAATGTAATGATCTTTAAATTTATAGCTAACGCATTTGTAAATAAGACAGAAAATAATAGGATGGGTAATTATGGATTTCTGAGGTTCAATATAATAAATATTATACATTATAGCTTTAATAATGCATTCTACTTTATTACTACTTTACACCTTCAATCTTATTATTAACCATATTTTCTTGTACAAAATTTAAATCAAATTAATACATGGTATTGCGTAATTTTTAACTTCATTTAAATTCTGTCCTAGAGAAGCACAGTTATTGATACATTGTTGATAAGTGAAGGGTTAGTCGCCAACGGCGTTGACAGCGTCATGTTAGCGTCTTCCACCACCTGTCACAAAAATAAAAATCATATTCATTTATTTATTTCAATATGTTTTAATCGAAATTTCATTCATTATTAATTTTGTTTTTCAATTATGTAGAATCACATAATAAAAAAACGTTTAATTCGTTACCTGATTGTCCTCTGCTGGATGCATATGCTTCATTATTGGGATTCCCCTGGTTTGAGTGATTATTGTGATCTTGTTTTGTTCCAGTTCCCGCATATCCTGCATGATGGCCTGGACCACTTACAGTGTGATTAGGGTTGCGCTGGTTGGCTCTATTGTTGTCCATTATCTGAAAAAGAATATGATTTTTAAAGAATTGAAATCCCTCTACTCAGTATATAATAAATTTTATAATTTCCAATTACACAACAAGGATTCTGTACATTACTGTTTAATAGAACGTCTGTGTAAAATTTTAATTCACTTTTAGACTTTATACAGTCATATTATGCTCGCAATCAATTATTATATCATTTTATATAGCGCACATTTTCTTATGTAAAATAATCTAACTGTCAAGCGAGTTTCTTACTATACAGTAATTTACATTTCAAATACTCGACGATTGGTTTTAACTAAATTTGTAAAATATTTTGTCATAAATTTTGTATAATGGAAAATTCGTAACTTTCAGACAGAGATTATGAATGTCACATTAGAAACACACCTTTTGCGAAAATTTACTGCACAGGATTACAGATGTACTACATAGATCGATAGATAATCACTGGTCTTACTCTTTCGGTTGCCTGACGTACTAAGCTCCTAATGCAGCAGTGCACCCTTTATATACTGAAGACAACTGTTGTGTATGATTTAACCCCTTAATCTCTCTCGCTCGGTTTTGGATTCGACTTAAGGATTCTTTCAAATGAATTATACAATTTGGATAGACAGTTTCATTATTTTATAAGACACTCTTTATTTGTGTTTTAACACCATTACAAAATTTACGCAGTTAATGTGCGTTTTAAAGCGTCATATAGAATGTCATTTTACAGTTCAAAAACTAAAGAGACTACGAGGGTATAAAAGTGCTTCGCCTATTTACGGGTCGCTTTTATTCATTTCCTGGATTCCATCTTTTGTTTGTCGGTATTTGCCTGTGATTTTTGCCCCTCATAGGTTGTCTTGTCTATCTGCCGTGCATGATGATCGTGTGCGTCTTTATATTCTTTAGCTGTCGGATTATTGACGTTTGCATAATGATCTGCTTCATTCTGTTTTTGTTTATCCATCTGAAAATCATGATGACCGCATTATATTTTTTATTGTTAAATTGAATTCTATTGCGTTTAAAAAATATTTGAAGTTTATATACATATAGTGATGATACAATATGGAGCAATATATATTTTAATCGTTTAACTAATAGTAGGATCAGACTATATCATTGATAACATGTAAATGAGCTAAGTCAATCAAGGAATAGTACAAAATAAAATTATTAATAATAAAACATTATAGTGGTCAATTATTTAGTGTAATCCTTTATAAAGTAATACTACTATACTTACGATTTGAATATGTAGAATTTGGTTTATATTCTGAATTATATAATTCCACCGCACTATTTTCGAGCTCTGCTACGTTAGTAGTTATGATGATGAATTCAATTTTCAGCCCTTCTTTTATACTAGTAGCCTCATCCGATGTGGAAGGGATATTGTCTCACTTTAGATTTCGAACGTATGGTTCATACATGCTAATTTTTATTCTTTTACATATTGATCCATGTAACTTTTTATGTTATATTCCATCGACTGATGTAAAGAAAATTCAAATGAAGCGAGTTTAGTGGGACCATTCTCATTTCCGGTATCAGGCAAAATTTCAGACTTTGAGTCCGTTCCGAAATTCACTGCCAGCGCTACGAGTATCGTCGTGTCACTGTTTATCTGCATACAATAGAGTAAGAAACAACCATGCTTTCAGCGCCTTGAGTGAAAATTGGATCACACCTACGGACAATTGTACATATGTATATCTATTGTCTCCAATAATTGGATCATAAGTAATATATTCTATCCTCCTATTGACTTTACTCCTAATTATATAATATTCCTTGATTATTAAAGTTAAACAAATGCTTATTATATTTTTTAAAGTATTATTATGGATATAGATAACATAAGAAATTATAACACTTTTAAGGAATCGATGATTGAAACGATAAATCATTAACGCCCGTTTTCTTCGACGCGGTTCAATGCATAAACTTGGTTTAATTGTGCTGTTAGCCAATCACACGCTTGTATTTTGAAGATAAACGGAGTTTATGCACTGAACCGCGTTGAAAAAAACGGGCCTAAATTAAATGAGCAAATCATACGCGGATTTTCTAGAACTGAAAAGTCTAGGGATATTTAAGTTTATCAAAATTTAATATGGAACGTTTCTAGCCAGTCAACCAATCACATTCGTTTATTCTTTTTCTGATTCTTGCTCGTGTGATGGATTAATAATGTTTAAATCCTGTATGCTAGAATCATACTTATTAGTAATAATGTTAACAAATACATTATTGTGCTAAAAAGAGAAGTGTAGAATTGGAAAGTGTCTTTCTAATCCAATTGTGTAATAAATATTTAAATGAAATTCGATGTAGAAGGTGGCAATATGTCACCGCATTTGTCCAATATATTTCAACGTATTGTGGCGCCCTTCACAGTAGTAATAAATTAGTGGTAGCAATAAATGCTGAATTGTCAATGGTAATAATATAAGGAGTCATCATATTATTGTAGTATAAAGGACTCTTTCGTATTTCGTAGTCGCATTTATTCTTCCGGCTCTCTTCGGGCCTGGGTGCCCGTAGGACGGACGTCGTTTTCTTTTCTCTGAAACAGATACAAGGTATTTTAGTTTAAACTTTTTTTTGCATATTACATATACCTATAAAATTAGATTTGAGAGTACTGTATATTAACAAATTATTAAGAATTATTCATGTATGTAACTTGATATTAATTAGGATTATATATTTCTGCTTTAATGTAATTTTACATTTTTATCAATATATAAACTTTAATAATTTTTGAGTACTGGCATGCAGATTACTGATTTTAACATAGCGACCAAATCTTTTGTTCAAGAGATTAGTGTATATAGTCATAGGTCATTGAGTTATCAGGTTGAGATACCATATATTTATATCAGGATATGAATACCATCGGTTTATTCTTATACTTCTGCTTTGCAGAACTGCAGTGAAAATGGGTGGTCTTATTACTAGGCTTGTCTTTCTTATTTGTGGTAAGTATTAATAATTATATTTAAACTCAAAACCGATTATTTAGTTCTATTTTTTTTTTGTTAAATGCTAGAAGACTCGTATTATATTGCAGTTACAGAATTTATTTGATTTTAATTCAGAGGATTTAGTTTATGATCATGTAATTCTTATTAATGTCTTCACTAGCTAATTCTTTGGTATGTCTTGTTCTTAAGTATCATATTTCAGTGATATCAGTATAGAAGCAAAGAAATAATGTATAGGGTGTCATTTTTTAATTTTGATGACTAGAATATTTCTTTGAAATATTTCCACTCTTTATAGAATATTATTCTTAAGATGCAATCGTGTAAAAGTACCCTTTATGTATTACATATTTTTTAGGTATTTCGTACAGTGCAGCTGTGCATTCACCTACTTTCAGTAATGCCTACACAGTGAAAGGAACCTTGTATATACCATATGCAGAAATACGTGAACCTTTCTATGCTTGGTATGATGGAAACAGTGGATCCAGCAGAATCGACTATTACGGAGGTAATGCATTATTAATTGCTTAAATTTTGTGAATAAGTACACCCTATATACATAGTGAAAAATTAAATATAGTGACTAGCACTTGCAATGCATACTGCAGATTGTATATGAAAGAATGTTAAATAACGTCTGAGAGACTAAACTTTATTCAAGGCTAACAGGATGTTTTTCATTGTGGAATGTCTGAGCCTAAGAGGGTCAGTTCTCTGTAAATAAATATTAAGAAATAGGGTATGGAATGCATAACTGATAACGGCACAAAGACTCTGCTGTGAGCCTTCTATGAATTGAAACTTCTGTTTAGTTTCTAATTAACAATAAAATTTTTAGAACGCCAATAAACGAATTATAATTGTTCCTCAGGCATGGTAAAAACCTTTCAATTATCTCATCAAGGACCATATGGAGCTAGTGTTAAATTAGCTCCAATTACAACAGAATCAGCCTTAAATCAAGAAACATGTCTGCAAGTAAATGGAAGTAGTGATTACAAGATTCAGCCACAAACTATTATACCTGACACAACTGGAATGGAGGTAAATTCTTTGATATATATTAAAGCTTTCATCATTACAAAAAGATTTTTTTTTATGATAGTTAAACTTACTGAATCATATAATAAAACATATTTGCTTACAGTGTATTGGTGAGGAAATTATCAATGGATTACAATGCGAGAAATGGCGAGTTGTGGAAACGTTTGGAGAAAAAACAAATAAATACACATTATGGATCAGGTACAAGGTAAGTAATTACAGTATTTTTTTTTATATCAAGACTCCCCAAGTGAATGTATAATAAGTGACCTTTTAATTGTATTTACAGAAGTCACCAAAATTCCCAAAAGTTAAAGAACCAATTCCAGTAAGGTACGAGATGCGAGGTTTTAATTCTCTCTTAGGATCACATTACGACCATTATTATTTAGAATACGAATGGTACTCATTTGATACGCCTAGCCCTGATGTATTCCAAATCAGTGAAAGTATGTATTTTTTATGTGACTGGAATTAATTGCCACGAATACACAAAAATTTCGAATTTAATACGGTATTAATGAAACTATATTCAATCGACAGATACTACTTGCGTTGGTTTCCCTGGACCTGGCGACAAACATATATACACATTTAATCCAATGCGTGAATTTATTCACAATTATGATGAGCACGTGAATGTAGCATTCGATCATTTCAAAAATACTCATAAAAAACACTATCCCGATCATTTGGATCATAAACGGCGAAAGGAAATCTTTAGACAGAACTTAAGGTATGTTCGTATTATTAGAAAGAAATTCAATGTAAGTTTTTATTCTATAATGACAATATAATCATTTTATAAAATTTGATAGGTTTATTCATTCCACAAATCGTGCTAATTTGGGCTATCAACTGGATGTTAATCACTTAGCTGATCGTACTGATCTTGAATTGAAAGCTCTGCGTGGCAAACAGTACAGTCAAGGATACAATGGTGGAATGCCTTTCCCTCACAATGTTAAACAAGAATTGGCAGATATTCCTAATTCAATGGATTGGACACTGTATGGTGCCGTTACACCAGTGAAAGGTAAAGTTTATATAAATATGAATTATAATGTTTAAAAGCAACCAGAAAAATGTAATAAACAATGAAATCTGTTTACAGATCAGTCGGTTTGTGGTTCTTGTTGGAGTTTTGGAACTACTGGTGCTGTCGAGGGAGCTTATTTTTTGAAATATGGTAAACTTGTAAGGCTGTCACAGCAGGTAAGATATTGTATAACCAACTATTAAACAGTTGATTATATCAAAAAAAGCAAGTTTCAAAATTAAGTTACTGGATCAAGGAATTCATTAAGTCTAAAACTGTACAGTGAACATGAGACTCAGTAGAATTTCGCACCAAGTACAAGGTACTTTCTTACTACACTTATTTAGAAACTTTTATTTGTACTTTAAGGCACTTATCGACTGCTCATGGGGATTCGGTAACAATGGTTGTGACGGTGGGGAAGACTTCCGATCTTACCAGTGGATTATGAAGCATGGTGGTTTGCCGACGGAAGAAGACTATGGCGATTATCTTGGTCAGGTATGTTACTTGCATTTAATGGTAATAAAGAGCTGTAGTTTAGCAGTAACCCTCTGAATTGAGCCACTTATATTAAATATGTCCGAAGGTACATTGCATTAAATCATATATTTAATATTTTTCAGGATGGTTATTGTCATATTCAAAATGTTACCAAGACTGCCAAAATTAATGGTTTCGTAAATGTCACATCAGGTGACCCTAATGCTCTGAAAATCGCTATTGCCAAACACGGCCCAGTCTCCATTGCTATTGATGCATCTCACAAGACCTTCTCCTTCTACTCTAATGGGATTTACTATGATTCATCATGCGGTAAGATTGTAAAATATATCGGCGATTGGTAGAGAACAATTTGAGATCACAAACTTATTTTGCTTCTTTTCAATAGGTAATACTGAAGAGTCTTTAGATCATGCAGTATTGGCAGTGGGTTATGGTACTATTAATGGTAAAGAATATTGGCAAGTAAAAAATTCCTGGTCTAATTACTGGGGAAATGATGGATATATTCTCATGGCACAAAAGGATAACAATTGTGGAGTGTTAACAGCACCTACATATGTTACTTTCGATTAAGTTTATTACGATACTGAGATTTATACTTATGCTCTTGTAAAATGGTCGATTTTAATAATATAGATTTATTGTAAAATCGCTTGAGATTGATCGTCGGTAGGAGATATCCTTATTTTTTCATTGATTATATTTAGAATAAGCGTTTGGCTATGACGATTATCACACTTTCAAGTAAATAAATAAATATTCAGAAAATCAAAGCAATGCATTCTTAATATACCTTTTCGTGTGAAAATTCCATCTGGGCCCTATATACGATGCTGGAAAGTATTCCCCAGTTTTTGGAAATCTAATGATAAAATTCATAGTTATGTATAGTTGTAATGATTATATAAGGAAGGTTGCATAAAAGTGCCGTATGAAATTTAAACAAAATTGTCTTTTATTTGGAAGTTTATAGCAACAGTCAATGTTATAATAGTATTCGTTATTATCTTAATATAATATTATCAGAGATGTTTGTATTGGCTGTGCAAACAGAAGCCTAAAAATGGACTCTGATCCGTGTCTTTTGAATTTGATATCTCTCATGAATGATTCATACACGTTTCTATACACTATAGCAAACTCTTACTAACTTAATATACAGTGATTAACTGATCCATTAAGGTATTTTGTTTTCGAACAGCAAAGCAATACCAGTTACCCTTTCGTCCGTAAAATATGCCTTAATTGTACATATAGTATTGAAGAAGTGAATAATTATTTAATATGAATCACGAACAGATAATTTGTCGCCCGCGCGTTGACATTTTGTATTGTTTTTTTTTGCAACTTTGACAAATACTACGCAAGTTTCATATCCTTTTAGTTTTTTCGTTTGCCTAGTACGTCGTTCACTTCTTCAGAATATTAATGTAAGAAATAATAGAAAGAATAAGAAACCACGACTTCGCTTACGTCTTTTAAATTAGAATTTTTCCCCTTTGACTAGTTCGTTTTCGACGATTATGTTTTAATCTTGATAATTTAATCAAAAACTTAATCCGTCCGACTTTATTTCAAACTGTTTTTGGAATGTCGTGAATACTTCTCCTTGTTCGGATGTAAAATTTGGAAAATAGCATTCAGTGAAAAAAAAATCATGAATCACATGGATATACTTTTTAGGCCGATCCTGCACACCATGTCCTTTAGCATTATATTTACGAATTTTTCAAAATAGTTTTTCATAACTCGTAACGAGTTTGAGATTAATTTTTTAAATATGTATTTTAGTTCACTTAATTCTCTTAGTTCCACAAAAACGCCTGAACATTTTCAAATTGGTCAATTCAAAAAATAATTTCACAAAATGATATACGTAAAAATTTGTTGCATCCGTCAACAAATCATCATAACGATACAATCGTTACTCACGAAGTATCGTTACTCTATCAATATTCGTGACTGATACATTAATATAAAATAAAAATTTGTGCACAGAGTTTGTGCCGCATGGAGTAACAAGTAAACCTTACTTTCAAAATGGCCCACTAGCAGAATAATAAATCAAACATGTCTCTTGTGCACGATCATAAAGAATATAAACTTTTCTTACAATTAAATATAAATTGTTGCCTGATACAATTGTCGGCGTAGTACAAGAAACAATTATACCTAAGCTTGATATTTCGTACGAACCACGTCATGGAATGGCAACAAGTGTCGGAATGTCGAAAATATTTTTAAAAAAATCAATATAGGCCACTACACCAGTAAAGACCGCGCCAGAAGAGTGATGGAATCTTTCTTTCTTTTGAGTTCCATACATAATCTTTTATTATGGAACATTTAAACAATTTCTAAGTAACATCGACTCTTATAGTACGTATAGTATATGCATTGAATTTGTGAAGGGAAAGATTGACAGCAATAGGTAGGAATAGTAAGTTTAAAAAAAAAGAATTAAATCTCGCCTCGATAAATTGCCTCTAGTTAAGTACATTAATGACAATACGTAATTCCGATAATAGACTCTTCATTTCTATACACATAAAAGATCGTTAATATTCTCATTCAAAATTTCATTAATAGATAAAATTTTCATTTTTTATACGCATTACTTTCATTCTTTATCACTTATGGACCCTGGACCAATCAGTTCGATCTTCATGCTGACGATCGATTCAACTTGGCCATTTCCCGGCGAATTTAGCAGGACGGTCGAATCGTTAATTTTCATTTTATACGATAAATATATAATAATACAAATGGACCCGAGTCACCCAAAGGAAAGAAGGATGAAGATCCATTCTATATAGCGTTCTAATTTTTTTTTTTCAAAATCACAAGGACACGTCCGTTCATCTATTTTTCTGATTGGCATAAGTTTTTTTGCAATACCCTCTGTAGTTCCTAGTTAGAGAAATCCCATCTCCAGAGCATTGTACAGTGATTGAGTATCCGAATGACTGTTGATTCTCCAAAATGGAAAATTATGTGCTCGAGCAGCAGTTTCTTCATCAGAACCATCACCAATAACTACGTATGTGCATCTACGACCAAATCGAGCCACGACTCGACCAAAGCAGCTCTCCTTTCCTATAAAATTGAATATATATATATAAGTTCTTAAATACTTATCGCCAACAGCAATAATCAAAAACTTACCAATTTTAGCGGAAGAGTAAATATTTTCAATAGGAAAGATGCCGCCTATACCAAACAATAAAACCTTGGATAAAGTTGGTACCAACTGAGTAGTAGTAACTAGAATATTTATGCAGTGACTCCTCTTGTTGATTAGATTCAAACATTTAACAGCTGAAGTTAGCCAATTGTCAGTCATAAGTTCAATCTCCGTTCTCAACTGAAGCCATTGTTCTCGTTTAGCAGCTCCAAGGAGGCCACCGACATTGTTCCGATAATTACAATAAATCTCTTTGATCTTTCTGTAGCGGAAGGCAAGTTTTCTCATCCAGTCAACGCCACCTCTCACACCGGAAGCAAGACATATACCATTATTCGTAGACGCACATTGAAATCCATCAGTGGCAAAATTATACGACGACAAATCCTGACCATTGTCATCCGAGGATACATCATCGATGTGAACCTGATCGCAATCCTAAAGTAGAACAATTGCAATGCCGCATTAAGAAAAATGATTTCAACAGCATGATATTAATGATGAAGAAATATTGTATTCTACTCACGCCACTCACCTCGATGTCATTGAAAAAGAAATGCGTGTCTGCCAAATTGAAGATCATTTCTTCCATCCTAAATGCCAATTGGGATAACAGGTTGGGATCCTTTCTGTGTTTCGTTGCAAATTGTCCAGTTAAAAGTGAATTGAACACAACTATGGTTTCATCGAGGTCCCAAATAAATATCCGATCCGGACCGGCTTCTGTCGTATCCGCTGAACCGATACTGTTTCCGCTTCCGCTCTGTCGCCTTCCGCGTCTGCAGGGCTTCGCTGTCGCCCCTGGAACGTTTATTCGTCATCGTTATAGTACTTTATACTTGTAGCCAGTCCAGCTCCCAAACAAAATTCTCACCAGGAATCGTGTTACCTTCGACATTTGTGGTTTCCCGTGCTGTGAGGTCGCTTACGTCGTGGGAAGTCGTATCCAAGCTGAGAGCAGACTTCGTGGAATCTTCTTGAAATTTAAAATTTATATATTATATTAGTATTAACTTAATGGTATCTAATTGATCTTTACGAACATTATACACGTTTAATGATCTTACCGGCAAAGTTTATGTTACTAATGTTAAATGGCGTAGGGGTTGCGTGATAACCAGTCATTGGGTAGTAACCAGGATACTGCAAAGATGCTCTGTCGTTGCCATAGAGATTAGTGCTGTAGGCGCTGTAATCCAATTTCTATAAGAAAGAAAAGTATTTGGAATATCAAATAGTGAAAGTAGAAAAATTCATTTTTAACCATTGATCATATAATTTATCACGTACTTGCGAGGTCGATGATATATTTTGTCCTATTGTTGGAAACGTTGTGGATCCGGTATTATATCCAGCATAGGACGAGTACTGTGCCATAGAACTTGGTGTATAAGAACTTAAATATGAGCTTTGGAGGGACGATGAATTTTTCGAGGCAGTCGTAGATCCGTAACTTGGTGAACTGTAGAGACTGCAATAAAATAACATATAATTAAATATTAAAATAATTATCGATAATCCAAACTGCTTTTTTTTGTAATTTATCTCCACTGATATTTACCTGTTGTAATATTGATTGGCTCCATAGAGTGTACTGTAGTCTGCCTTTTCCATGGAATCCGGATATTCCTGTTCCTTATCTTCAGCATTCTCATCGATATATAATTCTCCACCAGGTACGTTGTCGTTCTCAGGACAATCCTGGACCTCGTTCTTGACCTCAGTCTCTGTAAGATAGTGTCAATAAAATTACTATCGATTCTAGTGATAAGACAAGGGATAAAACTACCCTATCTTTACAAGTGGTTAACTACGCCACTGAAGACTGGAATTTTATCTACCATTGTTTGCACTACGAGGGTGCTGTACCGAGGCCTCTGTTGATGAAGACACGTTACCAGCATTGTCTAAAACCCCTGCCGGTTTCGTCGGGTCATTGTCTTCGGTTAACATATCACTCCGCCTGGAACAGCAGTACAAGGAAGGTTTTGTAGAAGCAAAATTTTAAAAAAATTGGAAATTCATAAAAATGAAATAATTAATCAGATTTAAAAAAGAAACACAGAACATAATGATCTATGAACGAAGGAAATTTTTTAAATTAATTATTCAACCCACTGATCAAAATTGTACGTATGTAAAACATATAGAATCTAATTGAATAACTTTAATCTCATACCAATAGATATACTATAATTTTATACTATACAATAAAATCCCCTTTTACTGTACAGGATTAGACTTCTTTTCACTTTAATTTTATGCCTGTATATGCCCTCATAGATTTAATAGATTTAAATAAAAAGTAATTCAAGATATGAGGGTCTGGATCTTGTTACGTATAAGAGTATTGTGTCGGACCTATTATTAATTATTAATAAAACGATTAAAAGATTCGCTGCATACTAATAAATATTCAATCACCTTTATCAATGAAGCTATTACTTTCAATAAGAATGATATCGTTTCGAATAATAAACTATGTTGTATAATTGGATTAAAATTCAGATATAATGAATGGAGTCAATTATACAGATGTTGAATTCATCCGAAAGAGTCCATTCACAGTAATAAAAATATACTATCGGCTGCCAATTGCGTGTCGAAGAGGTGGAGTGGCCAGATGGGTAGGCGTACACCATGAACCTTTGCAAGCAGCCAATGAAATCTCCTTTCACAACGTTTTACATTATGTATTCTTTATGTTGCCAAGTCACTATCTATCTGCGCTCCGCCCTTACGACTATACTGAACTATAGTTGGAACAGGGTACTCGCCTTAGGCTCCATTCACACTATGCTCATTCCCCTTTACGACACTCACCTGAAATCTTCTAGTTTCCCACAAGCGCCACTTTTCAGACTACAAAATTGACCGCTATGTACATTAATCAGTGAAATAATACGAATGGCCTTGGAATTGTCACTTATAAACTTCTGGTCCATTTAAATGTACGACAAATGTACTATGTATATTTAACAAAAATAATACACGAGATGCATCTAGTCGGTTGATTAAATTTAACATTAAAATATATATTGAGATACATTGCAGATAATAAAGATAAATATCTATTAAGACTAGAAAAACTATTAATATGACAATTATCTTGATTCCAAACCTCTGTAGTCTCGAATGGGAATTCCCAAGGTGCAACGACTTTCTAGGGAATTTTTTGTATCGCTATTACAGTCGAATAATATCTTACATGTGATACCCGTAGTTAAACTAACGGATTGTGATTTCTTTCGCACGGAATAGAAACTCGTCCAGCGATGGCAAGGATGAGATTAAGGAGTTGCGCTTATCTAGACAAAATGTGCATGCAGTGTTTTATCAGGAAGAACTTGCTTAGCTGTCAGTTTGACAGACTGTCACTGTTGGAGAAATACAGTCAGAGGAAAAAAAATATACATATACACATAATAATGTGTAAGATGAATAATAAATAAGAGTATTATTTATAACTTTGTAAAATACCTCTCGTTATGCCTTACTTTTCCGCTATGAATAATACCAGGAATTACTCGCTCAACCAATTAAAACACATTACCGTTAACGAGCCGAATCAAATGCATAACTTGCGCATGTTTTACATGTGCTTACTGTGTATACATATATTCTGTTCAGGCCCTGGAAAATTTTCTTTTCATTTTTCGTCTTATTCATTTAATATAGAATACCAATCTATTTGACACGTGCTGCCTATGTGGAACCGTCAAGTTTGACAATAGCATTGTTATTCATAACAGATGTACTGTGTTAACGGGTGCGAAACTCTATTAAGCAGAAACATGTAAAACAAATATTTGAACAGGTCCAACGGTCAGTTTCCCAGGATAGAAAAACAGTATGGACTAGTTCAATTCTGTGTTCCTTATGGTCCACGCATGCTGACCAGATGGACGTCACTTTGAAAAGTCATAAAACAAAAGCTACTATGGTTCCTCTCATACAGAGTAGTCTCCATTGTCTGTACCTGAACTAGTATTTCAAACTTTTCGCACAGTATTAACCTCTCCAGTTTCACAAGTCAAATACTCAAGCCGTCCTTCGCACAGGACAAAGAAACGTCACGATAGAACCTGACAGACAGAAAAAGAATATCGAGTCTCCAACATAAATTGGAAAATTATGCAAACCTTATGTCCGTCTGTTGTCGGTAGAGTACTGTGTTGGTAATCCAAATGAATTTCGGCGATTAAAAATAAACCGTCACTCCTTCACCTTGTCGCACCTGCAACATTTCTTCGTCACTCACTCTCAGCACTTTCTTCACTTTTTGTCCTTCACTTTCCATTTCCCGGCATACATCGCGCACTTTTCCTTCTATATTATCAGGATCACCCTATGGTTTGCTTTTAATCGCGATCTGTGTATATGTATACACACAGAGAATGCAGACACGTGCGACAAATAGAATAAGAAAACGTACTTTGTGATAAGATAAAACGGCAGCTAGGTTGGGTGCTGATAAGGGATTATCGGAGGGATGCAAATGGATGAATTACACGGTATGATATCGGGGGTATTTCGCAAATCGTTAACTTCAACTGCGTTGACCAGGTTAAACAAGTGTGCTCACGGACTATTAATCGTACTACGGGCGTAAGGTATCTTACAAAAATGTCCTACGCGACTCTTCCTTAATCCAAAACGACGGAGAAACTTTCGTTGTTCGTGTATCGTGGATCGTATCGGCTCGGGCTGTGATGCTGTAGCCTGTGGAGTTCTGAGCATGCGAAATGTCGCCAGCCACCCCCGCCCGCTGGTCACGTGGTATCGCCCCTCTCCCGCTGCCTCTTCATCAACCTCTTCCTCTTTCTCTGGCTCTACGTTAATTAGAGTGAGAGAATATAACGTGATGGTCGTGATCAGGGGTTGGCGGCTAGAGGAGAACGGTGTATAGGGACGCCCTTATTGGAATAGGTGTCACTCCTCGTGATTATTAGTTTACTGGAATCATGGGAATCCACATTTTTTTATTGTCCATCTTTTTTTTAATTATAGGAATATTTGAATTAAAAAAATTCATTCTCTAGCCTAACAACTATATGTAGATTGGTTGGTACATAGAATTAGGAAGTATAATGGGTATTTGCATGTGGATAGTGTTTTTTGTGATTTTAATAAAAATTTGTACATTTAAATTTTACATGTAATAAATAAACACTTGAGATGACTCTTGACAAAGTTTTTATTATGATATAAGTATGTCTTGTCTAATCAATCTGTGTCTACTTTTTCAGAACTTACGCAGGTCTCATTTAAATCTTGAAATTTAAATATCTTTCATACAGTTTCAAAGTAAGACGATATTCTTTGGAAACAGTATAATTACGTATTACGATATGATAATAGCAACATCGTTGAAAATTTCTAAGGGAACGTAATCCGAGAGGGCTTAGATGTGCAAAAAGAGATGAATACATAAATTTACAAATTTTGAAACGTTACACAATTTTTTTAACGTGTTCTAAGAGATTCCAAAAAATATCCTTCACTTCGAAATATACGTGTAACTGAATAAAGAAAAAAAAGGCAGCCATGCAGAATCAGTATAGTACAAAACGATCGTTAGATCGTATGCCGTCGTACAATAGGGATTACCGATTATACATAATAACATCCAAGTATAGAAGGGACCATAGATCCTAAGCACAGCTAATCCTTGTAGCTTATAAATTTTCACGGTAAAACGAACTCCGGGAATCCTTGGAAATGTTTGAAAAAATTGTGTTGTACCTTTTTCAAGGTAGACTCCTTAGACAGGAGTACAGAACGCGCATCCGTCGAAGCGTGTCGAAGCACGGACGAAGTTCTTCTACGAAAAGTGCTGTGGACGCTACCCTAATGCGAGGGAATCATTGGTCAGGAGTCGAGCGAGCCACAGAGCTGGAAGCCCAAGACATGGCGTCGACATCTACCAAGTAGGTGAAACGGGGGTTAGTACCTTTATGATATAATGGCAGCCAGACAGACGAAGCCTCGGAACAATTCTGTAAGTAAGTTAACTCAGGATCGAATCGACGCCGTAACGCACGTACATTTCATGTAAGATACTTGGTTATGTTCGCTTGGCTAGATAAGCCACAGAAATGTAACAGAGAGAATTACTCCGGTAGGTATTAATGTTTCATGGGAGGTAAAAGTCCTGTAGCGAGCGAGTTTAGTCGAGGCTAAGTGAGGTGTATACTTGGTATATTATATATAAAGTAGGTGAATATAGCTGCATATAGATGTATAATGTATATAGGATAGTATATAAGCATATAGAAGTAACGTTGTATACACTATATATATACACGTATAACGCAGGCGCAGGCAGCTGTCACCTTACACCCATGGAGGAGGTATGGGGCTGGGGCGGCCATTCTCAACTTATCTCTAGGATCTTTGTAAACATGTCGTGAAATCCGAGTATCCCAGCAGTGGCGTAGAGATCGGGGTGGTTCGTCAGTATATATGCTACGGGGAGGTCCATCAGGAACATCCCTGGCTATGGAGTCTTCGCCGATAATGCAATGATGCATCCATGCCAGGCGTTCCCCCGGCAACCAGGATCCCCTCGTCCTTACACTAAATGGAGCATACTTTGTTCTGGGCTAACAAAAGGATTTTAGGGGACTGTTGCGACGCTGCTATCTTCTCGTTCTTGGTCTTTCCCTGCTCTTATACTTTTGACGCTTCTTCTTTTTCTTTTACTACTACCTATATGAATGCTAGTACAGGTATTGTCGCACTATTACAATATGGGATTACTACTATTGTATCTTGCACTGTCAGTTATAAGTGTTTAAAGAACATTTTTCAGGAATTGTGGATTGTTATCAGTACAAGGGAACATTTGAGAAAGAGAGGAAACTTTTTTTGTTCTTTCTCACTTTTCTTCACCCCTTCAAATACCTTAGTGGGGTATTGGATCGATTGGGTTGGTGTCTAATCTTAGCTGGATAAGGACTCAGCAATTTATACGAGTGGATAATATTTGTATTGATCGTCTGATCATAATAGGTATATTTGTCTTTGTTCCTATGAAAGATCTTTGGGTATAGAAACTTGTAGGTTGAAGAAATATTATAATGACGCAACAGTTGTAACTTTTCTTAGAATTATATCTATTTGGATGAATAATAATTCTTAAATGGTGGCTGTATTGGCGCCTTGTTAGATTAAACGGATTAAATTTTTAAATGACAAATCGCAGGTAGAACGAACTCCTGAATATCTCCTGGATTCCGATCGATCCTCGAGATAATTATGCTAATGCCGGTCACCACGGTAAGAAAATTCATTTAATTTTTTTTTCATTCACTTATGAATATCCGTACGAATGTAAGGATTATACAAAGTGGCTGTATGCAAAAACTGTGATCTCTGATAACGTGACATTATGTTTTATGATTAAAAAATAAGGTTCTTTAGTTATTAATAATTCTTTGAAGGCTGAATATAAATGTATGAAGTAACATTTATCTTAGGCCCACTGAATCCGATTTTCTTAGTTTATATCGTCATTGATATAATTTGTGGCACGTTCGTTTATGTTTAATATTAAATCATCGATAAGAAAATACGTGTTATTACTCTAGGAAATGTTTGGCTTGTCACGCATCGAATCACTCACCCGTTATTTTTGTTATTCTCAGAGTAAAAAGGATATGCGTTAGCATGTGCTTTGATATTAATATGAAATAAATTTTCTCGCTGCAATTATTGTTACTCGACATTTTCAAGCTGTTGAAGGCTCTCAGTCCTGAGACTCGCCAGACAAGAACCGCAGCAACGTGAAACATAATACAAGTTGCACCAGCCAGCCCTGAGCTCAGTCATGCGAAGCAGCTAGCGCAGCCAAAGAACGCGACGCACGAATCAGATTACATCTTGCGTTCGCTGCTTATCTTTATTCTTCACTTTACTTCACTTCAGTTCACTTCGCTTCGCTTCAATGGAGTCTGAATAACGCGCTATAGCCGGTGACAATCTTGAGTCAATACCTATTGATTTTTGTTGAGGAAATATTGTAATAATATTGTAAATAATAATATGTCATGGAAATATTGATGTGCAATAAAATATTGTATATTAGGAAATAGATATGGGACAAGAGATGATTTTATAAAAACATGAATTTCCTTTATCATGAATTTCTTTTTAGTATGATTAAATTAATGTATGAAAGCCCTGGAAGGATCTAAATTCGTTTGAATAATAATTTAAAAAATGTTTATTTCATTCCAAATAATTTTATATAGATTTTTATACCTGATCGCATTTCACGTAAAAGTCGAGTGTTTATAATTGATCTACGTTATTCGTTATCTGTACCACTGGTTTGTAAGAACACAGGAGCCTGGCCACTTTGCGCTACTTGAATAAGCTGTGGTTGCGCTTGTATAGGTGCTGCTTGAATTATGATTGGCTGATTACTCCCGCCTTGTACTTGCATTCGGATCATCTGCAGTTGTTGTGGTGTTAATTGTATCTAAAATGAATGAATGATATATTGTCATTAGGTGTTCAATGTTTCAAAAAGTCAATAACACTCACAGGAATTTGTTGGATTTCTCCATTAGGTGTAACAATCTGTTGCACAATTTGTATTCCTCCAGTTTGAGAAGTTGGAGTTTGTTGAAGTTGGATAACTTGCTGACCACTATTTTGCTGCGGACTTTGTACTGTAACTGTTTGAGTAGTACTGGTGTTGGAGCTTTCCTGAAATTTAATCATAATATAATTTTTAATTAGTTTTAACGAGAGAACATTTTATTTATTAGCATCATGGACAATAAATTATTTTAATAAGTAATACATCGGTCTCACCTGTTCCACAGGACTACCAATATTGATAGTTTGAATTTGCCCTGTAGAAGGCTGTACAATTTGTATAGGTTGCGTTGTTGTACCATTATTTTGAACATTTTGATTAGCTGAAGCTTGCTGCTGTGCTAGTTGAAAATAGTAGTGTACTTGATCAGAATTCATGGATGTGCGAACTGTACTATCTGTCTGTGCTTTGCTCTGTTTCAATTCATCTCTAGGTACGATATCAATAAGAAAATCAAATTGATCATATTTTGTTATTGCCATAGCTATATCGTTTCTTTGCAAAGTCCTTCTCTTATTATCTTCCGTATGAACCCAAGCTCTAAGCGTTAGCTCATGTATAAAAATTTCTGCAGCCTTCGAAAACAACATAGGTGCCTCAGCGCTAATCATTTTCACCTCTTCATCTAATTTCATAATTTTTTTTATCCTTGCTAGTGGTAGAGATTGGGTTTTTAAATCCATCTATAAAAAAGAATAATAATGTCATGGCTTTCAGGATAGACACTATCAGTGAAATACTCTTACCGTGGTGATCTTTTTGATTTCTTCAGTAACTTTTGGCCAGAACTGAGTCAAAGCTTGCTGGGCCTCCGAGTTACCTGGTGATGCAATTTGAAGATCGCCATTTGAATCTCCTTCCACTTCGCTATCCTGATTACTGAAGTAAAAATAATGACATAATTAGTAACAGGCTGCCTAACCTTACTATAACGGTATTTTAGTATTTCCTATAAGATCTACAAGAGATTGAAAAGTATTTTCTTAACTGTGCGGTTTAGATCACGTCAAAGAATCTTTTAATGTTTTTCAAACACCACTACGATAACAAAAAATTAAAATAAAGCAATTTACGCTAAAAAAGGTAAACACAAGCGGTTATACTTACGCATTAACAAAGAACACGGACATCTTCCAGTCGTATTATTCACAGGAGTCTAAGATATAAGTATTCAAATAAAGAAAAACATAGTGTTGCTTATAACTAGATAATATTGATAATCCGCTTTAAAAAAAGCTCAATATACGTCTCGGTGACAAGAATCGTTCTTGAGAAAATTGATAACTTTAGCGCCGGAAACTTCTCAGCCATCCGAGCATCCTGCAGGCAATTTAGTCAACACTTTACCGCTAGATGGACTAAAAATTACATGATAAATTCTTTCTCTACAATATCAACTCAGACTAATGCATCCTGTGACTAATTTTAATAGGAATATCTATGGGAACAAGCAAATAATGAAATAACTAATATTTATTCAGTCTATATTATATGGTCTAAAAATCCATTAATTGTGTACACTCTTGAAGTTACTTAACTTTTGAAAAATACTGTTGAGTACTTCTTTTGAAGTGAATGTACCAGAACCATTAGTTCTTATAATTCCGCCGAATTCGCGTATATAATAATCTAGTTCGGTCTCATTCGAATGATCCTTTGCCGCCATGTATTTATTAGTCAACTGCGCTAACTTCAACAAATCCGAGCTGAATGCTTCATCCAGATCGAACAGTTCTAAAGCAGGTGGCGGAAGTTCTTGAAAATTTGGTGGAAATACCTACCGATAGAAATAAATAAAAATAATGAAACGTTATATATTCGTGCATTATCGGGAATTGTTTTATATTCAAAGGATTTATGTGCACCCACCGATGCCTGTGTAGGAGGTAATGGCGTCTCGAAATGCGGAGCGATTAAACTGAGTGGTTCGTATTTAACACCTAAAACTTCATAAGCCTTTATACATGCTGGAACCATATTTAAATTAATAGAGTAGAAATGATGCTTGAATAATTTCGTATATTCTCGAGGTATATCAATGTTGTCCAAATCCTGTGTGCAGACTTTTGGATTTTCTGCTTGTTGCGTAGTATCAGGCACAAAATTATATTCCCAGTACTGAAAATTATTAATTGATTTTATATCAGCAAGATATTTTATATATTTTCCCGTTTGCAAACTTACGTCGACGTCGTCCACCTGGACATCTTTAGTTACGGGCCCTTCCGAATCGAAAAATTCGAAAAGCATCTCTCGCAAGGAATCATTTTTTCCCTTCTCTATATATGCGTCTGTTAAAATTCTTGATGAACCCAAAACGACGACTTTACCTGCATTGGTTTTTGCCGAATAATATGCGCAAATTGGTCTGTTCGTTGGTATCGCGATTGATCCACTGGATATAGCGACTACAGATGGTTGTACAACATTTAGGGTAGCACCGTATGGATAGAGGAATTTTAAGTCTCTATAAAATGAATTTGATTAGAATAAATTAAAATATTTTTTATATTATAGAACTTACATATACTCGTCACGATTTCTTACGAATATTGATTTGTTTGATAATCCTTGAGAAATCAAAACTTCTTTGGGATGAAGGGTTTGACTGTAATTCATACGTGCAACGCTATCTATATATATATATAATCGATTAATTAATATTTTTTCATTACGATTAAGCTAGTAATTATTGTTAATCCTTACCGTTATTTACCATTATTCCAAATTCCTCGAGTAAGAAATTAATATTCGTATTAAATTTATTTTCCCCGCCTTCCCCCAGCATAACAAGAACGTTACCACCCGAATTTATAAATGTTCTTATAGAATTCATTTCCAATTCTGTAAATTTACTTCGCGGACCTGGTAGTACTAAAACTTTTCCATTAGCAAGTGACTCCTGCGAGAGCACGTCATTGTTTCTGAAACAATAATAATTAAAGATAAACAAGATTTTGTTAATAGCATAAAACGAGTAGTTAATACAAACTCGACAAATTTCCATTTAGGCTTTAGTCTTCTCTGTAGTATTTTGAATTCCTCGTTAAGTCTTCTTTCATTTTTTGATGTATCAAAAATAATAATGTTAGAATTGCTATCGCTACCACTGTAAACTGAACTCATTTTATTGAATTATATCCTGAAGTACACTGTCTAGTCAAGCAACAGCAACGTAGAAATGCCATATAAAATGTCTAGTCGTTGCTCTTGGCAACTTTTACATATCAAATCCACAAAGATAGTTGGTTGGCGTAGAACCAATCACTATGAATGTTTCTCTCCTTACGAATTTGTGCGCCATCTAGTGATTATGCTGCAGCCTGTAACCATGGTAATCGATTAAATGGTTCTGTAAGACAGCTGTGGACAGCTGTGAACTGCTTCAGGATCTGAATGTCAGTTTGTCGTGTTGTTGGCTGCTCCGTTATTCGTTTTAAAACATTTTTTTTTGCAAAAAATGACTTCGATGACACAAGGAGATAATGAATTGAAGAGGCTGCTGAATAATCCGGCGAAAAACATGAATGAAGATGGATCCATGGCTCCACCGCTTTCGGTAAGCAACCTAATATGGTATAAGAGAGGTTATCCTGGTGATATATGAAATGTTAAAACAATGATTTTCATTAAAGACGAACGTGCCGAGGCCGAGCACTTCGCAAAGTGCTAATCCTCAATCATTGATGAATCCAATGATTCCTGCTTCCACTAAAAAAGAAGTCATGCAACCTTGTTTACAGTAAGTTTAATTTTGGTGACACGTAGTGTAATTTGTATTAATTTGATATTTAACTTGTTTTATAGAAATATTGTATCAACTGTTAATTTGGGAACAGAACTGAAGCTGATGCATATCAATACTAGAACTAGAAATTCTGAATATAATCCTGCCAGGTTCACAGGATTGATTATGCGAATAAGAAGTCCTAGAGCAACAGCATTAATTTTTAGGTCTGGGAAATTGGTCTGCACTGGTGCAAAGTGTGAGGAGGATTCTTTTTTAGCTGCTAGAAAGTTTGCTAGGATTATTCAGAAATTAGGTTTTCCAGTAAGTGATCACCTGCTTTGCTCTTAAAATGGTAAATTTCGATAAATTGAATTCTATATTTTACAGGTAAAATTCATTAATTTTAAAATACAGAACATAGTTGCTACGTGTGATTTGAAATTTCCAGTCAAATTGGAAAACTTAAATCATATGCATGGGCAGTTTTCCAGCTATGAACCAGAATTGTTTCCTGGTTTAATATATAGAATGGTTTTACCCAGGGTAGTCTTACTAATATTTGTTAATGGAAAAATAGTTTTAACAGGTGAGGCCGTTTTTATAAATAATTTTGTAGATGTTATTTTGTCATTAATGTTTCATTTCAGGAGCGAAAAATCGAAACGACTTACAAGATGCTATAACAAATATACATCCAATATTAAAGAGCTTTAGAAAACAATGATAGTTTTTCAATTTTCCTTTAATGTTAAATAACATTCACTTAGCCATATTTCTTGTTAATTTTTGTATATTACAATTTTTTAATAAATGCATTATTACTTATGAAAAGGGTAATTTGAATGATTATTACAAGCAACAATACAGTTTCAGATTATGGAATTGTAAAGATAAATAGGATAGCCGTTCTAAAATATCTATATATTTCAACCTGTTAAATAAAATTACATGAACATCAATATGTTATATAAAAATAAAATATAACTGACAAATAATAAAATATATTTTATCGATAATGTGATATCCTCTGGACACAGCGTATCGCTACACGGAAATAATGCTCAGATTACATTTACATATTTTTTATGTTAAAAATTTGAGTTTTAATTTAATTCCTTGATATGGCACGATGCTCAATGGGAGAAAAAATATTTTCACTGTCGCGACAAAATATTTCCTCAGCATTATTTTAATGTTCAAGCAAATTGATTTTGCATTCATTAATATTTTTAGAATACTTCTGCTTCTCATTCAAATGGCTATCAATTTATTTTTATTTAATCCCAAGATTTAACAGCTTCATATGACGCCCCTATAACTTTTGGTGTACCTTCCTTGAGAATATTTGGCATATTTCAAGCATCTTAAATACCCTTCATCATTAACTTTGTGTCACTTTGGTCCAGGCTTGAAGAAACTATTCGTTAATATATTGACTCCATATACATATAGTATTATTCCGAGCTGCTGTACCAGCTGTAGATGATCCATCATAATAATTGATAGAAATCCTGAATAGCACTGTATATACATATGCCGCGTTATTGTATTATGTGACAAAGCTTTTTGAATGTTTAGTACCAATCTGATAGCGTTGTACTTTATATTCCATAAAAGAAAAACTACCAGCATTTTTCTCTTTGGAAAGTATCAATCAAAAATTTGAATAAAGATTTCATTTAGACGAAATTATTTATAATTTAGTAACCGACGTTTATCCCCTTTTTGGCTGCGATTGGTAATTTCTCACCGCGGAAGAATGGATTTTCCTCCTAAAACGAGAATAAAATAAATGAAATATGAGCACCTTATGACTTTGAATAATTTTTACACAATCATTTTTTAAATCTTTGAAGATAGTACCTACCTGAAATTGTTCGACGATTTGATCGAAATCAGAGTTAGAGATGTGCATGTTGGATAAAGCATTATTATTTTCAATTCCGTTTGAACAATCGACCATATGTTCAGTGTCACACATGCAGTCCTGGGCACTTTGAAAATCCCGACTGAAGGTAGCTGTGTTTTCGAAATTAACGATGCAATGATTTTCACCTGTCAAAAAAATTATGTAGATTATAACAATTAACTGTATACAATGCAATAGACAATCCTATCCATCAGACTTACTTGTGTATCCAATTGGGCAAGGATTTGGTGGTGTGCAGTATGCTGGAAGATTGCTTTCAGTTTTCTCATCTTTAATACCCTTCAAGCCACCAGGCTGGATTCTATGTCTGTCATTACTAATCTCCCCATTTTGGAGTCTCTGATGACTCCAGAGAGAACTATGCTGAAGGTACTCTTGGTCCCGAATGCTCGGATTCGGATTAGGTGTATCAATGCCATCATAATCCATTGGAAGTTCAGCTGGAATTTCCTTTGCCTTTTCATACTCATTAGTCACTCGCGAACCATCTTGAAGTTCTAAATAGGAATCAGCCGCGTCTACTAATTCGTTACCCATCCGGTCGACCAACTCACGAAACAGCATGTCCGTGAAGAAGTGTTCCTATTACAAGGAAATTAAATAAAATTATTAGACATTGATTATTATAAATTTCACCATAGGACAATTACCTTCATAGGGGGCATATACACGGTACCATGAACCATGGCGATAGTTCCAAGTATTACTATAGCACAGATCATTTTGAAAATCTCGTTATTCGCAGAAACACCTATAATTAAAATTGAGATACGTTACAAAAATTAGATGCCATAAAATAATCGCCAAAACTTATATTTTTAAGTTTTAAAAATTCATCATTAAATAATATCGATACCTCCAAATGTTAATATTTATTTTTAATAAGCCGTTAACGTCATTTAGCAAGTGACGAGGTACATACATAAAGTTGGTTTAAAAATGAATGTTCAAACAATAATTCTAATAGATAATTTGCAAAAGTTAAAACTTGATTATAGACTCGTAGCCGTCTTAAAAAAATGTCCTCACCGTGTAATAATGGTTGGCTGAAGACCAGCTGTAAGGAGGTCCTTGAGAGGGTTTGCACGATCTCGTTTTCACGTCAGCCACACGCGACGTTTTCGTCGCACAGAAAAGCGCCATAGCGGTCCCGACAGGTACCAAAGTATTGATCAAAGTTTTCACGCTACGTGGCTCCCCCCCGGCCGTTCTTCCGTCGTTTCCTCGAAGTCTCGTTCCTCTCAACCCATATAAACCGTAAACCAAGTTACTCTTAAAGGTCATTTCGTAGCCAAGCTTTTACGCGATGACGTCATTTATCACTTGATTAAGGCCGATCTGTCAATCTGTTTAAAATCGGATCACTCTAATACGTGATACACTCTCCACTTTAAATGCATTCTTTAATTCTCCTATGAAAAAAATGCTATTAACAAAAAAAGAAATGTGATTTGGCACTCTTACTAAGTTACGGTTTCACGAGGCACAACGAAGTCAGGACGCAAGACGTACCCCCAGTTTGTTATAAGGAAGACACTGTATTGAAGTTAAATGAATTTTGATCAACCCAAATTTATTAGTCAAATAGATGAAGAATACCTGGACAAAGTAATCAGGTGGATGAGAACAATTTAAGGATTTCACATAAAATTATATCCCGTTAAAGATATTTGTCCCTTGACCTCAATTTCAACGAGCTCTTTCAATACCTTGAATAATTAACTCAAGTACTAACCCTTAGGAATTGGAGTAACGTGATAAAGAGATGAAGGATCGAATTCTCACCGTAGGATCGAAAATACCGGAACAGCGAGGGAAAAGTGACAGCATCGACGAGGGTGTCTTTATTGCATCATGGTTTTCGGAGCATTCCAGATAATTGCATCTCACAATCAGATATCCTGACGTCTGTCGTATTCTAGACTCAGCCAATCCATCTGCACGGTTACTAATGAGACATTGTGAACTGTAATTCCGGTCACCCAGCCTGAAACGTCAAGTAACCTGAGAGTGTCATCACTATCGACGTAAAACGAGACACCCAGGATCTTCGCAATGACGGTATTAACGATCATGGTTGTTTCTGCATTTCTGTACAACAGTTAATTGAACAGACCAATTCTCCAAGTTATACACATCGAATATCACAATATGATAAAATAACATGGACAGAGTTACAGAGTATTTGTTACGTGAGCGTTGGGGGTTACGTGATAAAATCCATCCTAGTATATTTCGAAGCGAAGGGGTATATTATGTTATGTTAGGTTATATGTCCTGATGGCAAACCAGATTTCAAACAAGGCACGAAAGATCAAAGCAAAGCATTTATCCCCTGGGTAACCGGCCGCTTCGTGCAATCAAACACCCTATTTACTCTACTTTACCGACGCATCGTATACACACTAATTCTCTTATTAATTCTTGATAGTTAATTTCTGAAAAGGGTGTCGGGATGGTTAAGAATGTATTATTGTAAATATTTCAATAAAGGTTAATACTTAGGAATATTCATTGTATTTAGTGTCCTTATGTAAGCGTTCAAACTGACCAAGACCTTGAAAACTCATACAGTATGGCGTATAGTTTAAAGTACGCAGATAAAAGGTGCCACGAGTCCTGAAATCGATATTTATAAATTCATTTAGAAATTATTAGTTCAACGAAAAAATTATACAATGCTATGAAGATATGACGACAGATAACCCAATATCGCTGGCGTCGCCCATGAGAGAGTAGGAGGTCTTGTTGCATTCGTCTCCCAGGAAGTGCTTCCACGAATCGCACTGCAATGCTTTGAAGCCGGAAGGTCTGAGAACGGACTCGAAGTAATATACGGGTGCTCTACTATGGGAGCAGACGACTAGAATTCAAAGTGAGGTTATGTAGTTGAATTTCTCCAAATAAATGGCAACCAGGCTCATCGTAAAGATGCCACGAGGGTTAGGATCGTATATGACTTATGGCCGGTTTCTTTAACGTTTCCGATAACTTTATCCGAAATACGTCTCTTGGCATTGAGGATAGCTGTCTCTTGGATAGAAATTATCCGTAGTCGAAGAAACCGGCCATTAATTATTTATAGTCAGATTAGCTACTTTCTCACGTATAAAGCTTTGAGGATTCCTTACCGTCGTAGCAGCCGGCTTGTTGGAATCCGCCATTAGGGTAAAAGTCGGCGTGTCCAATGCGACTTCTGATGCCGAGGATTCCTGCACACGTGTGAATTATGTCGACGTACGCCGCGTCGCTCTGGTGTAAGCGATTCGTGGAATCCGTAGCAATGAACATCGGTAACGCAGGATCTAGACCTGTGGGAATTCGCCGATAGAGGACGACGTTTATGTGTCAGGTAGCTCGATTTCAAAATATTCCATTGGGAATGTAAGTATATACAGGCGATTTTCATTGGCTGATGCTTTGCGACAGTGATTCCTTAATAATTTTATGTCCATGGCGCAAACTGTCACAGCAAACATCAATCATCGGCAATCACTATACTCTATGGTATATAATAGTAATCAGATTACCGGTAATTCGTTTCACCACACCAAGCTTCACGTTCTTCCCGGCAAAGCCAGCAACGTGAGCGCCCAGACTGAACCCGATAATGTGCATTGAGGTTAGGGATACTCCGGACAGTATCAGTTGATCCAAAAGTCTTCCAATCATGACTCCCACCTTCGAGACGGCTTTGGCTGCGTGCATGTAGCACGTGCTGTTTGTCAAGAGTCCCCAGTCTACGAGGATGACGTTGTATTCGCCTCTTTCCAGATAACCTAAAAACATTACGCATCGTAATTAATTAACGTCTTATACGTCTTTTACAGGGGCGCTGCATATTCTCGAAATGGAGCCAGCTTGTCTCCTCTCATAGCAAGGCCAGTCTCCGTGGGACGTACGAGTCGAATACTCCTACTGGGGGTAGGTATGCAACATAGGCGCTAGGGGTTGTTACGCTCCAACTCGGCGTCAGGAGTATTGATCCTGGAGCAGTGAAGCTCTTGCCACTATCTGAATGGGGTACCCGTCTCACCTCAGGCCCCGGAAATGGGGTGTCTCTTGGTCTCCCTTCCTTTACTCCCTTTTACATCCATCCCTCCCGCCTTCCTCGATATATCCAGACCTCTACAGCCTTTTCCCTTCGCCACTGAACTTCATCCCTTTCCAGGCCAAACCACCCACGCACTTAACGTAAAACACATTAGCATGTTTGTCGAACCCTGAATTTTGCTGATGCAACGAGTTGTTGCTGTAATTCAGTTACGTGACCTGGTGGGTGGGGGGGGGGGGGGATATTTTTTAATTCTTTTATTTCAATTTAATTCCTACCGTTTTTTATATCTATCATCTTTGTATTTGACAGAGTCTCTGAGTAACCATGGATGAGGATCTTTGTTTCTGCTTTGGGTACGAAGTATCGGGAATGGATTATGGCGTTTTTATTTAACGGCAGAAACGAATCTCTTCGACGTCTTATCATTTTTGTACGGAGAGCTTCCACTTCCTTTTCGATATTTAATATCAGTAATTCTGGATGGTTGCGATTTTTTCTTGTATACAGTCTAAAGAACACGTTGTGCTCGTTAGGGATTATATCCTCGTGCTTTTCGGTTATGCAGTGCCACATTTTTGAGACGTCATTCATAATTTTTAATACCGATGAATTGTTGTCTACCGTTGAACATTCTGTTGGGGTAGGTATATTTTATAATTTGGAAATTAGCTATCGTAGCTGTGAAAGCATATTTAAGTACGTTTGAGTCAGTAATTACAGTTATGGTTATATTATGAATAAGGAATGTACCTGGAGAGTTTTGTAATAACGTTGTTATTAGAGTTAAGTAAATGATTTGGAGAAAATCCATTTCTCTTTTTGGTAATGTCAAAGTTTTATTAATTAATACGATATTCATGAAATTTATTTTTTATAACATCACTGAGAGCATCGATACTCTACGACTTTAAGAATATCTCATAGACTGCTACATCTTTGACCTAAAAATCAAGAATAATTTTTCTAGTCGATTGATCGATTTTTCTTTTCAAAAAATCGATTGCCATCGGTCTATGAATTATCAACTGTGCAAAAAGTTCGTGAAAGCGAGTCTAAAATCGACACATTTCAATTAATACGAAATTCTCTGAGATACTACATATACCGATATTTAAATTAAAACATGACGGAAGATCAGAAATGGATGGAAATAAAAAATACAAAGAATGTCCAGGTAACAAAAAATGATGTACGATTTGCTCCATACCTAACCTTCTTTACCAGTTTGTTAAATTCGCCTTAACGAGAACACAGTGTATTAGGAATATTGGAAAGTTTAATAAGATATTTTTTTTTATCTCGTCAGTATTAACCCTCTATCTATTGACAATGAATAACAAAAGCGATGTATCATCCTGTGAAATCTACCACTTCCACGCCGTCGACTTCGATCGACGTGCCGTCGATTTAGCTAATTCTCACCCCTGTTTCATTTCCTCACATAGGGTAATTGCCAGGGCAATTTTCCCTCGATCGTTCGATGTCCCAAAACGTGACTTCTGATCTAATATTTTTAACCCTACAGAATCGCAGTTTCAAACGCATATCTGAGAGATTCGACTTTGATAAATGCAGTCCTTACATTGACAAGATCAAAACCCTGTTCGTGCCCAGCCTAGAGAATAGGATTTACACTGGCCTCGAGGATTTCGTCTATAGAGACAATGCGAGTCGAGAATCTGAATTGTCGTATTTGAAAAAGTGTATAAATTTAGCGACCAGTTGGAGCGATCCACTGGATGCACTTTGCGAAAAATACAAGGATGTTGATGTCCTGGAAGAGGCTACGAAACATTTCCTCAATTATGGAATCAAGGATGGCCTCATCACTTCCTTCGTCAACTCAATAGTTCTGAACAACAGGCTGAACAGGGTTTGTCGTGAATTAGATTCTCTTCACATAGAGAAGAATTTACTGAGCTATGCAAACGTATGGAATTTTATTACCGAGAAAAATTACTGGGTCGATACCGATTGCGCAACGTGAGTTATCATTGAAAATTATTTTGAAACCTTTCATTTTCCCTGTAATTGTCGTTAAAGGGCATTTACAAATATTTACTTTTTATAGATCTGCCAGTTCACCCATTACGGATGTTCCTGTTAAGGATCTTGGTAGTGACCTGGATGTGGAGACTGGGTCTGGTATGGCTGATACCAGACAAGAAGAACGGAGAGCTCCTAAGAGATCAGCCACTTATGAGCATTCAAGTAATTTGAAGCTGGAACACGAGGATGAGGATTCACTTAATTACTTCGAGGTTAATGAAGATCTGTTAACGTCTCTAAAGGACGGATCTAATATGTTCAGTGGACTTTCTCGTGACAAGACTTACAGAGGAAGAAGCAGTGTCTGTACAAAATCCTCATGCCTGACGTATAGAACAAAACATCCAAAGGCTGACTGGAAAAATGAGAGCTTGAAGTTGCACATAATGAAAATGTATTCTAAGAATGGGAAAGGAATGAGATTTCGAAAATCAAAGAAATCTTCTCGCCTGGCTTTACCCTGTAAATACGAAGATCTCCTTTGTCAAATTATCAAGGAAGACTTGTCGTTGTCTGTCTTTGATTTTTCTGTGGCTAGAAAAAAATTTGAAAATGGTATTTATAACGTCACCTCTTGTCTCAATAACGTGATTAGCAGACTGGATGGTAGCAATATCAAAGAGTTTTGCTTGTTTTGTGAAATTAGGCAGGATTATATCAAATTCAAGTTGAAACCACGAGGTCCTAAGAAGACCAATGTCTGTTTGTTTGTCGCTCGAGTGGCTACTTATAAAGAATTATCTAAAAGGACTCGCACCAGGGATAACAAGAAGATCATACCCGTTCAGGATACGGAGACTGAAGCTACCGAGATAAGAGAAGATATTACTAGGACTGAAGAAAAAACTGATAACTTGTTGAAATACGATCTTTCGGAAGCTGAGCTCGTGGAATGTGACTCGCACTGTAGATGTCCTTCAATGGATCTCCTATTGTCTGAGCCTTTGCGAAAGGATGAAAGGGAGGATGCGCTCGGGTGTACGGTCAAGGATGTTTCGTACTTGAAATCCTTGGACGGAAATGCGACTAAGAATCGTTTAAAATCAAAATCCGTTCAGACATTGGTCCCAGAAATGTCCTCTAAGGGCATCAACATTGATCTGGTACCAAAGGGATCTGCAATCTCTTTGGAGTCAAACGTCACTAGGATCATATCATTTACAGACCCTTCTCCACTCAAGATCATTAAAGATTCCAGGGATTCTTTAGGAGTATGCCACCAGGATAGTAAATGTAGGCAGGTAAAGAGTCTCGAGTCCTTGGACAAGTCGACAATACATGAAGGATCATTCGATAGTTCAAGACAGACATTAAAATCTCATGAATTTAATGTTTGCAATAAAAATGCGACACAAGCAAATTCTGAGTCTAAGAAGTCTCAGGTTAGTATGCGAGTAGAAATTTGTCAATCAAAAATTTCATTTATCAATAAGGATGTTTCAAAATCACATCTAAGTAAAATTAATCATACTAAAAGTAATGTCTATAAGTCTCATGATATAAAAAGTATAAATGAAAGAGCATCTAACAGTAAGCCACAATTAAAAAGTAACAGTACTACGTTTGAAAAATTCATAAAAACTTCAAACTTCCGCGACGCTTTCTCAACAAGATCAATCGACAAGATAAAATATCTGATCAGAACGAAACTTTGTCGAAGATTATTAGAACGCGACAAGTCTACAAACACCTCAAAGACTTTACTATCGAATGATAAAAATTACAAAAGTACTTCCAACGGAAGGACCGGTCGATCATCTTCTACGAAGGATCATTCCAAATCTCAAAAATCCTTATCAACGTCTCGCGATAAAAGTCGCCACAATGTTTACTTCAACCAACTGCCAGGTCATTCGCCACGATTGTCAGCTGGCAGTGATCATCTGACACCTGCCAATAAAAAAAGTCAAGTAAAGAACCAATCGATAAAAAAATCCAAACGGATCAAAAATACGAGAATTTTTGAAAATGATACCGAGAAGAATTATTTCAGACAGATAAGATACGATCGTCAAAATTACTCAAGTCGTTGCAGCTGTTATTATGGTCGAGGATGCAATTATGACAGAAACAATTTTTACAGTTTTACTTGCAATTCCGAGTCTAGCAAAAAATTCCCTAGCATGTATACGTCATCGAGACAAGTTCTTTTGCCACAGGATTCGAATGATCCCTGGTATACTAGGGACGGATGTCAACTCTTCAAAGGTGACTACCACTATGGCTACGGGGTGCCATATTATCCACTGAATTTCTATTGTGAAGGTTATAATAAAGAAAACGCGACTAGTGGATTTACAATTGAAAGGAATGAAACTAAAACGGATACCGATTCCTGTCAAGGAACAGAATATCGTCCGTACCTTCAAAGCTATGGAGAAATACCCGATTCTGATTATTGCCATCGACTGGAACCTTTCGACGGATGTTATAAGAAATCGAAAAACGTTTGGAAATACGAGAGTTCAAGCAGCAAACAGGTGTTGGATAATTTGGAAACAAATTTTAAAATACGACTGTCACAATACTTAAGGCTGTGCAGGAACGTCAAGTATTCATTATTAAAACGTTATAAACCTGACGATATTTATGAAGTCAGTAGAACGTCAATTCCTTGCATGGACAAACAATAAAGCAGTCTTAAAATCCTGTTTTAATAATAAAAAAATATATTCCTCTCAATGTTAAGAAATTTCTCAACACTAACACCCAAATTCTATATATTCACCACAATTCCCAAATAATATTTCCCATTGAATGGATCGTTATGATTTATCAAGAACTGATAAAAACTGTTAATAATTGTAAGTACAAAATATTTAGTTAAATAAATGGAGCTCGAACGCTCGGTCAATTAGGGTCACTTGAGTTCCACGTGACTTGAACTGAACATTCCCACTCTCTGGGTGCATTCGGGTTTGACAGGCATCGTGACAGACTCAATGTCCAATGGGTTGAGACTTCATCTGGGTCCACTATTCAATATGAATTTGAGAAGTCCTCTCTTATGATTATAAAATATTCATGGGGGTCTTTTTATATATAAGGGTGTCTCTCGGTATACAATAGACAACGAACCCTCTATCACTTGCAGTGCCCATTACGAAGTATCACCCCTCCGGTCGTATCGTCGTTACACGACGTCGTGGGCAATATAACACTCTCTTAAGTATAAAGACTTAATTTCCAAATAGACTTAATTAAAACAATTTGTCGAACGAATCACGAATGACTTCGTGTCTTAGTATCCCATATTTCGTATACACATACGTCCTAAGGTGCTACCCGTAGGACGGATTGCCAAAGCAGTTATTCCTTAAACGAAGGACTCGCTGGATCTCGAGGGTGTCTCTTTTAGTTGTCTTCGTAAAGGTTTCGAATTGAATTGTGATAAGGGATGGCTAGGGTTGTTTTCGAAGGGACTCATCTGTTCGTGAGGCGCGAAGGAATTTTATTTACGATGCTACCAACGTGACGGAACTCCAGGGAAGGGCTTGCTTTTTTTAAATAACTATTTTCCGCTTTCTTCTTCGCACACTCGAGACGCACTTATTGCACTAGAAGGGTGGTAACTGGGATAGGGAAATATGAGATATTTGGGGCAAAGCAGGACCGAAGTGGAGATAAGGTATTATACCAACCATTGAGCACAGCAGCATCCGAGGCAGATCGATATTTCCTGGCAACCGCTGAGGGTGCCTACCCCCTGCTGACTCTGTGTTTGTAACAATGCGAGTTGGCTTCTGAAATCTAACGATGGACTCGAACAATCCTTACTCATCGGACACTGATAAGGGATGCTTCATAATAATAGTTCTTATTCGGGATGCATAACACATTAAGGTTAGCTCACACGTCAACGGATCACCAGGGATTCTCAAGGGGCTATTTAAGATTTATAACGTAATACTTGGGAAGGGTAGATTTGGGGTAGGATTTTCACAAGCTCAAATCTTTATAACGTACCCGTATAATGTCAATATAGGAAGAGCCTATTATTATTATAAATTATAAAATTTGATAAATCACTTTTTCTTTTTCCTTACAACTTTTTTTTTAACATCAGAGGATGAGTGTATATCGATATAAATCTTGGAAGGTTTTAACCGAAATTTATAACTATATTTTGAAAAATCAAATAATGTTGTATAACAATGATTTTTTAAATACCCGCAACCCTCCTCTGCCATGGTGTATAATAATTATTATACGGGTACTTTATAGGAGGGGTGAGTTCGATAAGAATTTTCGAGTTTGTGTTCTTCATCCCCAAAAGGGGCGTAGTAATTGAAGCATCTATACTGTGTTAAGAAAAGAAACAGCCTTACAGCCCCTTATGGCTTCCCTTATAATGGTGAATCTCGGCCTTTTTCTATCTACTCGATACCACTCCAGCATCCCGATGCTACGAAACAATCGTTTACATTGAAAAGCTCAATTCTTATTCAACCTTGGAGGGCATAATCGATGAAATCAATCTGAGCGATGTTTTGAAACGTGACCTTCTTCTATGCTGTACGATGCTCTCTCCATCATAATATAAGGCAGTGTCAAGTTTTGACAGCTGTCAAACTTCAAAATGACAAGCAATTGACAGTGACAAGATATTATTTGGAATCTTTAAAATATACGAAAATAATAAGCAAATTACGTCCCAATAAATATATACGAAATATTATGTACGTTTCTTTAGTAAAAATATTCAAAGCCCCCAATTCTTCAATCTGAGTCTAACATGGGGATATACTTTTTTTTTTGTATTTATTCATGTTACTGTTATTGCAATTGTCACTTTATGGCAAATACGTATCGGTTCCTGAAGCTCCACCCATTTTACCCTCGACCGAGCTTAACTCTTTGAGGATTGGACAGTGATATCGATGCGTCGAGCTATTCCGCCAATCACAGCGAGGCTAAGACTTGCGCTGGCGCCCAACTCCGAATGCGAATTTACGAACCCAACAACGTCCCGACGTCCCGACGTCGACGACGTTCTTCGTCGCGTACCCCGCGCTTTCGAACCCGCACCGCTCGTATCCCTATCTGGACTTAATTATTGGTGAGTGAATAATTTTTTTTTGTATTATTGCAATTCTTAAAAAACGCATTCGAAGTAATGGACAGTGGGTCATTTGTTTTTATATTATTTTGTAAAACAGTGATATGATAAAATACTGGAATTAAAGTATACTTAAATTTGACGTTACTGATCTCTGCGGTTAAAAATTCTCCAACTTTTTCAGAGGCTTTTATCCATGTGGAAGTTTTGTGCGGTTTATCTTCGTTATCGATTGTGTGCACTCGGCTGTGTATCCAATGCGACCTGCTTTTTTTGGATTTTGGGTCGGACCTTGATCGATCCAACTGTTTGTGCGGTTCTTTATGTGGATGAATTTGTTAGCTGGGTCGAGCTTTCACGCAATATTAATACGCCGATTGTTCAATTCTGCTTTTCCCAAATTTGGAATATAATAATAATGTTCTTGGTTTGTCGAATATTTTTTTGTTCTTGGAACATCGTAAGTTTCTGTATCAAATTATCCCAAGTACATGAAATTAGTACGAAAATTAATTAAAATATATAACAAGTCTTCAAGGTCGACATTTGTTCTATCTATATATTGTGTTAAAAAAAATGAATTAATTCGTTTCTCTTTAATTTTCTTTTTAAGCAATATAGTCGAAGAACCGTTGTTACAATCATTTTACGTAGCAAGTAATATAATTGTATTTGCAAAATGCGGTTGTATCTAATAATTCGTTTATTTATACATCACAGAAGAAAAAGACTTTTTATACGAAAAATTGTATAAAAACAGGAATATTGAGTTATCGTTAAACGAGGGGAAAAAAGATAAAAAGATCAACGGCCATTAACGGTCTAATATCTTAATGCACTAAATTTCCACCCCAACGGCTCAACGGTGTCCATTAACTTGATTCAGCAATCCCCTGCAACTCCCCAGATCCACCCTTTGTTAACACGTGCTGTACATTTTCTGCCTTTTCTTCGACACGTGCTATTTTAATATTCCCTGAAAAAAAATTAAACCGCATGTCTAGCACTTTATAGTCAAACCCCAAGAAAATGATATTAATTTATTTGTAACTAAAATTGTATAAAAATGTATAAAAAATGAAAGTTCTCCGATACATTACACATTTACGTTAATGTTCGAAAAAAAAATTTATTGACCTAATTTCCGTTTTTGGGTACTAACATTTTTCAGTCCGATAATTCACATCTTGCACGTAAAACTCCTATCGAATAATCGATTACCCTCGCATTGAATTCATTCCCATGCACGTTTCTTTATCTGTATGCAGGAAAAGTGCATAAAAAGAGAGAAAACGATATCCGTGAAAAGGGACGCAAAGAAAAAGTGATCCAATACTTTGGAAGTTGAAGTCGGAAGTCGACAGGATATGAATCTCCCTTTTCAACCCCTAAAGATTTTCCCTCGAGAGTTCACGGATTAAGGGTAGAGAGGCCGCCACTCCAAATAAACACTGCTACCCTGCCCTCGCCCTAGTATACTACCGTCACAGTAGGTTTTAGGGGGATGTATGGGATTCGAACTGGTTTTCTCCCGGTGCGTCGGGGATATCGGAAAAATAGTCTTGGCAGTTTTCTTCTCGGCAGTTACTACCCTTATTTCGTCCGTAAAACAAGGTGGAGGATTACTTGTGGTCCTTGGTAGGGTAGCGATCGGTTTCTTGAAAATGTGGAAAAAAAAAAACGTGGGTCCATAACGATCCGGGATGCTGTGTACCTGTGACGTTACAAGTATTAGCAATGCAGAGGGTGAAATTTTTTAGGGGCTGCAGGTTAACAGCAACCATAGAAGCCCTGAAGCAACCCCAATAATTGGAAAATGTCCAGATTCGCGACGGCGGGTCTCGTGGCTTTTGATTCGATCAAGTCTAAAGCCTCGCAGAAACTCGCGGGGTAAGTTATATGCTTAGTTATATATGTATAAATTTCTTTATACAATATGATTAATTAATACTTTTTCGAGAAGGGTCGTGGCTTTCGTTATAACGAAGGTACCGTGAAACGTTATGTATGAAATTACATAAGAATCTTTTGGAATTTATCATTATAGACTGAAACGAAGCAATACGGGGTACGAAGAATTTGAATTGCCTCCTAATGAAGGAATTAGAGATAACAAAGGATTCGAAGATGAGAGAGGGTACAGTGCGCAGAGTTCATTCGAATCTCTTCCGGAACCGGAAAGACCTCCGTTACGTCATATCGACACTTACTGCATGCCTGAGTGTCCATGTCTGTCAAAAAGATATACCATTGCAGTGCTAGCTTGCTTAGGTCAGTCGAAAATTTAGGACGATGCCTAAAAACAATTTGAAAACAATATGTTTTTACGAGAATTACGAAAATTAGGAAAAAAAACATTTTTATAGGGTTCGTCATTTCATTTGGAATGAGGTGCAACATGGGTATGGCATGGCTGTCAATGCAAAATTCTACAGGAAATGGAAGCGTTAAATTAAATTGGACAATAGAAGCGGAAAGTACCCTAAGCTCGTCATTCTTTTGGGGCTACTTCGTTACCCAGGTACCAGGTGGCTTCCTGGCGTCCTTATATCCTGCGAACAAGATATTCGGTGCAGCCATAGCAGCTTCATGCTTCTTAAATCTCCTAGTACCTGGAGCCATGATAACCAGTCCAGCACTAGCCGTATGCGTGCAAGTCTGCAAAGGTCTAGCCGAGGTAAGCTAACGATTATTTGATAATGATTACGTGCTATGAAAATTATATTTTCTTTGTCTAATCAGGGCGTAACGTATCCGGCGTGTCACGGTATATGGAAATATTGGGCACCACCTCTGGAAAGATCACGGTTGGCAACACTTGCATTTTGTGGATCGTATGCAGCTGTCGTTATAGGAATGCCTCTTTCTGGTTGTCTCAGTACTTGGTTCGGCTGGACAGCGTCATTTTATTTCTACGGTAAGCCCAATAGCTACTTCAATGACTTCGTGTTGCCGGAACTAATTTTTTCATCCAATCGATTCAGGGGTCTGCGGTCTCATCTGGTATGGATTTTGGCTATGGTTGGCATTTGAAAAACCATCGAAGCATCCGTGTATCTCTGCACGAGAATTGAGATACATAGAAGATTCTCTTGGAACGAGTCAGGCCCAGATGCCTATGCCCACTTTTTACACTACACCCTGGCGCAAGTTCTTCACGTCCATGCCAGTCTACGCAATTATTGTCGCTAACTTTTGTCGTTCATGGAATTTCTATTTGTTGGTACTCTATCAACCAAAATTCATGTACCAGTCATTTAATATGCCACTCGTCGAGGTACGAAAATGGTTTTAAATAATTTTTCAAAAGTTCATTCAAGTTAAAATTCCTAACAAGATCATCGTTACAGACAGGGGTCATTGGATCGTTACCACACTTGCTAATGACCACTATCGTACCATGCGGTGGAATGCTAGCCGATTACCTGAGGAAACGTGGTATCTTGTCAACCACCAACGTTAGAAAGCTTTTCAATTGTGGCGGATTCGGAATGGAGGCAATATTCTTCCTGGTTGTAGCCCATGCTACTGTGAATAAGAACGGAACTGCTGCTACAGTTGCACTAGCCATCGGCGTCGCGTGCAGTGGTTTTGCCATTTCCGGTTTCAATGTTAACCACTTGGACATCGCACCAAGATACGCTAGTATCCTGATGGGCATGTCCAATGGAGTTGGCACCATTGCTGGAGTTCTTGTACCTTTCTTCGTGGACAACATTACCAAGAACGAGGTACTGTTCGAACATTTTTATCTAACGGTTCATCCTTCCACGTGCAAGAAGTTCAATGCTCTTATGATATCCGTTCTAACTTAAACAGGACGTATACAGCTGGAGAAATGTTTTCATCATGGCGGCTTGTGTGCATTTCTTCGGTGTCACCTTCTACGCAATATTTTGTTCCGGAGAACTGCAACCGTGGGCTGATCCCAGCTTGGAAGAACAAAAACGTTGGAACCCTCTTACCCACCTGGGCCAAAGCAAACCTCCCATACCACCACCGCCAATGACTGCTCAGTCCGAATTTATTGTAAGCCTCGTCTTATTTTTTTTTTCCTTTTTCTTTTTAAATCTTTTTCAAACCCATTTGTTCTTACAGAAGCAACCGTCTCTTGGAGAAAGTACCAATGACCAGAATGAGTACTCACAATCAGCAAATAACTATCTACAATCTCAGCAAGATAAAGGCCAGGTCATTAATTATGGATCCACGGAGAACAATTCAAATAATGCATTCCATTCGACGAATCCATTTGCGAGCGACATCAATGCTTCTTTAGTTCAGCCGCCAGCGATGGACGACTATGCGCATGACGTCATGCAGAATCAGCAATGGGATTAAGTTAGATCATCAGATCGTTAGATCCGATTTAACGAGGTAAGTGGTACGTGCTCCATTATCGTACAAGATCAAAACGGACCAATCAACAATATATTTGGATCCTCCAATGCGTTACTTTATGGAAATATTTTCGCGAACCTCCTTCGAATATACAATTTTGTATCAGTTTTCAATTCGTTTTCTATATAGTGTATATATATTTACTGATACTTTACGGTAGACTACCGAGAGAGTGAGCGACAGGTAAAGGTAACTGATGACAAAGAAATCTTAATAATTTTGATTCCGTTATCTTGCACGATTCTGGAAATTGTTTCTCTCTGTACGACAATAATACCTAAGAGAGCAGGAAATAGTGCCGGATCTCTCTGTAAGGAAGAATGAGACCAGTAGTGTAATGAACGCGATACGCACTCTAATTGTTATGTGGGAACTGACAACAATTGGTTCCCTAGTCATTGGTTACAACTAATTGGTTATATTTTTATACATGGAATTAACGTAATTAGTCTGCGCGGGGAATAATTAAGGTTAACAGGATGCAAAGCTATCGACTATAAGCAGAACGCAATTGCGTCAAAGAGAATTTCTCTGAAACGGCATAACTTTCTCCGTGCAGTGTTAATTATGCATTTCTCTGCTTTTTGCACTTTCACATTCCAGAAAAGTCGAAGCCGGGAGTGTCATTCCCATTTTGAACCAGGTAACTGAAGTCGTGCGGTAACACAAATGACAATAACGACGTATCTCGTACGATGATTAAATTACGTAAACGATCGATCGGCAATCTTTTGAAAAAACGGTACGAAAATTATTTTTCTTTCGAAAAAAAAGGAAAAAAGTTACGATAATAAAGAAAGAAAAGTAATACCTATATATATTCATCCGGAAAGTAATAACGGGTCGTTATTGACAATAAATTTCCAAAACGCCCGGGACAATAATAATAATTATTATTAAGAACATCCAGATTATGCTGGATGGTTGCGCGTGATTTGCGCTACTCGCTGTCCACTCGGCGTTATTGGCTGAGACTTTTAGGTATCTTTTTGTCATAAAGAAGGAATCGACAAATCGGATCGCGACGTTAGAAGGAACATAGCAATAAAGAATATGTTAAAGAAGAGAAAAAGAGAAGCAAAGAGAAACAATACAATTGGTCATTAGATGAGGGAAATAAAAAAAGATAAAAAGAGGCGTCAAAATGACGTGAGGAATATTCGAAAAATACAAGTGGGTAAAAAAAAAGGAAAATTGATACTAGATATTGCACTAACGAGATTATCAGGTCAGCAATCCAATTCGAATATTGATAAGGGAAAAATGGAAATCAATGAAAATATGAGAATATCAAAATTATTAGTGACCTCAATGTGATACGTGATAACGTGCGAGCGCATCTATACTTGGGTACGGGATAATTTAAAATGCACCAAAAGGTCCAGTAGGTAAGGAGGCTGCTTGGACGCGAAAGTGATACAAAGAAAAAAAAAAACGTAATGAAAGTATTAGTATTGTAAATGTAAAGCCTATTCGATGAAAGTAAAAGCAGATTTATCCAGATGAAGTAAGAACTTTAGAAGACGATATACATACATACATATAATAATAAATAATCTCTAAACAACATTGCATGCCTCGTCGCATCGGCTGACAATATTGAAAGAGTCCAAGAAACGTCAGTAAAAAAAAAAAGAAACAATTGCTTCCAGGCAACTAAGGCGCCAACGACTGGCATGGATTTTTTCCGATAAACTAACATCGCGCAATAGCGATTTAGTACGAGAATTTTGAAATTCGTGACGGAAATATTTATTGTGTAATTTATCGTGCAGCTACTATTTACGTTGATGCTCGTGAGTCACGAAAATTTAGTCAATTTACGCGAGACCTTTTAAACGGACGAAGGACGGTAGAGGAGAATTACGGATGATAGGGAGAGAGTGAGAAGGAGGGGGGGGGGGAATTAACAAACGATTATTATTATCATTATTATAAAATCTATATAATGAGATTCTTAATATACACATGGAATTATAAATGAATTAATATATATATATGTGTACATATATATATCTATTATATTATTACTGATACACGCGATCGTCAATGTCAAACTCACGTATTAAGTCTATCGTGCTGTATACTACGTACGCGCATAGCCAGTATTAAAATAATAATTAACGCGTGACAAAATATTGTGATTAGAAGAATTGGAGCATTGTTGCTTGTCAGAAATTTATATGCCTCTATGAATTTTTCTATTTTTTTTTTTTTTTTTTTTAAAATTTGATATGGATCGTGAAAAAATTTCAAATTTCTTCTAACTGACGAAAAGTAATCGCGGAAATTCTCGTATTTAATATATAATAATTAAGGCCGACAATAATGTTTTGCCGACACTGTGTACTAGCTATAACTATTACATGTGTTGAATTTGGTAATTGCAATATTTTATTGACGTACGTACCTATTATCGTGAGCAATGATCCAGATTGTTGCAAAGTCGTATATTTTCATGAAGAACAAAAAAGAATCCAAGTCACTTTTCTTTAATCGTGATACAGTCAATTTTTTATCGGGGGGGTATATTCTTTATGTGTCGCATATTAATATTTAATGCTGTTATTGTAATTATTATCTATATAATTTTATTTTAATGCCAGCAATATATATATATATATATATTAGGTTACTGTTTATCGCTAGTTTTATTTTGTTGTCTATTTATAATACGTTAACGTTACGTTGTTACGAAGTTGCAGGCAATATTCGACAGGTAATTCAAGGCGAGTCGTGATTACGTATTGTCATAAGAAACGTATAACCCAATCGCCGTAACTCCTTATGGAGTGATATACTATCGTATGTGTTTATATGACGTATAGATCCAAATTCATTGACAGATGTAATTTTTTAACTGTTTATAGGGTTTTCTTGACTTTTTGATTTTTTTTTTTTTTTTTTTCATTATTCGACGTAATCGTGACTCGTCTTCATACGTACAGGATAAATATTACGCAAAGGGTATATATTTATTATTATATTGGAGTAGTGACTGGCCTAATGTTATTATTCACGGACAAACCAAAATGGATCGAACTCGAAATGTTCTATTGATCATATACTCATTATACAGATATGTAGGCTAAGTTCTAATGCTGTTCGAACAATAATATTGATGTATTTGTAATAACTACAATAATAATTTACGACAATAAAAAAATGTCTGCGGGGTGTGGCGGAAGACGAGGAACGCGGTCTGCAACATTTTTTTTGGAAAATAGCGTAAACGAGATATATGCTCAACAGTAATTACACGCAATACCGTTCCTTGCGTTTAATAAGACACCCCGTATAACATTGTAATTATTATTAGCTTTATAGTAGGAGAATTTTATGCGCGCGCAGATTAGAAGTTTAAGCTATTTAGAGAGTAACGAGTCGAGGGCAAGTATTGAACTTTTTTTTTGTCATTTTTAGAGCTATGTTTTTTATATTTAATTATGTACATACTTGTATGTATACTATGATGATACTTACATGTTTTTTGATGCACGGGCAAGTTTCGAAGGAAACGCATGGTTGTGGAATTTTTAAAGTATTTATGTATGTTACTTGTATACTAGGGTACTTTAGATATTTTTTGTTCATATTTAGGAAAATATAAATAGACGAAGGTGCTTTCTGTAGGTAGAAAGTGCGATGCTTTTCGAATTTTTTTTTTGAATTTGAAATTTCAACGACTACTTGTATTGTGATCTATGAAAAGTATTATCGTCTTTTGAAAAAGATCTATGAAGATTGGATTGGTGGGACGTACTCAAAAATAATTGCGGGAAATGCGGGAATCTCAAAAAAAAATTGACTTGCGATACTTGAACGCAAATTAAGAAATTTAAATCGAATTAAGTGTTGATGTTATGCCATATATAGTAAGCAGAATTTGTCATCCATCGAACAATAGTTTATTGTTAGATTTGAAAATTAAGTGCATAATTATCAAAGTGTTTAGTATAATTTATGTGAAATAATTTTTTTAGTATTCGGGTAGAATAACGATTTTCAAAAGAAATTCTTGCTGGGACAATATTTTTAAATGTGGAACGATAGGCAGGAATCACAAAAATTATGATTTAAATCCTTTCGTCAAATTTAATTTTCACTATACACGCAACTGTCTCATTAATATCCAGTTTTCAATGTTATTTTTCAACTCTCTTTGCCCCGAGATGAATTTCCGGAGACAATGAATTTTTGTTTCAAATTTTCTGGTAAAAGTATCCTTTCGCCATCTAACAATAATGAAAATTCGCAACGGAAGAAAGTATTTACTATATTAAACGAACCATTTTCGAAAATATATATCTTATATACATATATCAATCGGTATGTATATATTATATATTATACATATAAATATATATAAAAACACATTCGTAGATGTAATTACCTGTACATTTTCGAACGTATATATAAAAGAAACGAATAATCGTTGATTCAAGGAAGAATCCGAGCAAATATATATTTACGAAAGTGTATCAATTAATATATCGACAATAATAAAGAAAGTAATTAAACGAATGAAAGTAATATGTTGTAAGGACAATAAACTAGCGAAATCGAAAAGTATATTATATATATAATATACATATAAATACGCTATATATACATACGTTCATTAATGTATTAATGTATATATATATACGAGATCGAAAAGCGAAACGATTTTTATAATTTTCAAAGCGTCGATGGTTTTCCTCATTTTTCAAAATAAATTCAAACACGATTTTCAACTTTCACTATTTATTCTATACGAATTACAGACAATTATTTTTCCAAAGATTCTCAAAGTCTTCCGTCGGATCTAATGTACATTTTTAATTTTTTGAAATTCAAATATTCCAAAAATTCCCACAGACCTTTGAAAATGGTAAAAATCGTTTGGTCAGACGATAATGTCTGCCTTATTCGCAGTCAAAAAAAAATGGCCCCATATTTTAAATTATATGAATGTTATTGCAATAAGCTTTCAATGGCTTGTCATTAGGTATCATCATTGAATATGTCGAACTTAAGATCTTCGATAACCTATGAATGAACTTGCGTTGTGATTTTAGATATTTCGCATTTTACGATCCAACTGTGCGCCGACGCGAGACGGTATTTTGAGTTACGATAGTTTATGAAAAAGAAAGTATCAGCGAGTCAAAAAAATCAACGATATCAAAACACTACGCATTCTCTCGATGTTCAGTGTGATATCTTTTGCAAATATATATACATATATGTATATATATGCATTATAATATTCTTGAAACAAATATAAACTGTATGGTACAATACGTATATACATATATGTATATTTACCCTCTCGTTCGGTGCAACACTGTATGGTGAATAAAAGTTACGTCGATACGTATTTTCATGTGAAAACTATGAATAATTTGAATCTTTGAAAAGCTGGGTGTGTAGCAATTTAGCTAATGACAAACTTAGCAAAACTGAGAATTATTAGAAAAAGAATGAGTTCACTGTTATAACGGTATATTGAATTAACGCACACGTGAGAGTGGGATTTTCCTGAATAATAAAAAGAAAATAATAATAAAAACGCGAGAATCTCCAAAGATATATAAAACGAGTAGCGTCGATGCGTGAAATTTAATTATTAAAATTTTCGAAACGTCAATTTATTCGTCATTATTCGCATGTCGCTCTGCCATTACTTTCATTGAGATTAGCGATCATCGTATAGAATCATCGATTCTGGACTATCCATCAGTGACACGCCTGTTCTGTATCCCATAGTTGCAAATTAGGATGAAAATTATTGTTACACGCCGGTGTCGTCTGGTTTGTTAAAAAAAAATTAATTACATAAATAATTATGTAAAATATGTATGTATATTGTAACGTGAGTGTATTATGTAATGATACAAGAAATACTGATGACTATTGACAATAAAGTGTAAGCCAATCTTTTCAAAACTCTCTCAACATTCATGTTATCCGTCATTGCCACCCTCGTTATCCGATCATAATAAAAAAAAAAATCAATGAATCGCATAATATTAGTCTCGCATGATAAAAAATATATGTATACTAATTCCTCTGCACACCTTGTACAGTTTTATAATTTTTTTTTTATCGATCAGCCTTGACACTATACACAGTTACTTTCACACGCGTCATTATACGTCCAGTCTCACACGAGGTTCGTATATCGTAACTATATAAAATTATAGTAATGTTAGTATAGCAATTATTAATTTCGAGTACAAAGAACCGTCATAATAAATAAACAAGAATTATTTAAGTCTTACAGTGCGGTGAACTTTTCTATTACGCGATAGTTTCATTTTCCGGAATACCGCCTACTATTTCCTATATCGTTTCGCAATTCGGCAATCATAATTTGCAGCTGGAACGATACTGCACATGCAAGGAACAAATCGCAACGATAAACATACCCATTCGGTAGTCCGTCACGCAGTCACGTGCGTGCCTCATATAAACGTACGTTAACCACTTTCTAAATTCTCTGTAGATCCCGATGAGTCTGCATTCTGCAACTGGACAAGAAGTGGGAATCACTTTTACTGATTTTTCATCGTTGGATCCGATATTATATCATCATACAGTCCGCCAGTGCGAGAGATGGCGGTCACTGTCGTGGGACAACCACTTTCCTGCCATCGACATCGTCTTGCAGTACAGTAAGTAAAATCGGTTGAAGATAGTCAGACATCTTGGTGCGAGTCGGTTGAGTCGTGAGAGTGAAATTGAATCTTACGATGTGAAAAAAAAATACGATTAAATCTCTAAATTAATTTAATAAAACAGTTGAAAGAAGGGTCCAATCAGAAGAATAGTGAAATAAAATATTTTTTATTAATTTCACAAATAATTGCCGCTACAAATATTCCATGGGATTTATTCAAAATATGCGATATATAATAATCATAATTTTATTAAATTTAATATGTATTAACAATGATATCACGATTCGACTCCTATAAGCAAACCTTATGAAAATATATGATTGTACCGGGTATAGTACTCAAATGATCCCGTAACCACGTGTGAAATGTTTCAAAAGTTGTTTGCGGTATCGCGGTGTATCCGATGTGCGTTTCAACGTGGATTGCAGTATGGAGTGATAGTTCATTATTAGGGTATGTGGTTATGCAACAGAAGCGATCGTTATATAGATGTGATTGTTTATAGTGAAAAAAAAAGAAATTAATTCATCGTCTATGACAACCTTCACCTACTTTTATCTCAATAATTTTCTTTCAGTCCAATGAAACTATCCGAGCAGCACTTTGCATATTTCTAATCAGCGTATATCGCACATACTGGACTCTCTTTGTGTACCTGCTGCAAATCTTAGTCGCTCGAGAAACATACGTAGAGACGCGGACGTCAAGAAACGCAGGTGATGGAGAGAAAAAGTTACCCGATAATCGTCATTTTGATAACTTTATCGCTCGCCTGGCACGTAAACGGACAGAATAAAACATTGAAGGATCTTTTTAACAGTACATCCTGTGCTAAACCACCGTTCGTTTGTCCTCATCCGCAGATAGAATTTTATCTGTACACCAGGTATGTATTTTCATCCCTTTGATACTGATAATTTTTAATATCAAAGTTCACGGGTGCAATAAATTTTTAGTATCGTCATCGTTTGATCTTCTACTAAAAGTAAAGTATTATTATCACTACTAGTTTCTATGAAGGTTTAAATAATATTTTTTAAATCCCCGTCACTCTTGGCCCTGTGTAACACAGACTTCAGTTCGAAACTTTTATTTTCAAGATCATGATCATTTCATCTTCTACTGAAAGTGACCTCAATTCTAGGTTCCACCTTTCTCCTTGGCGTATAAACGCGTTACCGCACCTCACAAGCCTAAACTTCCATATTCCCATCACGCATGAATATATGTATAGTTCTACATACGTTTGTATACGTTTATACATACGTTGTTTGTATCTATGTAAGACATTCATATGCATGCATACACACCAAATAGACCATAAGCGGATCCAGTTTCTATTAAAAACTTTCGTGTATAAAATGGTCGTAAGAAATTTCTCAAAATATTGAATATTTTCAGAAAAACCCAAAAAGATCCAGAATTACTTAACGTACTGAAATACGATTCTTTGGAATATTCGAGATTCGATAAGTCCAACCCAACGAAGATCATCATACACGGTTTTGGTGGTGGAAGAAATCTAGCACCCAGTACGGACTTACGAAATGGTAAAAAAAAAATGAAAAATTTATGTCAATTAGGAAAATACAGAATTTCATTAAAATCTGTCAAGGACGATTCAATCGAGCATAATTTTTCATTTCGAAACTGATTGACGATTGTGTCACACGCATCTACCTTGTAATGATTTTATTAATAGTTACGTATGCGTATATCTATTATACGGACTTTGTAATCATCTTTGTCCTACTTTCGTTTTCAGCGTACTTTACTCGAGGCGATTACAATATAATAATCGTCGATTACGGCTCGTTGGTACGGGAGCCATGTTTATCGCAGATACAGTGGGGTCCTGATTTCTGTTCGCAATGCATTGCACAACTAGTAAGATACCTGAGAGATCATCCTCGTGGGACACCAGTAGCAAGTATACACGTCCTGGGTTATAGCGTTGGTGCTCATATAGCAGGACTCGTTGCGAATTACTTACCAGATGACAAGTTGGGTCGTATTACTGGTAATAAAACTGAAAAAAAAAAGTAGTTAGACATTAATCAAAATTGTAACTTTTTGTCTAATTGACAATTTTTTCAGGATTGGATCCAACGATTTTCTTCTATATGAATGGAAATAGGTCCAGGGATTTAGATGAGACAGATGCTCACTTTGTAGACGTGATCCATACAGGTGCTGGTATTCTTGGTCAGTGGGGCCCAAATGGCCACGCAGATTTTTATGTGAACGGTGGATCGAGTCAGCCCGGATGTGCGACTGCCTCTTTGCTACGTAAGAAACTTTTTTTCATTTACTCATGTTGTTTCTATTTTCAAAAAAAAAACGGATACACGAATGAATTGAAAAATTTACAATTTTCAGAAACTTTGTCCTGCGACCATACGAAGGTGACGCCTTATTACATCGAGTCGATTACCACAAAAGTTGGATTCTGGGCTGCACCATGTGGAAATCTCTTTTCGTATCTGATAGGATGGTGCAGCCCGGAAGAGCACGAGTACGTCATCATGGGCGAGTATACCCCACACACGTGAGTCTTACTTTTCTTTGTTTCACGATACGTCGATCATTGGTGCCAGTCAAATTATTTGTATGCCACATGGGTATCTTGAATAAACGTCTTTCATTTATTTAGCGCTCGAGGAATCTTTTATCTGTCAACAAACGGACACAAACCGTACGCCAGAGGTCTTCCAGGAAGAAAATTGCGAACGACAAACAGGAAGCGATCGTACTACCGCCAGTATTAAGTTTGCTGAAGCAGCTCATCAACATTATAATAGAATAGTCATACTTTTTATAGCATATTACATGTTAACTTAAATTGCATTGCACGTTGCGCTCATTTCCTATCGTGGAGTTATTTAATAAAGTTTTTTTTTTCTATTTTTACTATTGCAAATTATGTCTTAGATTTTCAACAAATACCACGGTACCTTTCTTCGTGTCGCGGGTACTAACTCTGTTGGAGACCGTGCTGTCAGGGTTTGACCTTCCGCCACATTAGCTGAGCTTGCTCAGTGGGTCTGGCCCAAGCTCCCTCATTCTCTTCTCTCCTTTCCTGCTTGCATCCACTCCCACGTTCTTCCTTTCCCCTCCTCGATCTTTGTAACTCCTTTACGCACGCAACACGTGCCAGTGTTCCTATTTCGCAAACCAAGTCAAGATCCAACTAAGCAGCAGAGTCATATGATTATTCAACAATTTTTTATTAATTCTCCCTATCAACCTAAATTCGCACCTTGCCTCGTACCTTTCTGTTTTAATTTACAAAACCTAACCTAACCTAACTCCAAGTGTTACCTTTTGTTCTTCTTCATCCATTGAGCCACGTGAGCTCGATTAGGACTATTCGGAACTAACGAAAGGTACTGCTCACAAAAATATACTTTTTTTTTTCGCAGTACCTTGTATTCCACGCCACCTTTAGTCGTTTGCTTAATCTCGTTGTTGTTTCTGCTCTTGATTCTTCATAAGAAAGCAGGACAGTTTAACTTATGTATGTCTGTGTATAAAACTCATCAGTTTACGGAAACCAACGTAATCTGCATTGTTGAGAAGAAACAGCCGTTTTGGTAACTCCCGACGATTTTCACACCTCGTACGGAACTTACCTGATGGTTAAGAAAAAAGCATAAGAAGGATTCACAGAAAGAGATACATCGACAGTGTATGTTAACAACCATATTTATTACATAATAATTACGATATAATAATAACTTCTATGGATTTACAATACATTGTCGCAATAATCGTTATTAATATATATACACACATACGTGTATATATATATTTATATAATGGAGTGATTACAAGTTGTCGATACATCCTCGTTTTCTCGTAAGCTGGAGGCTTTTCAGGGTCCTTTTTTTTTTATGTGACTTGAGTCAATTTTACACGTTTCTCCTCGAGTCCATGTTTCGGGAAATATAAGTCCGACCCGTAAACTTCGGTATCGTTCAATCTCGTCACGATGACGATAACCTTCGTCCGGGCTGAATCGTGACGAGGATCCGATTCCCGAACAATATGACTGGACCATGGAAAATATCGTCACGGAGTTTCATAGGTAATGCATCTAGGAACAAACATTTTTCTTCTCACTTATATCTTACAGTAAAGAACGCAGATACTACGGTTAGATTGGACTATTCTCATGAAAACTAATCGCACGTCATATTCCAATTTTAAATATATATATATATATAATAGCACGCTCCGTCGTGAAATAGAACGACGTCTCGTTCGCATCACCGGAAGTAGCTGAGCGCGATCGATTTACGATATCGCAAAATTCAAAAAACCTTCGGGACTCCATCATACGAACATCGAGCGAAGCTTAAGCTGTAAATATTCCCGCACTTCTACTATCAGGGCTCGTTTTCAATTTTTCGGGACGTCGTTCCGCTCTCGCGCGAGACACGATAGGTGATGTGCAAAAAACGCGTTGATCGTCGTATCGAAGCGCCATGAATATTAAATATGTAATGTATTTATATCGTTATGTATAATAATAATAATAATAATGCAAATATTCACGAACTTTGATGAACCCAGGGAGAGGGGAACGAAACGTAAAAGCTTTACAAACGCTTATTATTTACATGATTCGTGTGCTACGTCATTCCCATTGTTTTAATGGACAGTTCGTGATTCGGTAGACAAGTCGTGATAGCTAATTAATATTAACAATCGGTTATACATTAGGTAAATGATTAATGATTAGTCTTATTGATTTATCTTTTTTTTGTCATTTTTATTTTACCGAAAACATAAGGGAAACGTTTAAGTAGCTTCAAACAGAGCATGCTCGTAAGAATGGTGTTGGTAGACCGTCGGGGTGTTCGTTACTTTTTCTATTCTTTTTTTTTTGTTATCAAAAAGAAAATTCTATTTTATTTGAAATTATTTTTTTTTCGCTCCTTCACGTTTTTGCAATTCGTCCTTTACCGTCCTGCCGCGTTCGTTCGACGTGTAACGTTTTTTTTTTTTTTTTTTTTTTTTTTTTTTTTCAAAAGGGTCGTACGCTTGAATGTCATGTGCCGTTATCAATGAGTATCATCGAGTCACGTTTACAAGACCCAAGAACGATTCTAGCCGAAGAATGTCGATCGGCCTAGGGATCTTTAAAAAAAAAAGAGAGAAAAAAAGAAAAGCGTTATCCGCGAGCGATATTCTTCGTCCCGGTCTTCGCTACGATGATCTCCGAATGATAAGTCATCGTCCACTCCTGGTCCCGATGACTTTAAAAAGCGTGACGCTCTCTCGTACGAAGAAGCCACAGGCATCAAGGTTTTTAGGCACGCGGTGTATGTATTATGGATTTGTGAATTAATGACTGAAAATGATCCTCGGTACGTTAACCCAACGCCAAAGTCTTCCGAGCGTGCTCCCTTATTGAAATAATCATCACGTCACTCGTTATCCATCGTTTCTAATGATTCGGTTCCATCAGATACATTCCTGTTCCTTTTCCACCTTCCGATCGTTTCTAACGATCATAACAAACACGAAGCATCCTCCATACGTTGTGTCAATTTCTTTACAACTTGTCGTTACTTTATTTCGAATCGTCGTCATTACGTCATTACATCATGACGTCATCACGCGACTCGCACGACTGATCACTATTTAACCCTACAAACTACCACAGTATATTTCAGTGTTTCGGTGCTATTCCGATCGTCCATAACATTCTCATCTGAACTTGTGCCTAGTGATGATTAATGACGATGACAATAATAACGCTAATAGTTAATAGTCCTTCTATATGGCGATAATCGTACGGTGCTTCGCGCATTGGCTAAACTTTAATATAATAATATTTCGAAATAAAGCGGCGCCGATCGATACGTTCTGAACGTGCCTTCTGTTGGCTAGAGACAAATTATTTTCCAAGCAATGAAAGGCACTATAGTTATATATATATATAATATATATATTAATATTTTATGTATATGCATGCTTTGGTGTAACGTGAAACATCTTGTACATTTGTACACGCGTTTACTCCTGATATCGTATATATATTCTGTTTTTTTTTAATAAGCTATTTTATGCAACGGCGTTTCATTCTATTCGCAATGGACGTACATCGATTTGGCGACTTTCGTGATAAGCTGTGGGAGCTTGCGTGCTTTGCAAATTAGGTATGGATTGAATGACGTTCGCGAAAAAAAAAAATATGACGGACAAAAAAATGACTTTTGCATTTAATCATTGTCGATCGTTGCCTGTTTTCTTTTTTTTTTTTTTCACAAATTTCTAACTAATTAAGCGTTTCATTGATACGATCGATCGGCACCGCGACGGGATCGTCGCCACACTAATTCAACAGTTACGTGTTTCCTTAGGTGTGTTCTTCCCTTTTTTTTTTAATTCTCATTTTCTTTCTTTTATAATTTTTTAAGTACAATGCTGCGTATAACATGATGTCAACATGCTGTCGATAATGATTTACGATAATTGGTCCTGACGAAAACGATAGAACCGAAAGTTACGATAAGAGGGTGACTGGCGAATTGGTCATTTCGAATTTCCCGCGCGAAGTAAGGTCAATCGATTGCGCAGATAGTTGCTTGTGGCCCGTGAGGAATTTGCTTTGATTTTGAAACTAAGGGAATGATATGGATCGCGGTACCCACCATGATATTGATCGATTTGGACGATGATCGCGAACGTTATTTAATAGGTCCAACTCGATCACACCTGCGAGACGTGTCTTACGTTCGGTCCTATCGCCCGGGAAATTCGAAATGACCACACGTGTATCGCTTGACTAAACTAAACTAAGCTCCTAGAATCTGCGTCCGCTAAACTTACGATCCTCTATAAGATTACTACGCTACTGCGATCATTATTTAATTGTTATAGCATACTCTAAATTGCACGTTACTATATGTAATATTATCGTTTTCTTTGTTTGTTTGTATAATCAGCCGAGAAACAAATTAATCGTTCTTCCTCGTTCCGCGTCCGATTTAATATATCTATATATTTATGAATAAATAAATACAAAAGAAAAAGAGGATACAAAAAATTAGAAGAAATTTACGTGACGAAAGTTCAACTAGAATTTTACAGTTTAATAATTTTTTTTTTTACAATATTCGCTCACGATTAATTACGTCACAAAAGGATGACACGAGTAAAGGTAATTAAATGTAAAAAAAAGTTAATCAACCGATTGATACGATATTATAAGGACGTACGTTAATAAATAAAATCTTCTTTCATTCTCGTTTACTATTTTGTCTTCTCTTCGGCTTCAGTGTCCCTTTTCTTTCCTTCGAATCTCACAATACTTGATTCTTGCACGTACCCAATAATTGTACACGATGCCGGAGGATTGCCGAAGCTGCAATTTGCGTTACGATTAATCGTCTAATTCTCGAGACCCGTATATTTCTTTATATGGATAACAACACGTGGAACAGCTATATCCAAGATGGATTAAAGAGTCTGCGAAATTCATGCGGACAGGACAAACACGAAGACCTGTAAAAATTTTTGTTCAGGCGAAGCAAATACGAGCGTTAGAAACGTCACTAGTGTACAAAATAATAATAACAATACTAATAATAAATATATATCTTGTTCGAATTGGGTATAGTCAATACATCGAGACTTGATTTAGAGCGCAGATACCATTGGCAAATTTCACGCGGGACACGTCAAGGTATATGTAAATCGAATAATCACGATTTACATTCTTTTTTAAGGAATTTTTTTTCATTTGCTACCTACCGTAGTTACCCACGTATGTAAGGTCATTATTCATGACGAATGTATAATCCGAAGGTGGTTCTACCGCAGAAATCAAATGGAGAGGCTAACTTCGGTTGATACGTTTGTCGTGAATAACCCTGTATGTATTTCAGATATTGTACGGCCAAACGAGTGGATAGCCAAGAGTTTATGAAATCTGACACGATCTTTATGAACGGACTCGAAAAATGTCGTGAGATGATTGAAAATTCGAGGATAAAAATGTAAAACGAGGGTTAACGTGGAATGTATGAATAATTGGAGATATTCAAATGGATTATTTACACAGACCCGAAGCATACCGATCAATCCCGCCGGCGTGAACGGAGAACGCGAGGGGAATACGAAAATCTTTCAAGAGGAGGACGTATCTATTGGACAAAATATGAAAGTGGATCGGGTCGACCTGCTACAGTATATTTGACGCTGAATCGTGTTATATTCCATCAAAAATACCGTATGCTTACGCACTCACGTTATACGTATAGTAATGTATATTTGAATACGATCGTGAAACCCGAGGCCACCCGATCGCGATTCCCGATCGTCTTGTGAAGTGACGCAATGTTAAATCGGTCATTAAGATCGGCAATGCAGTTAAGAACGAATAGGCCCCTTGTAGTTAGAAAAACAAAAAAAAAATAAGGGAATCTTAGCATATCCCAACGTCAAATAACAATACAACGTACGCATTTTTTTTTAATAATATTTGTACACTTATGCATATATGTATCCATGTACACATATATACATAGATATACGCGTGTACAATGATTTACGGGGGACATCATCGTTTAAAGCAGACCATTGAATTGGCATTGAATGATGGCAATAATCATTTTATTTTTTTTATCTTCACGTCACTGATTTCGCACCCAGTTAATTTTATGCGAAACAAAAGATAAAAGAGAAGAGAACTGTGGTGTGACGATTCGAAGTCATTTAGATTCGATGGTAATTCTTTAGCTTTGTCAAGTGGAAAAAAAAAGTCATCGGCACTCGATGACGATTAGACCGGAATTAAGAACCGGATATTTTCCTGAGACACTTGTAAAACGCTTGCTTGTGATCGTCATCGATGATCATCGAATTTTCATGATTCTGGAATGACGGTCTGCTTTAATAACGTGACCGCCCTGTACAAGTAGCACGTGATCTACAGTCATTATTGTAGAGGGCGATGACACCGCGGACAAAGGCATTGACCGTTTGCACGGAAACAGGTTGTCATTTATCTACAAGTTCTTTACATCGGGGAAGTTTTATACTTTTTCAAATTTTCTCCGGTCGTCATTTAAAATAATAAACAGTCATTACTCCAATTGTAATGATTGTATCGCGCGTCCCGATGACTGATCTACCTGGATCGTCATTGAAATCAGTTACGTTGACGAAGGCGCTGATCATGAGAGTCGATGCGTCGCGATTAGATCGTCGAGAGGAGAACGTTGGAGAAACAAAAAAAAAATATTAAAAATGACTAAATAAATTAAAACGCGTAAAGATGCGATACGTGTTAGGTTAACAAACACTTCGCGAGTCGACCCGGCAAATCATCAATGCTTTGTAATACCGTGTCGTCGCAACAGGACGCGCCATTTGGAAATCATTAAACATTACGGATCTACAGAGAGAAGTATAGTAGATATATATATATACAAGACACTACACTCCATGAGAACATATCATTAATACTAAATCTTTCTGTTTCGTATTTATTGTTATTTAGTTTAATCATAGGTTATTAATATCTACTAAGTATTTGTTTTCTTTCTCTTTTCTCATTCGATTCTCGCAAATTTCACGCGACATTCTCCTGAAAGTCAAAAGTAAAAGGTCCCACGTTAACATCTCGTTAAGCAATTACGTCTCAAGAAAAATTAATCTTAACGTCAGAACGTATCACGCACGTGATAAAAACGGAATGGATTCTTCTTACCGTTATTTTTGATAACAGAAGTATTCATTGACTCTGCTTACCTCTGCGACACTTTGACAAATTTAGTCCTTCTTGTCGCCGTCTTCGGGATCCTTAAGCGTGTGCCACTGGGCAATAGGACGCCTGGGCGATGCCAGCATGTCCGACCAATGTCTGAGCTCTGTTCCACTCGCATTATAGCCCAATACAACCTTTCCAATAGGTTCCGATGTTCCAATACGATCGTAGTCGACAACAGTTACGACCAGTTGCACTTTCTGTAATAAAGGTTGAAGGTTATTTTCATCTACGTAAACGTAATTTAATGAAATTATTTTTTATCGATTTCCCACCTGTATCTGCTCGAAGGGAACCTCGAAGGTGAAGGATTCGTTGTAATAAGGATTGAGGGTGCATTTCTTAATGGAGGTTTTCTTCTTTTTCAGTCGCTTTCCGTTCTGCATCAGGGCGATCTTAACGTAAGGATCCGAGAGGCCTCCGACGTCCATCTTCTTCAGGTTCTTCGCCTCCAGAATAACCACTGTCAACTTACCGGCCGTTGGGACGTACCGCAATGAGAAGCAAATGTCGCCAAGCTTGTTATCCTGTAAACAATAAAATATAATGTACAAAGGTTCACGAATATTAATTGGATTTTTATAAATTAAAGATATTCGTTAATTATCAATCACCTGTCCACCTTCACCCTCAACGCTCTGCAACTCTCGCCATTCCTCGATTGTCTGAGCCAGATCGACCTGACAGAGTGGTACCTTAACCTCACCGATCTGATCGTGTTTGGAGAACCTGTCGAAGTCAAAGATGGCGAACACAAGCGTCTTGTTCATTGCGTCGGCGTAAGGAACACCCTGAAAATAAATTTCTCATAATAAACCGCCGCCGTACTATAACAGTATATGGCGATATTGTGCACGAATTGTTTATAGATTGTATATATATTTTTAATAAAAAAAACTTCATGTCCAGTATACCTTGAAGGTAAAAGTCTCATTGAAAACAGGATTTAAAGTCTTCCTGTGCACTTTGGTCTCGAATTTCTTTTTCTTGTCAGGGAGAAGGTACACCTTAACATAAGGATCGGAAGTACCACCCATATCCAAAGCTGGAAGTTCCTCTGCTTGAATAACAGTCACAGCCAGACTGTTTGAATTGAAGTCATATTCCAGCTGAAATAAAAAAAGGAGATATAATCCAAGAGCTCAGTAACTTTTAGTTCCAGATACGTACCTTGTACTGAAGCTTTCCTAACTTAACCTCACTGTGCTTGCTCTCAGCTTCATCAGGTTCTTCAGCATTGTCAGTGAGCTCCTCCATATCCGGCTGAACCTGCACAGATCGAAGTGGATTCCACGCGTGTAGAAAGACTCCTAATCTCTACAAGCGACCAAGGAATAACTGTACGTACCTTATCCTTATAAGTGCTGCCCAATAGTTGAACAGACTTAAGATCTACGGCACCTTTTAGGCCCTTCTTGCCGTCCTTCGAACGCCGCTTGCGGCAGCATCTTCTTATGCAGCAAAAGCAAATACCGAGTACCACGACGCCGACGGCTAAGAATAATATTTATATTAAATAAGGATAATCAAGTTACATTAAATCGTATCAAAATCCCTTCGGGGATCGTTGGAACCTTTAATTATGACAATTACCTATTAAAATGGCAACCAGGCCCCATGTCGGTATTCCCATTTCCGCTGCGGCTTTGGTCGCAGTGTTCTCGATCTGCGCCCCCAAACTTTTTACAGTGGTGGTGGATGTGGCCTCCGTAACCAGAGCTGCACGTAGATTCGGATAGAGTTAAATATTTAAAAATGTACTTTGCTTCTTATGTAAATAAAAATTAATTCACTATACAATATCACTACGCAATATATTAATTATAACGTACTACTTGTTATTTCCTCATTCAAGCCCGTTGACGTCTTTGCTGCCACGGTACTAGTCAAGGTCGATTCATCCGTCCCGGCCTGGCCCGTCTCATCGGGTTTGCCATTTGGATTGATCGCAGGCATCTTCTGCGTGACAAAAATTAATAATCGTCACAATTAAAGAATCTGGTTTAAGACAGGTCATTTGACAATTATCAGACGAAATGAATTGAAGAGCTCGAGAACGAGAGTCTACAAAGTCACATATGTTATAAAGCGATAAGGCGGAACAAGGATCTATATACATATATACACATATATATATATATTGTTGTCCCCGCAAGGGGTTCTTCAGGATCAAAGTGAATAGTTGCACCAGTTTGGAATAAAGTGTGAAACGAATCTTGTTTATTGGATTATTCAGTGATTTGCGCTGACTATAAAACACACAATTTTATAGTAAAGTACAGACTAATGGAATAAAAGGCACGATCGATTGTCACTTAATTCTAAATCCATAACTATCGAGAGCGGTCCAGGACCTTACTAGTCAAGAGTAACTTTGCGAGTGAGTCCCCTTGTAACTTCCAGTCTGCCTCTGACCCTTATCGCTGCACTACGAGCATTCGCATAATGCTAATCCATGCGTTTGGAGATTAAAAGCGCATGGGAACAGTGTTACGAGTGTTAAGGGACGATTTTTAACAATATAATGGACGCCCAGCATCGCGTAGACGTCGCTGGCTTTCCCTTGACGTTTTGACACTGAGCTTTTGCTGACGTTACGACGTTATGCGTGGGAGGGCATGTGCGTAATCAGAAACCGGAGAGTGTCGCAGGCACGTGGGGACAAACAGGGGGAAAAGGAGGTGAGAGGAGAACTAGAAAAGGATGAAAACCCTTGAAACAGAGAGAGAAAGAAGGAATAAAACAGCCTTGGATACTGGGTCTGAGGGGACAGCAGTTGATAATTCACAATATACATCTCTCTCTCTCTCTCTCTCTCTCTCTCTCTCTCTCTCTCTCTCTCTCTCTCTC